GCTGCAAAATAAGTAGACTGGGTTGTGCTTCGGATAATTTTAAATTTCCTTTCTTTCTTTATAAAGGGAACCTATTCATAAATAATTTTCAAAGGGTTTAAAGCAGAACCCAGTAGATTCACGGTTGACGATTTAGCGGTGCTGGTCATCGTCGTCGAGGCTTGAAGTGGGGGGGCTGATAGCGCTGGTGATGCCCAGACCTTCCAAAATCCAATAATTAAGGAATTTACCTTAAATCGTATTAGGGATCCTACTATAATTCAAGGAATATTCCTTAATTAAGGGTTTTGGAAGGTCTGGGTGGTTCTGATCTTTGTTTTCAGACCAGCTGGTGACGGACGTAACTTGCCGTTTGACTTACGTCTTGATCGCGGCACAGCACCAGTGTGCAAAGAGCATCACTGCATGATTAGTTGAATCATTCGTAGCATTTCGTACTAGTAGCTTCTGAGCAAACCAGGTTATGGAGCTTGTCCTAACATCTCGGCCTGCGGGGAGTCCCTTGACAGTGATCGGCTTTCATGACACAAACAACTGGAAGATGAGGGCAGATGGTGCCCTCGTGGTTGAACGGCCGGAGAAGGACAGAATGCCTCCATTCTGCAACTTTGGAAACCAGGGAGATTTCGTGGGCAATGCAAAAGAAGGCAAGGCACTGCTGATGCCTGCTACTGAGATGCGTTGCATCGCCAGATCCTGGGCAGAAGCTTTCGACCAAGCGGCGGATCAGGATTTCCTTAAGCCGAAAGACTTCGCCTATATGGAGCCGGTGTCTTTCAATCGACCTTACGACGGAGGCCACTATTTCTCAGGGCTCCTTATTCTTTTACCTTTGGTTAGTAGGGCATGGAAGAATGGTAGTAATAGTAATTATAATTCCACCCCATTCCTCCATTCCCTACTAACCAAAGGTAAGTTCTACGTAAGATATCGACTGCCCCAAAGCCCTGCTAAAGTTTCTTTCGCTCCAATCCCTATAGAAGCCTTCACAAACCTTTAACCTTTTGTGGGGTAGTATAGTCCCTACATAAGGTTTACCTTTAGTTGCCCATGATACCCGACAAGTAGGATTACTATTGCCCATATACGGTTTGTTCATCGACCTTATGACGGAGGCCACGAGGTAAGAGACTGGGCAAAGCGCTTGCCGAGCACGGAAACGCGACAGGCCGTCTTTCAGGCTGGACTTTGGAAGGTTTCGGTTAAAAGGTTCTACACTGTTTGGCTATGGCTTTATGACATTGAACAAGGTTCCTTTAAGGAGTCAGGCAAGCTGAGCTTCTGCCCTAAACCCGAACCTTGAACCCTAAAACCTGAACACCCTAGTTTGTTGCCATAACCCTAAAACCCTAAGCCGGGTTGTGTTTGTTGTCATAAGGGCTTCAGAGCCTCCGCTGTGTTTCTTCATTCGAAAACCTTTACTGCCTACCTTAATAGGATGTATAGCTTGAATCCTGGTCTTACCCCGTGGAGGAAACAGAATAGGGATCCGACTGCTGTCTGAAATAGCAAACCTGCATGAACCATTTGGGAGTTTCCGAGAATTAGGGATACCCTATTTTGGGATCCTTATATTAATTTTCCTTCCTACTATATAGGGTACTATATTAGGGTCCCTTATTATCGGAAACTCCAATTTCCGAAACCTCCACTTGACTCCCCCCAAGCAAACCTCGGAAGCGCGGAACACTGAAACCTAAACCCCAAGACTTATCGTCCCAAGACCTCTACTTCAAGAGGACGCAGTACGTAGTTTTTTCGCAGGTTTGTAAGCACTGCAGCAGCCCCGAAACCTAAACCCTAAATCTTAAATCCGAAAACAGACTCCTATAAACCCTTCTGAAATCTAAACCCTAGACCCAAAACCCTGAACCTAAAACCCGAAACCCGAAAACAGACAGGTCGAGTTCGCCCGGAGTTTCCTCCTGGGACCAAAGGCTTCACAAGAGCTCCGTGAGCCCAGCACCTCCTGGCCGACAGTGGATGAAGCTGGGCTACTTTTTCAAGGTCCTGCATATGAGCCCTATATGGATGGTTGTCAAAATTAGGGTCCCTTTCTGGGTCCTTAATATAGTACGGCACCTAATGTTTAGGGTACCCAAAGAGGGACCATAATTCTGACAACCACCCATATATTTGGGCCATGGGGCCAGGGTTTCTTAATCATGTCCGTACATGAAGGATGAAGCTGGGCTATCAAGCCTAACTTAGGGTTTATTTTGGGGTTTAGGGTTTAGGGGTTTGGGGAACAGGATGGGTACTATAAAAGCTTTATACAGCAGAAAAAGGCATGAAGATACTTCTACAAGGGCTTAGTCCAGCAGTGGATGTATAGCCCTAAACCCGAAACCCTTAAACCCTATCCCTACTTTAGGGCCTTTTTAGGTACCAAAAACCATAAATAGGAACTACTTGGACCCTTAGGGTAATTAGAGTTCAACGTGATGGAAGGTTTTGGAGCGGCCTTGTCCTTTTTCATGGTTCCCCCAAAAGAATAAACAGACCGGCCAGTAGACCTTCTTTAATAATTCCTACTCAGGGATATACGTATAGGGCTCTGTCTATTCTTACTAGAAGGACAAGGGCGTTTTGGAGGCTTCCGGGCTCCTGAGTCGATAACCTTTAACCTTTCGGGGCCCTTTCACGGTGGATGATATAAATCCCTAGGGTTCCTTTAAAGGGATCTATAAGGGTACCCTTAAGGGGTTCCTTTAAGGGATCTATAGGGTTTATAGGGCTGGTGATATAAATCCTGCATTACTTGAAGGACCCTAAAGTATGCGAATTATGGTAAGTTTCTGATTATGGGTAGTGCAGGATTTATATCATCAACCGTAGAATCCTACTATAGTTCGAAAGGCTATATAACCTTCTTTGGGCTAGGGTACTCAACCCCTAAGAATATGAAGGCCCTTACATTCTACCCCCATAGATTATCCTTCATAGTCGTCCTTAAAACGGCCACTTCCCAGGAGCCCTATGGATTTCTTGGAGATCCCTTTAAAGGAACCCTATGGGTAGTCACTCCCTCAGTCGGGAAGTTCGGATCGCCGAGTGGAGGGACCTATTTAAAGGATCATGATACTTAGTAGCTAGGGTTCCTTAAAGGGCTCTTTAAAGGGATCTATAGGGTTCCTTAAAATGGGGTTTAGGGTTTAGGGTCTACTTCAAGGATCATGGGACCTAGTAACCAGGGTTATATATAAGGTAACTATACTTAAAATTACTCAGAACCCCAATTAGGGTACTTATAACCCTACTTACTGAGTCCCCTGATCCTCCAAGTACAGTTGGGCTTCGTAGAGGGAGGAAGCAGGGCTGGATAGACTCGGATCGGGTACTGCCCCCACTCAGTAACAGGTGGATAGTATTCATAATACAGATTTGGGGGTTTCCGAAAATAGGGGTACCTTATTTGGGGGTCCTTATAATAAGGATCCTACTATGTAGGGTACTAGATTAGGGTCCCCTATTTTCGGAAGCTCCCATATATTAGGATCTTCACAATAGCCTTATTATAGACTGTTACTGTATGGGGGCAGTACCCAAGACTCGGATAGAGAGCCCAATACGCCTTAGTTTTAAATTACAGGGTACGGGAAGTACTGGGCTCTCTCGGTTAATATAGTGGTCTAAATAATTTCCAACACTATTTTGGTGGTTCCTTATTCTAATTATCGTATAATGGGCCCCAAAACCTTATTCTATATACTAAGGCCCCTATACTACTTATAGTATGATTTGCCCCGAATCCCTATATAGCCCCGAGTGTTAAGGGCATTTCGGGAATCTCAGGAAGCGCATGTTAGCTGGGTTGCCAGCAAGCTGAAGGAGGCTGGCGACAAGCTGCGGGCAGCGGGATGTCCCTGAATTCCAGGCTGTTACAATTCTACGCTGGATATTACGGCCACTCGGTCATGCCTTCACGTCTCAACATATCCTGGCTTCGACCGAAGAAGCTGGCTCTGTGATTTTCCTGATGCTGGCCCTCGGCGGAGACGAAAGAGTGCGGTCGGGAGGGCAATATGATATGAGGAACCCTTCCCAACAATACTGGTAATCATTCAATATTCGGGTGTCCCAAATCCAATTATAGGCACTCTCACAAAAAAACCCTTGGATTGGGACAATGGTATATACTTGGAATAGGGCTGTGGAGCATGTTAGACTGCAAGCACATAGGCACCATATGGGAACAGTGTACCTGATGATTTAGAGCTCTCATAGTAGCTCTTACCGTGCCAGTCCCAGGTGCAGCTTTTATAAGGAAGATGATTCCATGTTATCGGGCTGCTCATGTGGGCTTAGGGTCAGGGTTTAGGGTTTTAGGGTTTTAGGGTTTTAGGGTTTAGGCTCTAGGCTGTGGGACAACTGAGTTGATTAGGTGGCACTGGGCTCTCTGTGGATGAAATACCCAGCGTTTCGAGTTAGGGCATGCCAAAATCCACTGGATGCGGACGGGCTTTGTCTGTCTGGTTCTTAGTACGGAATGGGGGAACGGACTATGGGGAATGTTATTGGGGATCATATGGGGACTACGGATCCTTTCCCGCATTCCCTACTGAGCACCAGGGAGTTGTATTGATTGATCTCTCAGCCATGAAGTGGATGTACATCATGCTGCTGTCTCATGATCGCAGATTCTGTGGTGATTTGCTGACGTTGCATCAATGCTGGCCCTGGATGTGCGGCATTGGATTCAGACTACTGCAATGACAGGCAAGGACGAAACACTCAAAACCTGCGTTATCATCCGAGATGATGCGATGCGGACGATGCATGTATTCGTATTGTCCGAGCCATGTCACGCATGAGCATGTCGTCGCAGTTGCTTTGTGCTCACGTCTTCTGTGGTGGCTTGATGGTTCCAGCTTGCTGCCTTGCATGCGCCGGCGTTGTTGTGAGGTCTTGGAGCATGCGCACAGTGATGCGTCCGAGCGAGCTGATCAAAGTCCATGTGGTGTGATTAGGATCTGCAGCTTGCGAAGCGTGGGTGTTCCATGAAGGAGTGCTTTTTGACTTGAGCTCGCTTTTGGCCGTTGACCTGTGGTGTGCAGTTTTGGGTGCAGAGTACTGCGATGCAAAAGCAGATATGAGACATTCGAAACCTGTGTTATGATCCAAGCTATCAAAGTTTTCCCGACCCAGTAATGATTGATCTCTAGGGTTCAGGGTTCAGGGGACCCTAGCGGAGCTCGGCAGTGGATGGGCATCTTGTCATTCGTGAAATACTCAGAACCGACATTACTTATTTATCGTCCGAGATGGTTTAGTTCGAACAATAGGATGCAGGGGTATGGAATCCCATGAGGAAAAACGTTGGCAAGGTGATGCTTCGGATCTCTTCGAATCCTCATAAATGTCTCTCAAAAGGAAAGCTTTACTCCCAAAGCTCAGTTGAGTCTCGTAGGCTCTTAGACCCTGAACCCTAATCTCTCAACTTATCAAGTCCAGGTGAACTTTCCCGATCTCCCGTCGGCAATCGGACAGGGCGTTCAATACGAATGGCTGCATAATCCTTCTAGCATCCTTATAGAAACCATTTACCGAGCTTTCAGCAAACCCCAAAAGCCTCAAGTCCATACAGAACCCTTAACAGAAAGCCCGCCAAGATTTTCCTACCCGCAAAAACCCAACAGTCTTCAAGACACCCTAAACCCTTACAGCCTGAACCCTGAAAACCCTTGCGAGGCCCAAACCCTAAATCGTAAACCTAAATCCTACAGCAAACCATTAACCCTCCAAAACTTATCAAACCCTAAGCCCTATTAAAACCTTGAGCCCTTCTTAACCCCCAAGCCCTAAGCCCTATAAACAACCCTAAGCCCCTCTACCCAAAGCAGCCCTATTGAATCCTACAGTAAACCCTAAACTTAGGCCCTAAACCCTCAACCCCAAGCCCAAACCCTAAACCCTACAGTCCAAGCTAACAAGGACCCCTAGGTATATACCCATAATATAGCTATTATATACCCATTATATAGCCCATTTTAGGGTAGGGGTCCCCATTAAAGGGTCCTTCCTTTTCCCCTTTCACCAAAGCAGCCCCGCTCGAACGGTTGATGATATAAATCCTGCATTAACCATAATAGGGAATATATGGGAATTATGGTATATTCCCTATTATGGGTAGTGCAGGATTTATATCATCAACCGAATCTCCAGGACCTCGAGGCACGATCCACCTCGCAGCAGGAGGACGCCCTTAGCTGCGGGCCCAGATGGGGGAGTTTTGTTTCCGAAACTTAGGGTAATCTAGGGTTCCTTTAAAGGGATCTTAGGGTATCCTAGGGTTCCTTTAGAGGGAGCTATAAGGGTACTATAAGGGTTCTGTAAAGGGTTCAGGGTTTAGGGTTTAGAGTTTCCGAAACTTAGGGGTACCGGGTCCAAGTAAGGGCCCTATAAGGATTCCATGCCCAGAGATCCCACTGCCCTTTAGGTAAGGAATAACCCTTACCCTTAAACCATAATATTAAGGCCCCTAGAATTTGAGGTAGATTCCTGAATTAAGGGGTATTGGGATCTCTGAGGTAAGGTTCCTGGACGGCTTCTGTACGATACTATTCCATGCCAGGGGCTCCTGGAGGTTTATGGCGTTCTCATCGGTAATTGTCTGGGAACCCTAAAGCCCTCAAGTCCTCAACCCAAAACCCTTAAACGCCCAACGCTAAAAACTTTAAACCCCTGAGAACCCAAGACCCTAAACCCCCAACCGTAAACAATCCTGCGCCCTAAAAACCCAAAACCTAAAAACAAACTACGCCCTAACGGCGCCGCCGGCCATAGAAGGGGGGCAGGAATACAGGGCCTTAACTTAAGAAGTAGAATAGTGTTTGGGGGTATGTTATACTATACTTGTAATCAGAAACCGCCCCAAAATAGTATAGGTAATCATATACAGCTCGGCGATGTACAGAAGTCAGAAGGGCTTGCTTTGGAGGCTTCCCCAGAGGCTCCATGTATAGTACAATTATGGAATTAGGCCCCAAAAGACCATTCTTATTATGGTTTTTGGGACCTAGTTCCATAATGGTACTATATATGGAGCCTCTAGGTTCGAGCGGAGGGATTGTCGAGGCTTATGGGCTGCCTGGCCCTGGCTGTGACAAACACGGACAGCTGAGCACGAAACCCGAAACAAATCAAGCATAGCAAAGAACCCTAAACCCTAAACCCCTAAAGCCCTAAAGCCCTGAAGCCCTAAAGCCCTGAAGCCTTAAACTTAAGCTCTCAACCCTGTGACCTTAAACCCTAAACCCCCCAGCCCTTAAGCCGAACTCTCAACGTCAACCCCAAACCTTCAACCCTAAACCTTACAACCTTCTAAACCGGAATACCCTAAAGCCGCTTCCCTAAATCCCTTCAGTAAACCGCGCTCTCTATTTCGTGACACATGCCTACTTGTCGAGGTTAACTATTGGGAGTATACACGATTTATATCGGGATTACCCTAAACCCCAAACCCTAAATCCTTTAAATGAAACCCTCAAAGGAACCCTTTAAGCTACTCGGACTAAGACCAAGCCTGTGATGGCCTGACATGAGGCCTGCCACTTCTCACTTGGGCCGGGTTGAATTTCGCAGTCCAGGATGGCAGCTGACGACCATCGAGACTCTGTCTACTTTGCCCTGCCATGAATGGCCTCCCTAAGCCCTAAACCCCTAAACCCTAAACCCCTAGACCCTAAACCCCTAAACCCTAAACCCCTAGACCCTAAACCCCTAGACCCTAAACCCCTAAACCCTAAACCCCTAAACCCTAAACGATTTCGCAGGCTCGACGACAGCTGGAAGTCGGCGGCCACGACCTGTCAGACCTTGAACAGAGCCTAAAGTGAGACCACCAAGTGGGAGTTTCCGAAAATTAGGGGTACCTTATTTTGGGGTCCTTATAATAAGGATCCTATTTAGGGTACTAAATTAGGGTCCCCTATTTCCGGAAACTCCCAAGTACTCAGGCGGATGCATCTTCCTATGCCTGGAAGCCCTGACATTGCTACTCCGCACTGCGAAAGTGAGACCTCGCCGGGACATTGCCGCCACTTCGGCATAGGCCCGCGTGTCGAAACCTCGAAGCATTGGCAGTTGGGCCGTGGGTGCCCGTGGCCAGCACGTGGCATCATTGGTTATGGTATCATAAATGTCAGTAATAGTAATGATGAATCGAACAACTATAATCAAAATAAGGAAAATATCAGTAATAATTAATATTTAACAATCATAATCTCTAGGGCCCCAGATACCGAAATAGTAGGTTACTAACCATACAAAGTATAGCCCAGTAATCCATTCTCTAAGTAGCTGGGGCCTTAGGGAATAGGAACCATAATTGGCCTTGGGTGCAGGGTTCTAGCGTGCTTGTTGGTGGTTCCTTATTCTCATTGTAGTAATATGCCCGAAAACCTTATTCATATTAGGCGAGCTGAGCACTGAAAGGGTTGTGCAGTGTTTGTCTATGTGTGTGTGTGTGTGTGCGCTTGTGTGAGCACGTGTATTTGTACCCGTCCAGACCCAAACCTCAAAGCATAGAAGCCCTAAATCCTAGACCTGAGCACTTCTAAAACCCGAACCCGAAACTCTGAACACCCAGCGCCCTAAACCCCCAGGACCCCAAGCCCAAAATCCCAGCCCGCCTGCCTCTGACGCAAAAAGAGTGAAGACACAAACTTGACCTTTCAACCCTAAACCTCCACCCCTAAACCCCCAAGTCCTAAAGCCTACAAAACCTTAAACCTCTAAAACCCCTATGCCCCGAACCCTTAAAGCCCTAAACCCACTTGCAGGGTCGGGGGACTTAGTAACTGGTTATTTTAAGGACTTATAAGTACCATAACCCCAATTAGGGTCCCTTTTAGGGTACTTATAAGTCTACTTCCTACCTACTTACTAAGTCCCCCGACCCTCCAAGTAATCCTTACCTGGACCCGAGAGAACCTACCTTTTGAGGGTTCCTTATTATGATTTTTCTAAAAGGTAGGTTCTTCAGGGTCCAGGCACCCATAGGCCCCATAGTAGTTCCTTTTGGGGGCGGGTTCACAAATAGAATTTTATGATTGAGGTAATGCCAAAAAGGAACTACTATGGGCCGCTGGGTAAACCCTACTTGAAGGCTCATGGGACTTAGTAAGGTTATAAGTACGTTATAACTAGGATAACCCCCACTTACCCACTTATGGGGCTTATACCCCCCAAGTATAAACTACTTACTAAGTCCCATGATCCTCTAAGTAGACCCTAAACCCTAAACCCCGTAGATCCCTTTAAGGAGCCCTATAGATCCCTTCAAGGAGCCCTCTAAGAGCCCTTACTAAGTCCCAAAATCCTCAAAATACTCTCAGGCCAGCTTACAGAGGAGCTCAAACAGTTGAGGCCCCTCGGAGCGAAGTTTCGGGTTTAATATAGGAGCCAAGTAAGGATTGAATATAGACGCTTAAAAAAATATCATGTAATATAGAAGCCAAATAAGGATAAATTATAGAAGCTCAAAAAATTACCAATCTTATTCCTTAAAGTTCCTCATTGCTATAGGGTTGTTGTTTAGGCCTTAGGGCTTCGGGTTTGGGGTTTAGGGTTTCGAACGTCCAAGTTAGAGGACTCGGGCTTTTTAGGTTGGGTTTATGTTTTCGAGTTTAGGGTTAGGGCATGGTTCGGGTTCAGGATTTGGGGCTTTAGGGTTAGTGTTTAGGGTTTGGGGATAGGATTTAGAGTTCCGAGCTTGCGGTTTTGTAATATCGGGCTGCGGCTAAGGGCTCAGGAGCATCCCCCTCGCCTTAGGAGATTCCGGACCCCCCCTCAAGCAGACAACCAGGACCCTTAGAAGTATGGCAGAAGAATTTAGAAGCCTAGATAGCTAGCAAAATCATTCCTTAGGGTTCCATATTACAGCTATACTATAGAGGAGCCCAAAACCCTGTTCTAATTACTGAGGCCTGTCTCGTGTATTCCTTGTATACGAATAAAGGAGCCGAAAGCAGCATGTTTTAAATATTTCCCCTAGATTTGGGGCTGAGTAGGTAACCGTCAACCTGTTGGGGCTCATATAATCCTACCAGTCTTCAAAAGGTTAGCTTGTTTGGCACTAGGGTACTCAGCCCCTAAGATTATGAAGGGCCCTACATTCTACCACTAGAGTATCCATTGTAGTATCGCACAAGACGACACAGACAAAGTTGTGATGCAACCGCTACGAGTTTGAGAGACAAAGCCGCGGAGCACTTCGGCCACACCAAGCCCTATACGAAGCTCAACCTTCACTACAACGATGTGACATTCACTGATGTGAAGAGAAGCACTCTTGGTGGAATATCTTTCCGCGAAAAGGACATCACCATCGGAAAGTAGGCTTTAGGGGGGATCTACAAGGGGGGTATGGGACTTAGTAAGTGGTTACTTCATAGAGTTATTAGGATCCCACTTCGGGTACCTATAGCTCTACTTACTACCTACTTACTAGGCCCTCCAACCCTCCCCCAGAAAGCCTATAAACCCTTTGGGAGGCTTGGGGTATAAGGCGAGCGTTAGGCTTGGGGTAGGGGAAGGTCTGACTTCGGGGAGCTTCACCGAAACCCCCAAAGCCACGGAGGTTTGGGGCGAGACGTCCCCAGAAACCTTTTCGGTTTAGGGTTTAGGGGTTTAGGGTTTAGGGGTTTAGGGGGTTAGGGTTTAGGGGTTAGGGGTTTATTATACAGGGTTTAAAGTTCAAAAAAGGAGCCCTTAATCGGAGAAGATGCTTTTTTCATAGTTCATACAAAGAGGAGCCCGGAATTATTTGGGGTGTAAGTCTTGAAGGAGCATTAGGCTCTCTGCTGGGTCTTCTGGGCTGTCGCTTTTTTTGTTTCAGAAAAACTCAAGACTCTGTTGCATGGACTGCCGGGTGTTCGGCTAACATAGGGGCCAAAGCAATTACCTGTACTGTTTGGGGTGTTCCTTATTATATGTATAGTTTCATGGGCTCCAAGACTGGTCCAAAACCCTGTTCTAATAATTAAGGGCGTTGTATTTAGGGTTCATGCTCAGCTTTCGCAGTTTAGGGTTTCGGGCTAAAGGGTGCAAGGTTTGGAGCTTGCCCGGTTTTCATTTAGTATTCGCAAAACCCAAGAACTCTCTAACATCCGAGAACGAGCCCTCACGTGGCGAACATTGATGCTATCTTGACAAAACCAGTTACTGTCTGGAATATCCTCTTGGCCTCAAGTCGCAAAGGCAAGATGTCGCCGGTAAATTCCGGGCGGCTGAGGAAAATGCAGATGCCGTGCGGTCAGAGGCCCGTGCCGTGGGTTGAGTTTCAGGTTTTACTTCTGGCTCCCATACGTGTGGCGAAATTACGATAAGAGCTGCCAGAATCTGTTACTACGGTTGATGATATAAATCCTGCATTACCCGTAATAAGGAATATACCATAATTCCCATAGTTTAGGGTCCTTAGGGTATTGCAGGATTTATATCATCAACAGTATTATAAAGCTCCCGTATGAGGGTGTCTATGCGGGCCAGGGCGCATGGGTTAGACGAGTTTGGGCTTGGGTTTCAGTGATTGTTTCAGCTGTTGACTCGGTTGTCTTATAGTAAGTCGATCCTGGGATGAGATGTGTAGGGGCGTGAATAATTACCAGAGTATACCAAGACTATTTTGGGATTCTGAATTACGTAATCATACTACAACATACCCCAAAATAATTTTCTGATCATTAAGGCCCCTAGATTACACTCTAAAGCCCCGAATCTCAAATCCTGCCATACTCGTGCTGTTCCTCAGTGTTTCCGAACACATGTGTAGTTTAACGGCCGTCTAAGAGTCTAAGCACAAATGACATTTCAAGGCTTGTGATCTGCTCCAATGAAGCTAATTGATCCTGAGCCATGCGGCACCAACAAAAGACAGGAACACTGTCCTCCTCAAGCTGACAGGCCTGGGACACTAGGAACACGGACATCATCACCACCCCGTCGAACATCCTCACACCCTCACCCGGGATCCTACATCATAAACCCTAAACCTCAAACCCAAAATCGTAAGCACCTCGATATCCTGACCCGAAAAGGCCAACATTCTCACAGTTTGAAGGATGGAGGTCTGATGTGATCCTAAGCCCTGAACCATGATTTCCTGAACCAAAGCCTCAATTACTTGGGATTCTTAGCTGTATTGGTGTCCGTGCTCCGTTCATGGCAGAAGCAGTAGCCATATCCGGAATAGCCACACTGGGCAAACCCGACGCTGAACCCTGAGCCCGAATCGATTACTTGGAGGGGCAGGGGACTTAGTAAGTAGGTTACAAGAAGAGTTACCATATGTATCCTCAATGGAGTTACCCCAACTATAACCCTACTTATAACCTACTTACTAAGTTCCCCTGCCCCTCCAAGTAGACCCTAAACCCTAAACCCCATAGATCCCTTTTAAGGAACCCTATAGATCCCTTTAGAAAGCCCTTTAAGAACCCTTACTAAGCTCCTCCAAGTATGGCAGCCCCCAACATTGTGCCTCGATGACAGGTGGCGAGCCGCACTGGCCTCAGCACCGAGAGGTCGGTAGTACTGGTTCCTTTAACGGGATCTAAAAGCTTCCCTTTAAGGGGGTTCCTTTAAGGGATCTATAGGGTTTTAGGTTTTAGGGCTTATGGTATAAATCCTGCAATACCTTAAGGACCCTAAACTATGGGAATTATGGTATATTCCTTACTACGGGTAATGCAGGATTTATATCATCAACCGTAGTACCCAGAGATCCGAAGATCCCTTTAATCAAATACCTGTCGAGGTCGGGGAATGATCCTTAATGTAGGAACATGATCAAGAAACCCTGGCCCTATAACCCATCATATTAGTGCTCATATACGGCAGCCCAATAAAGACCCAGGGTTTCTTAATCAGGTTCCTACCCTGGTTACAATACTTACGAGTCTCATGGGCAGGTAGATGGGTAAGTGGGTGTCTGCTAGAACTGTGTCTCTGCATTTTGCATATGTGTGCGCTTGTGTTCGTAGGGGTCAGCAGACACATAGGTAGGTAGTTTTTAGGGGTCCGAATTTATCGATCTGGGGCGTGGGTGCTTCAGGGTTTCCACGGTTTCAGGCTGTGCGGCACTAAAGTTTGCGGTTCCCGCCCCTGGTCTTGGCAGGAGGTTGGTAGATTCTGATCCAACGTACTTAGGGTACAGGGTTTAGGGTGTAGGGTCCCTAAATCTAGTATAGGGGTCTAAACAGTATAATTAAGCATAGTATACTGCGCCCCAAAACCTTATTCAAATTTTTAACTGGGGATCCAAAAGCCTACTGTCTCAAGGGTTATACCACTTCATTAAGGGATCATAACCTACTATTTTGTAGGGTTTGGGGATACAGCCCTAAGGGTCCATGTACCCATATAGAGATACATGAGCCCCAAAGTACCTATACAGGGACTACATTGAGGCCGATGAATATACAATAGGAGTACATGGACCCTTAGGGCAGGTAAGGCCCCTGCATGCTAAATCTAGTATAGGGGTCCAAAAAATATTATTAAGCATAGTATACTGGGCCCCAAAACCTTATTCAAATCATTAAGGCCCCTGCATGATCCTTATAGCAGTCCTTATAGTCCCCTTTAAAGGAACCTTATTCTAATCCCCTACATTTACGCCTGCTTCACCGCCTCTTGAGGTTTTGCCTCGCTACCCGAGCCACGTTCTCGGCTTCTTAGGGGCTGAGTAGGTAACCTTTTGGGAACATACTTTAAAGGGATCTTTAAGGGCCTTATAAGGGAATTAAGGAATATACCTTAAATTAAAGTAGGATCCCTAATATGATTTAAATATATTCCTTAATTAAGGGGTTTGGGACGGTCTGGGTAACCATAGGCTCCATAGTAGTTCCTTTTTGGGACTACCTTGTAGCATTCTTTTTTATGACCCCCCCAAAAGGAACTACGATGGAGCCTCTAGGTAACCTTGATATAAAGATTTTGGGGCTCACAGAATCCTGCCATCGTTCAAAAGGATAATGTTTTTTGGGCTAATTAGGGTACGCAGCCCCTGGAAACAGAGTTCAGTAACGTGTCCGTTCGCGGTTTAGTGTTTGAGGTCACGTGATGGATGGTTTGAGGTTTCAGAGTTTAGGTGAGCATTTACCCAGAGGCTCCAACGTGGTTCCTTCTTGGGGTTTCTTTATAGGATTCTAAATATGAACCCCAAAAAGGAACTACTATGGGGCCTATGGGTAAGGTCGTAACCCTAGGGATACAAATAGCCCAAAAGCCTTATATAGTATGGCTTTTGGCCCAAATGCCTTCAAATATGAGTCCTTAGATCCCTAGGGTAAGGTGGTGGGATGGAAGGTGCAACGCTTCCAGGACTTTGGGTGTGCGGCTTGGAGGGTTTGGAGCTCAAGCTTCGAGTTTAAGGGTTGAGGGTTCGGGGATGACGTGGTTTGCAACATGTGGGAGTTTCCGAAAACCAGGGGTGCCTGATTTTGGGGGTCCTTTTAATAAGGATCCTTTAATTTAGGGTACTATAGCAGGGTCCCCTATTTTCGGAAACTCCCACGTAGATGACGGTTTCGGGGAGGTTCGGCGGATGCTATCTTCTGAGCTTTTCTGGTCAGATCTTGGTACCGACTTCAAATCGTGACCCTAAACCCTAAATCCCCAGTGGATCCCCAGACCCTAAATCTTGAAACCTTACCCAGTTGAGTACTTGGATCGCAGTGGAGTGTGTGGGAAGGTTGAGCTTTAATTACTCCAGACTATACCCTACCCGGGCACCTCAGCCCTAAATGGTGGTTCGTGATAACTAGGCGAATATGCGCAATTCTCAGAACTTTATGGACCCAAGCCATCGTGCCCGATGGCTGCTTCTGTGCACTGGGAGTGGATTACCCACATGTCGATCAAGGAAGAACCAGCCCTCTGGAGCGTCAGATCAACAGGGCCTACCATGTTCGAAGTCTGGCCTGTCATCCGGACAAGCGCAACCACGACAGGGTGACTCAGAGGCTCAGGTCAGGCTGAATCTGTTGAAGGAGACGTGTATCCCTGAAGCAGAAATGACGAATCATGCATCAAAGAGAAGCTTGGCACGTTTTTGTCCACTCATTCAGCGCAGGGATGCGAGGCATGTGTCGGCTCAAAGCCTCGGACACACAGTGCTCTCGGCCCTCTCCTTACCTTCGGTCAGTAGGGAATGGAAGAATGGTAGTAGTAGTAGTAGTAGTCATAATTGTACCCATTCCTTCAATCCCTACTAACCAAGGGAATGTCTCGGCATCAATCCTGCATTACCTTAAGAACCCTAAACTATGGGAATTATGGTACATTCCTCTTTATGGGTAATGCAGGATTTATGTCATCAACCGTCTCGGCCCTCTCGGCATCCGACTGCGAGCCCGAGCCTGCCTCGAAGAGTTCCTTTCGGCCGTCGCCACGAATATAGGGGCCCTAATAATCAGAAGAGGGTTTTGGGGGTTCCTTTTTAAAGGGGTCCATTAGGGATAATATGAGGGATCTGTAGCAGAGTTCTATGATATAGAGGTAATAGGGGGCCCATATACTATAATTAGAATAAGGAACCCCCAAAAAGGGTAGGTAATTATCAAGGTCCCTATATGATGCAACCCTGCACAGCCCTATAGAAACAATGAAGCAAGCGCAAAAAGCTCTGCAAGCAGCCGCATACAACCCTACCCAAACAACTGTGAAGACAAGCGGCTGTTTGCAAGTCTCTAACTAATCCTCTCAAGCCCTGAACCTTCATGAATCCTCAGCCCGACAGCAAACGCTGAGCCCTAAACTATGAAACCCGAAGCAGTCTTCAACGTCCCAAATTGGGTATCGATTTCTGATAATTGTTGATTTCACTTATTGTCTAATGTAGAGCCCTGGTTATACATGGTTTTCCCTAAACCCTTAGGGATACTTAGAAATAGCTGTTAATCTTTGGTTACTACAACTCCCAAGAAAGAGCTATGCTGATATTTGCGCTAGGAATCTAAGTTCTTAGAGGATCATAGGACTAAGGTTAGAATTGGGGCTATATGTCTCCTAGGTGGGGTGATCCTAATTTTTTAACCTATGGGACTTAGTAAGTAAGGTTATAAGGTAGGTTTTTATTTGGATAACCCCACTTAGGGGGCTTATAACCCCAATTATGGCCTACTTACTAAGTCCCATGATCCTCTAAGTAGACCCTAAACCCTAAACCCCAAAGATCCCTTTAAGGAACCCTATAGATCCCTTTAAGGAACCCTATAGATCCCTTTAAGGAGCCCTATAGATCCCTCTAAGGAACCCTATAGATCCCTATAAGGAACCCTATAGATCCCTCTAAGGAGCCCTATAGATCCCTTTAAGGAGCCCTATAGATCCCTTTTTTTGGGAGCCCAAGCTTCGAAGTCCCAAGAACCCGGCCGGGTCTCTGCGCAGTTACCAAGCGGAGCTCCAGCCGGTGAAGCGTCAGCTCCAGGCCACTTAAAGGATCATGAGACTGAGTAACTGCCTTCCTTTAAAGGGCTCCTTTAGGGGATCTCTATAGGGGTTCTATAAGGGGTAGCTTAGGCTACTTCAAGGACCACGGGACTTAGTAAGTAGGTTGTACTTGGGGTGATAAGTACCTTAAATGGCGTTACCCCAACTATAACCCTGCTTATAACCTACTTACAAAGTCCCCTGCCCCTCCTTTAAAGATCCCCTTATAACCCTCTTAGAGGTCCCTTTAAGGAGCCCTTCTGTTATTACCTACTTACTAAGCCCCCTGCACCTCCGGGCCAGGCCCTTAGAGCGGGAGAGGGGCTCCGTGGGATCCTTTAAGGGATCCCTTAGCGGCTTATTTAAAGGATCATGGGACTTAGTAACTATGATTATAAATTGGGTAACTATACTTATAACCCCAATTAAAGTACTTATATCCTTACTTACTAAGTCCCCTGATCCTCCAAGTAGGGTTTAGGGCTTAAGGGTTCTATAAGGGTTCCTTCAAGGGCACCTTTAAAGGGATCCCTGAGAGGCTTCAGGGTCTAGGGTCTAAGAGTTCTAAGGGATCCTTTGGCGGTTTGGGGTTTAACTAGGTAGGCCTTTGGGACATTTTATATTTTCCCTTATTGGGTTTAGTAGGACCCTATTTACGAATATTTTTCAGAGGCTTTAAGGGGCCAACCTAGTTAAGGGTTCTATAAGGGTTCCTTGGGTTCCTTCAAGGGCTCCTTTAAAGTATCGCTCCTGAAATGGAGCTCTGGAAGGATTGGGCCTAGGGTTCAGCGATCCTTCTCAGGTATCTATGAATGTACGGGGCTCCTTTAATGGATCCTTCATGGGTTCTACAAGGGACTGGTTTAGCCCCTTTTTTTGAGGGTCGTAAGATTAGGACCTCGATTATAGTCCCGACTGAGTTAAGGCAGTTTTTAGTCGGGGTCATAACTTTGTAGATGCCATGAAACTTTACAAAGGCCATCTACAATCAGTTCCAAGGTCATATGAAGCCGTATGAACCGCCAGATAGCGAGGATAGCATAGCAGAAGGGCTCCGGAACCGCAACGAGAGGTTCCTCAACATATTTTGTGCCGTAGAATTATCATTGTTCAGGCCCCTCACTAAACCCTCTACTTTGTGACCCCTCAGAGACTCCTGCAAAGACATCCCATTCTAAACTAGACAGGCCCCCCTACTACGGCATTTGAGATGTCTGGTTCTACGAGCGAGGGTTCTTGGGGCGTTGGGGCTTTCGGGTTTAGGTTTTAGGCGTAAGTGCCACGAAAACATCCTGCATGATGAGTCCTGGGTGACGAAGTGGGGGTTGGGTTTTCTAGTCTGTTATCGTTTTTCCTAGGGGCTATCAGCGCCTACGATGATCACTATATGATACTAAATTCTTCGGTTTGCCTCATTTTTTTGACACAGAGCAACCCTGTGGCGCCACTCTCAGGGAAGTGCATCCTGGTACACTCTTGGAAGAACTGCTACTCAAATCCCAACACCCTCTAACCTCAAGCCTAAAACCGGGTACCCTACAACGGTCAACACCAATCTGTCTAAGCCTAAACCCTAAACCTGCAATCCAAAAGCTCTGCACCGCAGTTGGTGGAAAGCCTTCTTCTCGCGCAAGCTGGTCTGTTTCAGCAGGGTTTTCAGGGGCCAAGATACACACCCTAAACCATAAACCCTAAATGGGCCCCACGGGGTAGGAAAACTTTAATTTAGGGGGTTTATATAGTCCTAACATAATCGAAAAGGTTAACCTTTGTAGGGCCAGGGTAGTCCGCCCCTAGGTAAGCTGTTGGGGTAAGTTTTACGAGGCAATGGGTTCCGACACATTCCCTTTTGTAGGAGGCGCAAGGGCTACAGGGGTTTGACATGTTGTAGTTATAGTTCCATCAAGCAACAGGTCTAATGTTTGGGCATGATAGAAACCTTAAGCCCTGAACCAACCCCGAAACAGGGAGTAGGTTAGGGGGTAGGGCAGGAGCGAAGGGTAATGTAGGGTAGGCAGGGCAGGGCAGAGTGTAGGGCAGGGCTGTTTAGGTGGGAGGGCAGGGGTTAGGCAGGGTATAGGGCAAGGGGTAGGAGGGGTTCGATGGGGTAGGGTAGGGCAGTAGGGTAGGGTCAGCGTACAGCAGGGCAATGGGGTAGTGGTTAGGGCGGTTAGGGTGGCCATTGATGAAGAGGATATCAATGCCGTGCCTGGAATCGACGACAATCCAGATGACGTCGTGGGAGTTTCCCACGAGAGGGGACCCTAATGTAGTACCCTAAATAGTAGGATCCTTGTTATAAGGTAATAAGGACCCCAAAATAGGGTACCCCTAATTTTCGGAAACTCCCACGTGCCGTGGGCAGCCAATCTTTCTTTTCCGGAACTAATGGATCTTGCGCGCACCATTAATGTGGGAACCTGATTAAGAAACCCTGACCTGACCGCAAAGTAGTAGGATTCATAAAAGGAAACCAAATAAAGGCCCAAGGTTTCTTAATCAGGTCCCTATATCGAACAAACCCAAAACTCTTGTAGTACCCCTTATAGTACCCGTGTAGTACCCTGGGTTCCTACATTAAGAAGGAGCAGATGGACGCTGGAAGCGAGATGCGTGAGAAGGACGGCTGGCGAGGACTGAAAGGCCTCGCAGGTGGCAACAACCGGTCTCTTCTACACACCTGCCGTTTCTGGTGGAGGCCGAAGGGATGTGATCGTCCAACCTATTTCCGGTACGATTATTCGCGGGGTATCTTATCTTTATATGCATATTTCCGGAAGTTGACTTTAATTGCTGTAGGATATTGGAGCCTGAGTTTGTTCAGAGCACGGCGAGCCAGGCAAGCCGCCGATCGGCTGTCGGCTAGGACGAAGGTCGAGGGGGCTAGGGATCCTTACAGGGTTCTCTAAGGGATCCCTCAATGGCTCTACAAGGGATCTGTAGGGCGTTTAGGCTTGAGGGTTTAGGGTTTGGGGTTTAGGGCGGAGGGGGTCCGACGCCGGAGGGCGAGAAGTTCCAGGACATGGAGACCATGCAGCTGATGAATCGATTCCAGCATGACCTTTTAGGGTTCCTGTAGGGGATCTATAGGGTTTAGGATTTAAGAGGGTTTAGGGTTATGATATAAGTCCTGAATTACCTGAAGGACCCTAGACTATGGGAACTATTGTTTTTCCTGATTAAGGGTAATGCAGGATAGATAAGAGCGACGGCTCTTATTTGCGTTTATACTACAGTACTTTGAAACGAGATACCTCCGTGCAGTATTTTTGTTGTCGGTACTAGCCCCACTAGGGGAACGAGATAGGAGCACCGCTTCAAACGAGATCAAGTATATCTAGTACTAACGATACTTGAACGAGATCGACTTTTTTTGCCAGTACTTAACATGAATAGGGGCACCGCTTCGAGATAGCGTAATTAGCCCAAGCAATAAATAAACGCAGTGGCTCTAATAAATAAATATAAATAAATAAATATATATATATATATATACATATACACTAATATATGTCTCTCACTCTCTCTCTCTCTCTCTCTCTCTCAACCGTACCAAGTGAGCTTGGCCGCATCATCTATGACTGCACCCGAGTCAAGAGGATCTCGGGAGTATCCCTTTAAGGACCTTGGTCAAATAGAATTCTGTATGCTAGCCTTAGTAGCTGAGTGGATTCACTTTACACTTTTTGGGATAGTAGTACCTACTATAAAACTGAAAGTGTACACTTTTGGGGGCTTATGAACTCAGCAACTAGGTAGCTGTTTAAAGGGACCCCATTCTTCCAAAGCCCTTGTTACAACCCAAAACCCTAAACCCAAACGCCTAGTCTTGAAAGGCCCATATTGTCACAAGAATCCGAGCAAGGTTCATAGGACGCCAAAATGGGTTTTAGCCTATGGGAGTTTAGTGGGGATTATAAGAGGGTTCATATTTAGGAAGCCCTACCCCAAGAATCTTAAACCCCCGTATGGCCTCCCATCAAAGGTACCGGGAAGCCTTGTCGGAAATGACGGTGAGGCCAGCTCCGCCTTTTTTTAAGGTTCAGGGATTTAGGGTTTAGAGTTTAGGTTTAGGGTTCAGGTTTTAAGTCTAGGTTCAGAGGACTCGGTTCTTGTGGGTTCTGTGTTTGAGGGTTCCGGTCGTTTGGGATTTTGCAGTTTGGGCTTGAGGCTTGTCAAGCAGCTTTAAGTTGCCAAAGTAGGGAGACTCTAAGGAATTTGAGGAATTAGGGTTAAGTTTCACACAAAGGAAGCATTAAATAGTTACCTTAGATCCCTACTGTGGTAACTTTATTCAACTCCTGAACAAGCTTCGTCCTTCGGCACTGTGATGCCTTCGAAAAATTCACAGTAGCTATATGCGTCGGCTTCTTGTGCATCTGTTTCTATCGCAATCCAATCCCTCATCTTTCAGCTACATATACATATGCATATACATGTACATATGCATATACATGTACAGATATGTGTGTGTGTATGCATATATATATATATACACATACCATACCATATGTATATAGACATATATACCCATACATACAAACATACATACATACATACATACATACACTCTCCGACCAAAAGGGTTGTTTGGGGTCACTGGTGAGGGTTTCGAGCGCTGTGTGGAGCATTCGCATCTCACATAGACTTTGCTGCCTCCCCAGTCCTTAAATGCCTTTTTGCAGTTTTTTCTAGGTTCTTTTCATGCACTTATAGGGACCCTGCAAAAAAACAGGCTGTTGTAGCTCAAGCTGGAAATGGACAATATTTCACGTAGTTTTCACGCAGCGGTGGTGATGCACGATTTCATCCATCAGCAGAAGTTTAATTTTCTACGTTACATAGACTACGATTGATATTCGAGTCTACCAAAAGTATTCTGGCCTGCAGACAAGTATAGGTATATGATCACGATACCGAACAGAGTCTACCGGCAGTCAGAGAAGCACGAAGTGCAGGCTCCGGGGATCGTTGGAGAAGGATTCCAGCGCGCAGCAGCCTAGCAGTGCCTTGGAAAAGATAACCTCGTAGTAGAGTAAGAAACCTTCCAGAATTTTGAGGTATTCTGATTCCTGAATAATTAATCCAAAATGCTACAGCTTAGTTCCTTTGGGAAGCTTGACAAGCCAGACAACGAGTTGCCGATAGTTTCAGGGTCTTAGGACCACAACGGTTTCGTTCTGAGGCCCTAAACCCTATACCCCAACCCTTAATCCTAACCCTAATTCCCTAAACCTGAGTATTCAAAACAAGTAATAAACCACACAATCAGCTACAATAGCATAAGCCTGTTCAGAGATCGAGCTTGGTTTATCATTGCCTTTCCGAAACCACGAGACCCCAGGAACATCATTGAGAAACCCTCGAAGCTCTGAGCTAAACATCAAAAGTGTGGACTTGGAGGATTAGGGATTAGGGTTTAGGGATTAGGGTTTAGGGTTTAGGGTTCAGGGTCATGGGCTGCTATGCTCCATTTTTTGCGCCCTGCTTGGGTGCTTTTGAAGGTTTTGTAGTGCTTTGTAGGGCACTACCCATTTCTGGCTCAGACAGTGGCTGCGTCCCACCCCTGATTGATGCTCTTCGCTTTTAGCTTTACCTATACAGCACATACGGTGGATGATATAAATCCTGCATTACCTTCTGACCCTTTACTAAGGGAATTATCGTATATTCCTTATTATGGGGAACGCAGGATTTATATCATCACCTGTAGTATACAACCCTAAGGCCTGCTGGGGGGCTGCCGTTGCATTTTACCCTCGTCCGAAGCATGACCTGCAGCCCGAGAGCCTGAGGACTACTTGGAGGGTCGGGGGATTTAGTATAGTGTTATTTTATAGAGCTATAAGCACCACAACCCCAATTAGGTTCCCGCTGAGGGTCTTATATCTCTACTTCTTACCTACTTACTAAGTCCTTCGACCCTCCAAGTAAGCCCCGACCCCTCACACCGAAACACTGTTGGTAACAGATGATTTAAGCTAAATTCTTTAATGTAGGGGGGGTATTGGGCTCTCTGGGTAAGCCCTTTCTGATTAGCGCTAAGCTTGAAGAGCAAACTCTTAAGGCCCCAACCCTCCTTGCTCCCCAGGCCGAACCCGGCCGCCAAGTGGGGCGGGTGCACTTGTCCTCTCGGCCGCGTGTGTGCCCTGCGCCATTGTGCACCGGTTCACCTGAACAAAGCGCAGCTGGTGGACCTGCGAACTTAGAGTGCGAGACTTGGAATCATGTGGCGAACACTGCAGCCATTCAGCCGGCTCGTGATTCAGATTGTTCCTTCTGAGGCAAACACAGCAAGTCATGCGGAACTTTGTTGTACGGCTGGCTGGACTAATTAATTGCCCTAAAAGCCAAGTTGTTGTCGCCCTATCTGAATATTGGGCCGGCAGCGCTACAGACATTGGCCGGAGCATCATGATGTCCGCCACGTGGATCTCGGCGCAGTTCAAGGCTGTTCTCGCTGCATTCGCTCAGCAGAACGGACCCGGGCCGATTGTCCTCTACGATCCAGACAGGGTTACGGTTCACCTCAACAAGACACAGCTCGTTGATGTGCTTTGCGGCAGACCCATACCCTTCTCCTGAATAGGCAATCCTCGTAAACACCCAGAGAGCCTGTCTGAGACTCTTTGATAGGGGCCCCAAGAGGACATAAGCATACGCGTTTTATGTAGACATCCCTACGTTATTGGGTTTCATTGTAAAGGTGCTTAAATGGGATATCGGATATCCCTGTTAGAATCCCTATCCTTATTTTTTTCTTATGTGCTTTTTTTGGGTCCTATGTAAGGTTCTTTTGGGAGACCATGGGAGACAGAGGGCCTTGAACTCCTGGCGCAAGAAAGCTAAGAAATTACCCTCCCAAACCTGGGTTAGGGGTTGGGGTTTAGGGATGTTCAACAGTCCCTCTTGCGAGCACTCGGCCCCTATGTTGGCCACTGAAGACAGCAGAATGAAATTTCGGAGCCACCCTGTTCTCATGATTTAGCGAATCCCCTTCTTGATCAGGGCGCCTTTATTCCACCATATGACTACCCTTTTAGATCCCTTTAAAGATACCCGTCTACGATATTTCAAGGAGTCCTAAGCCCCTAAAGGCCCCATAGTAGATCCTTTTTGGGATTACGTCATAGGAGTCTAAATATGAACCAGCAAAGGAACTACTATGGAGCCTCACCACCATATGACTACCCTTTCAGATTCCTTTAAAGATATCCGCCACGTTACCCGTCTAAGATCCTTAAAGGAACCCTAAACCCGTCTAAGATCTTTAAAAGAACCCTAAACCCTAACACTTAAAGGCCCCCTATCTCAGGTCCCCGAAGCGGGCGTTGGGCTGCGAAGCAAAGCCTTGCAGCGAGTGCGAGGCCATGAATTAGGGCTGTAATGTGGGAACTTGATTAAGAAACCTTGGGCGTTTCTTAGGGTTCCGTAAGGGCTCCTTTAAGGGCACTATAAGGGTACTACAAGGGCTTTGGGGGGTTTGATGTGGGAACCTGGTTAAGAAACCTTGGGCCTTTATTAGGGTTCCTTCTATGAATCTTACCATTTGGGGGTTGTAGGCCAAAGGTTTCTTAATCAGGCTACATGAGGCAGGCTTCTACGTCGAGGGCCGAGGGGACGTAGTATATAGTTAGTTTAAAGAGATATAGGTACCAAAATACCATAACCCCAAGTTGGATCCCACTTAGGACACTTATAAGTCTACTTAAGGCTGTAGGCAGGCTTCTAACGGGCTTTAACACTCCTAAATGATTAACAGCTCTCTTTTGGGGTTCCTTAGTATAATTTTAATGGGCCCCAAAGCCCTATTCTAATTGTTCAGGCCCCGATAGTAGGCGGGCTTCTACTTGGAGGGTCGGGGGACTTAGAATATATTCTTCTGTAGAGTTATAGGTACCGTCACCCCAATTAGGATCCCACTTAGAGCACTTGTAAGTCTACTTACTAAGTCTTCCGACCCTCCAAGTAAAGGGGTTTAGGACTTGTACGGTTTGGGGCTTGGGCCATATGAGCGTTGTCATGGCCCTAAACCCCAAACCCTCAACCCCTTTAAACCCCATATCATATCTTCTAAGCCTCATATATCATATCGGGAGTGTTTGGGGTTTAGGACTTCTCTGAGTAGGCAACCTTGAACATTTTGGGGCTCATACAATCCCACCATGGTGAACCTTTCTTGGGCCAGGGTACTCAGCCGAGTATCCCTTTATTCCCCTGCAAAGGAACCCTAGAGATCCCCTTATAGGGCCGAGAGTATGCTTTATCGTATCCCTTTACAGTCCCCTTTAAAGGAACCCTTTAGATCCCCCAGAGATCCCCTTATAGGGCTAAGGGGCCATGAGAAAGTTCAAAGGTGAATCGGAGGGCTTCTGCTTGGATGGGCGAAAAAGTATCCAGCAGTCGGGGGATCTTGTGCTCTTTGATGTATCATTTGAAGGGATCCATAACGGTTTCTTTAAAGGGATCTATAAGGGTTCCTTTAAAGGCCTCTATCAGGAATAGGGTTTCGGGGTCTAGGGGTTTAGGGGTGTAGGGTGTTTAGGGTTTAGGGTCTGGGGTCAAGAGGTTCAGGGTTTAGGGGTTTAGGGTTCAGGGCTTGCAGACAGCGTGAGAGCATTGACAACAGCGACCTTTGTGGCTCGAAATTAGGGTTTAGGGAGTACGTACCGTTTCTTTTGGAGGTTCCTTCCTCGGGATTGAGCCATCCGTAGGCACTGAGTAGGTAACCTTTGTGTACCTTTTTGGGGCTCATATAATCCTACTTTAATTCAATAGGTTAACCTTTTGTGGGCTAGGGTAATTACTCAGCCCCTGAGAATCTTGCATCAGCGGCTACTGGGAAAATTGGCTTTACGCGTTTTGGGGATTATCGCTTCGGGCTTGAAGGCTTCAGACAGGTTTTGCCTTTATTGTGCTCTGAATTTGGGGTTTTGGGCAGCTGCGATACTCTGCAGCATCACTGCTACAGCAAGGTTTTGGCGTTGTACATCCCCCGTGGCCACAAGGAGACAGGCTATAACAAGCGCTCCCTTTCCTGGAAGAAGAAGGAAGATGGCCAGGGCAGCGATCCCATGACAGCTTCATGCAGAAGCCTTACAGGCAAGAGCAAATCGTCAGCAGAGGGGTCGATGTGAGCCTGACTGCCAGGCAGTTCACGGGCCTCATGCCGACAAGGGGTGGTGCATGGAAAAATTCAGGAATCAGACACGCGGGTGTCTCACCAATGTCAATCGGCGTAGTATTCCCATGGGTCCGATGCAGGATACGCCACATGCTCAGAGGGCGATGTCCTGAAAGTGCTGCAATTCGCTGGTGAGAAGGGCGACTCGGGCTCAGCGATCCAAGATCGGCACACCATTCGTGTATAATGGGACGACGGGGCTCAGTGGACAAGCCGATGCTGCCATGCCAGTTGTTCTAGGGAGCTTCTCGTGAACGTAGAAGAGCTTGATAAGGGATACAGACTAGGTTCCTGAGTAGTACCCATTGGCGCTTTTTCGTTTGGGGTCTCCTTCTTGAAACTGACTCTTAGAAAAAAAGGTACTCTCATTATTCCGGGGCTACTGAGGAACTTGGCAGAGCATGAATAGCTGGAACAAGTATCAAAACTATACCTTAGGGTCACTATTAACAAGAATACCACAAAAAACTGCACACAAAAATCATTCGAACTGTTCAGGCCCCCTGCATCACCTTTAGTGCAGCTTTTCAGGTTTCCAATCGGGAAGCCTACAGTGCTAACCGCCACGATGTCAAGCCCTACGCCCCGAACCCCAAACACCAAATACCAAGCCAGAGAAATATCACATCATAAAGCCTCGGCCTAGAGACCCTCTTCCACAAAGCATACAAAGCTCTGTAGAGCCCTCTCTGAAATATGTGTGTGTGTGTATATATATATGTCTAAAATCAAATAGATAGTCCCATATAGAGTCTGTATATAGAGCTCTTTCAAATCTTTGAATAAATGTCACAGCCCGGACCCTAATCCCTAACCCCCAAAACCCCTTAACCCTACACCCCTGAACCCTAAACCCTAAAGCCCTGAACCCCGAGCCACAGAGCCGGGCCAGGCGCCACGCTTCCGTCGATCGCATGTGGCACCCGGGAACTCAAGGCCGTTCCGGGAGCTTAATGCAAGGGTTTAGGATTTAGGGTGTAGGGGTTTAGGGCTAGGGCAAGGGTTCCTTCAAGGGTTCTATAAGGGATCTATAGGTGTTTAGGGCTTAGGATGTGGGGTTTAGGAGTTTGGGGTGGAAGGGTGCGGGGCTTTAGGGTTTAGGGGTTTCGGGGTATAGGTTTAGGGGTTCTTAGGGTGTAGGGTTTAGGGTGTGGGAGCAGAGTTTAAGGTGCAGGGTTTAGGTTGTAGGGCTTTGGCTGTGGGAGGTTTTAGGGGTTGGGGGTCTTAGGATTCAATGTGGCTCTTGGAGGGAGCAGGGACGGAATCTGACTGTTTTAGTGGGGTGTCAAGTGAGCTGATTTCGACTGAAACTTGGTTTCATCGGGGCTTTGTACTGTCAATCGTGCATTCCACGGTACGACCGACTAGTCGGGGAAGGGCACTTTTCCAATTATTCAGATTTCAGAAGGTAACCCCGAAAGAAAGTAGCAAAATGTCACGACCGGGAGACTTCGACATTGATCAAGCCACAACTTGGAGGGGCAGGGGACTTAGCAGGTGGGTTATAAGTAGGGTTATAGTTGGGGCACTTACAACTCTACTTATAACCTACTTACTAAGTCCCCTGCCCCTCCAAGAAGGGCGACATAATTCGCACTCAACAGATCGCTTCCACGGTCCAGTTTCCAGAAGAACATAGCTCAACAAAGAAGCCCAAACCAAACCCGAAACACCTCGTACAGGGGCCTTGATAATTCGAATAGGGTTTTGGGGTCCATTATACTGTAATTATAATAAGGAGCCCCCAAAATAGTATAGGTAATTATTGAGGCCACTAAAGTATTCACCCCCGAACCCAGAAGCCTAAGCTGTAAACAGTGACCAGGATTGAAGAAGCTCGTTGAGGGAGCCCTGCAGAGCGTGGAGGAGCAGAGGGTTTAGGGGTCCTTATTAAAGGGTCCTTTAAAGGGACCCTTACTCATATAGAAACCCAAGAGAATATATCAAAGAACATTTTTATTGTGGTTCTAACGGGGGTATAGTATTGAAGGGTAGCAAAGTAATTAGAAGTCTTACACCACATTACATGCTTGTTTTGTGGTGTGAAGACCGCAAGCCCCAAAGCCCCTCACATCCTGAAAAGCCCTGTAAAGAAAATCGCCGCAAAGCCGAAACTCCAAGAACAGCATGGGAACACAATTTTGGCGAGCCGTTAAGGACCCCAGCAAGAGCTCCATAGAGCCCTGTGAAGGGTCGCAAATCCCGAAAGTGAGCCCCAAAATCTGAAATCCACATGAAGCCCTCTACTATACGACCTTGTTTAGGGTCTAGGGTTTAATTAACAGCAGCAACACCGAACACATCACGCCTCTGTCAGGAGTTGCACAGCCGAGTGAGGCGAGTGGAGACGCGGCCCAAGCGTACAACTTCCGCGGAATTGACGTGAGGGGTCAGGACTTCTGACTTGCTTCGGAGGTTCAGCGCTATCAGGCTCTAAGGCTGCTGGAATTTCTGATTAGGGCCCTAAACCCTAAATCGTTCAGGGTTTTGGGGCTGCGGGCTTTTCGGGTTTAGGGCTTCGGGTTTTTCGGGTTTCTGTAGGCTGGCGCTTGTTTGCTTCACTGATACGACTCTGAGGACCCCTGAGCCCTCAAGGCAACGTGAAAGTTGGTGCTAGACTAGAGTTTTGGTGTCTAGAAGCATAAACAGAAAAATATGTACGTGTATATATATATATATATATATACATATGTGTACGTATCTATGTAGCCATACACACGCGCACCTGTTTATGAGGTCAATTGCAATGATTTCTAATTCTGAGTATTTGGGCTATAAGCGTCTATGTTGAATGCGTATCGGCTGTAACCTCAACTTTTCAACTTTTGGGGCTGTTACAAGGTAGTCGATTCTAAAAGTTTCAACTTTTATTCCCTTGGGTTTTGGGCCAGTGAGAATGAGTATTCCGACCTCTCTATCAGTATCTCGTCGGTTCGCAGTTCTTTGGCTGCCACTTGCTACCAGGGCAATGGGTTTAGGGTATGAGGGTTTAGAGTCTAGGGGTTTAGGGTTTGGGGTTTAAGGTACCCAGACCAGACTTTCCACAATCCCTTAATTCAGGAATATACCTTAACTTGCGGTATACTGCTTAATTAAGGGATTTTGGAAGGTCTGGGTATAGGGTTTAGGGGGGTTTAAGGGGGTGCCCCGCCTTGCCCTTTGGCTCAAGAACATCCGGAGCCTAATATAATATCAGGGCCGTAAGAAAAATGCTGAGAGTATCCCCTCAAAGCCACTATATACTTATACGACAATGACCCCCAACCCCCATTTTAATTGTGAAGGCCCCCATTATCATGGAACCCCTTCCAGGCTGTTCAGTGGTACACTTTTTTACTTTCCGGTTTCTGGGTTCCGATTATAAAAAGTATTATAGACCCATTTAAGGAACCCTTTAAAGGAATCCTGGTTCTCTAAACCTCTCAAAAATACAGAACCTCGCACCCCCAACCCAGACCCCCGGGAGGATCCAAAAAAAAGATCCCTTAATGAGGATTCATAAAGTACCCTTAGTAGTATAGGGCCTCAAATTAGGGGATCTACTTTCTAGATCCTCCCCGGGGTCTGGGAACACACCAAAAAGTACAAGTCCGACAACCTAACCCATACTGTCTATACTATACTTCACTGTACTATACTACACTACACAATAATATTGTGTAGTGTAGTATAGTACAGAAATAACTATTACTCTATCTATAGATATAGCGAGGGTTTCCGAAAATAGGAGACCCTTGTATAGTACCCCCTAAATAGTAGGACCCTGATTATAAGGACCCCCAACATAAGATGAGGTACCTGTACGTATGTTTCTGAAAGTCCCATACATTGGTAAAGTCTAAATTCCATAGCAGTAGTGTCTCCCATTTTAATGATGAAGGCCCCCATATCATAGAACCCTTCTTGGATCATTGACCCATTTAAGGAACCCGTTACCCACAGATCCCAATACCCCCTTAAACCATAATATGAAGGCCCCTATAATTTAATGTATATTCCTTAGTTAAGGGATGTGGAGATCTCTGAGTTTAAGCTTTGACCCCTTTAGGGACGCTCTTAAAGAAAAGACCAACCCAGAGGGTCCATATACATTACTAATCTCGAATTAGGTTCCCCCAAAACCATAATGGGGATGGTCTTATAGGGCCTAATTCAATAATAGTAGTGTTTATGGACCTGGCCCATTTAAGGAAGGAACCCTGAACCCTAAACCCTTAACGAAAAGACCAAGTTCAGATTCGAACCTGAGGGATTCGTCATCCGCTGGCGAGCTTGCAGCGGCTTGACTAAACCTGATGTCTGCCTGGGAGTTCCGAAAACAGCGGACCCTAATATAGTACCCTAAATAGTAGGATCCTTATTATAAGGACACCAAAAGACGGTGCCCCCCGCAATTTTCGGAAACTAGTGCATATGCAGGTTGCCTAAGGGGTCGAAGCAGGGTCCAAAAACCGCTCGGAGTATGGATTGCGGGACCGAAAACCCTACTGCTTGGGTACTTGGACACTTAGGGTTTGGCTACAACAGACCATCCTCAATATGGCTTTAGGGACTGAACTCAGAGATCCCAATATCCCTTCATTAGGGAATATACCATACCTTAAGTTTTAGGGGCCTTAATATTATGGTTCAAAGTAGATTCCTTAATTAGGGGGTATTGGGATCTCTGGGTTTAGGGACCTAAATCCATCATGGAGGTATGTATGGAGCCTCTGGGGGAAGTGCATCTACAAGTTGGTTACAGTTGACCCGCACTCCGAATCTCCAAGTAGGGAGCGGCGGTAGCCGTGTAGTTACAGGGGTTAGGATTAGGGTTTAAGGTTGACCTTAACCTCGAAGAACCTGTACTTCTAAGGACGTATATAAGGAAACCATGATGAGGAACCTGACGAAGGTAGGCTATTCAGGGTTAAGGTAGGGTTCAGGGTTTCAGGCAGGGTTTACGGTTACGGGTTTACGGTTTAGGCTCTGAGTCTCCAGTAGGGGACCCGACCCTAAATCCTATATAATACCTCAAAGGAGCTTAAGAAAGGGACCCTAGTTCAGAGAATTTCCCATAGAGGTCTGTGGAACATGACTCGACTAATGTAGGAAACCTTGGGCCTTTATGAGGGCTCCTTTTTGAATCCTACTATTTTGGGGTTATAGGCCCAGGGTCTCTTCATCAGGTTCCTACATTACCTACTGTTTATACCTTATCGGCTGTAAACTCAACTTCTTAACTTTTGGGGTTCTTATAAGGTAGTAGATTCTGAAAGTTTCAACTTTTTGTTCCTTGGGTTTTGGGCCAGTGAGATACCGTGGCGCTTCCTTAGTTCGTCCGTCAGGTTTCAAGGTATAGCGGGGCTTCGGAGTAGCATACTTTAATATTTTTTTTGGTGGACCTGGTACTTAAAGGGGACCATTCTGAAATACAAGTCTATACCTTTTTTCCCCCGGTTACCTCAAAGCCCAGATAGGGTTCAGCGTTTAGGGTTTGGGTGGCTTCGGATGGCGGCTGATAGCCCTAAACCCCAAACCCCTAAACCCTAAACTCTAAACCCTAAACTCCCTAAACCCTTAAACCTTTAAGCCCTAAACCCCCGAAACCCCTAAACCTCTAAACCCCAGTTAAAGTCTAAACCCTAAACCGATGGGTTTGGATGTAGAGCCGAAGCTTCAGAGCTGTAGCATCGAGATGGGAGCTTCCTAAAAGTTAGAGGGTACCTTAGGGTTCCTTTAAAGGGTTACTGTAAAGGTACTATAAAGGGGTCCTGTAAAGGGCTCTATAAGGGTTTAGAGTTTCCGAAAAGTTAGGGGGTACCGTATGTTGGGGGTCCTTACTTGTAAGGACCCGACTATTCAGGGTACTATGTTAGGATCCCCTATTTTCGGAAACTCCCAAATCATTACTGCGGTATGACTGTGTGAATTCAGGGTCTATGCTGGCAGTGTGGACTTTGAGTCTAGGGGTGTGTGTGTGTGTGTGTGACTTTGGGTTCACCCGTTGTGAGCTTGGAATTCATTTCGGCTTCAGGCCCAAACCATTAAAGGGAACTCCAGAAAGTTGGAATATGGAATAACGGTAGGATCCCCTATAATTTACCTTAAAGGGGTTACGTTAATGATATTCCAACTTTCTGGCTTCTACTGTAACCCAAGATAGCAAGAAGACTTCAAGCCATGCAAAGCAAGCTCCAGCCCCAGCATTGAGTAGCAGACTTTAGACCTAGTACTCCGCTTAGTAATCCCTATAACTTTCCCCGAAAGCCCCGCTTACTAAGTCAAAGGCGACCCAGACAGGTGTATGGCCTCGTATACTAGGACTTGACATCATCGTATGCCCTCAGCTACAAAACAACCAACAGCTTCGCCTTTGTGACCCCCTAATATAGGGGCCTAAATGATAACACGGGGGAGCCGTATTGAAATTATAGTAAACAGTGCCTGAAAACCGTATTCTAAATATTAAGGCTCTTTATAGTAAAAAGTGCTTGAAAACCGTAGTCTAATTATTCAGGCTCCTAAATTAAGCCGCACTAATCAAACCCCCACATCGAGGCATCCGTGAACCAGACAGAGAAGAATTACAGGAGATAGGTTGCAAAGATATAAAATTAAGTAAGCACGTTTTTGAGACAGGGAACAAGGATTCAACTGCGACATGTAGACACCTCTCCAGAACTATATCAGTTATAGGCCCTTAACGACCTCCCCATCTCAAGAGATGTGTTCTTGTGGTTGATAAGAAACCCTTAAAGCCTCGAAGCCTTAAACCCTTAAAGCCTAAACCCTGAACTCTAGGCCAGGAACTTCGTTCCGTGCAAAGGCATTGTAACCTGAAGCCCGAACCGACCCCCCGTCCTTGATCCCTGACACTAAATGGGATTTCCCGAAAATTAGGGGTACTCTATTTTGGGGTCCTTATAATAAGGATCCTACTATTTAGGGTATTATATTAGGGTCCCTATTTTCGGAAAGTCCCAAATGCTAAGCCGTTAAAGCCTAAACCCCGAACTCTGAGCATCAATACCTAAGTAACCCGGAGAACCTGCAGACTAAGCACAAGCCGTTTCGTCCCGTATTTCTGCTGTAGATGGAAAGCCTCAGTTTGGAGCCCAAATTCGTTCCAGCGTTTTGATGTTCTGTCCATCGCATCTTAACAGGGCAGGACCTACTGTCAGAGTTTGTTTCATGTCTTGAGGCTGTGCTTGGATCATGACTTGGCGTTCTTCTGGTTGGCTCTTAGGACTGTTACTGTTGGGGCTTCTACATCAACTACAATAAGGAGGCGAAAAATTTAACTTTTAAGGAGGGGTTCAGAAGTCAGCCAAGATGAGACAGCATGAAAATGCAAAGGAAGAAACGCATCATATCCTGGTCAGGCAATGTCTACTTCGCGAGTCGCTCTGGGATTCGCCATACTCTTCTGGACGTCTTGGACTGCTGTGGACTTTTGTATTTCAGTTTGCTTTAGATCCCGGTGCTTTCCAGCGGGTCATCCAAGTAGGGTGTGCCGGGAACATGTCCGCCAGCTGTTCTTCAGAAGGCGAATGTTTCTCGCTGGCTTCAAATCTAGAGCTTCCATCAATGGCAGGCTCATTGGTGCGGTGACACCGGATAGTCAAGTGGGTTGGTTTGGGCTGAACGCCAACCACCAACGGGATGTGTCGATGTATTCGCAAGCATTTGTGGCAGCCTCAGCAAGCGTTTCGTTCTCTTGTGCAGTGAGATCAGATGGTCAGTTGGTCTGCTTTGGAGGTAACAGTTGCGGACAATGCGACGTGCCGACCGGTTTGGGAGCAGTTGTGGCAGTCTCAGCCGGTTACGAGCACACTTGTGCGGTGAGATCAGATGGTCAGTTGGTCTGCTTTGGGGACAACACCTACAAACAATGCGATGTGCCGACGGATTTGGGAGCAATCGTGGCAGTCTCAGCAGGCGCAATGCACACGTGTGCAGTGAGATCAGGTGGTCAGTTGATCTGCTTTGGGCTTAATGCTCTTGGACGATGCGATGTCCCGACGGATTTGAAAACAATTGTAGCAATCTCGGCAGGCAACTCTCACACTTGTGCAGTGACATCAGATGGTCAGTTGGTCTGCTTTGGGGACAACATCTACGGACAATGCGATGTGCCGATCGGTTTGGGAGCAGTTGTAGCAGTCTCAGCCGGTTACGAGCACACTTGTGCAGTGAGATCAGATGGTCAGTTGGTCTGCTTTGGAGACAACCCCTACGGACAATGCGACGTGCCGACCGGTTTGGGAGCAGTTGTGGCAGTCTCAGCAGGCAACTCTCACACTTGTGCGGTGAGATCAGATGGTAAGTTGGTCTGCTTTGGAGACAACATCGGCGGACAATGCGACGTGCCGACGGATTTGGGAGCAATCGTGGCAGTCTCAGCAGGCGCAATGCACACGTGTGCAGTGAGATCAAGTGGCGAGTTGATCTGCTTTGGGCTTAACTCCCATGGACGATGCGATGTCCCAACGGAGTTTAGCATGCCGTCGTCAGTTCACTCACTTGTTCTGCAAGCTTCTCGCAAGGCCTCGCAGCCCGGAAATGTAGTGCAGGGGTCAGAAGAATTCGTAAGCTAGGATGCCCAGTAGTACCCTTATGCCATTTTTATAGTCCTAGGTTCCTTATAAAGTTACAAAATACCAATAAGGGAGCCCTTTGTATTCCTAGGTTACTGGGCATCCTAGTGCAGGAGTCAGAATTATTTGTAAGAGCAGTTCCTGATCATCCCGCGGGCCTAAATGTATTATGGTGAAGTGTTTAAATTAAGTGGAGGGTGGCGAAGCCCCGGGGCAGAGGTAGTATAAAAGTGCGTTTTAAACCCGTGCATGTTAGCAAATTAAGCTCCGCCCTCCACCTTCTCCCTGCACCCCTCCACCTCCCTCCACCCCTCCACCACATCTCCCTCCACACTTCCAGGGACCCAGAGATCCCAATACCCCTTTTTCTTCAGGAATACAAACCTTCAACCACAATATGAATGCCCCCCAGCATTTAAGAATTTAAGGTCTTTTCCTAATTAAGGGATATTGAAGTCACCTTAAACCCTAAACCCCATACATCCCTTAAAGGCACCCTTAAGGATCCCCTTATAAAGGATCCCTAGGTCTATTCCTTCATTAAGGGATATTGCTTGGAGGGTCGGGGGACTTAGTAAGTAGGTAGTAAGTAGACTTATAAGTACCCTAAAAGGGACCCTAATTCGGGTTATGGTACTTAGAAGTCCTTCAAGTAACCAGCTACTAGGTCCCCCGACCCTCCAAGTGGGATCTCCAGGGAGCCGCTTATTTAAATCGGCTTGCCGCCCCGGGCCCGAAGCCAGGGGAGGCTGCACAAAAAAAATATATATGGGGGTTTCCGAAAATTTAGGGGTACTTTCCTGTAGCCGAAAAGACCTACTTTTTTTGAGGAACTATATATGGAAACCATGATAAGGAACCCTAAAAAGGGAGGTCTTTCCGGCTACAGTTTGGGGTTTCTTTAACGGGTTAGTATAAGGGTACTGTAAGGGTTCCTTCAAAGGGCTCTATAAGGGTTTAGAGTTTCCGAAAATTAGGGGTACCTTTAAAGGGATCCTGCAAGGGTTCCTTTAGGGGATCTATAAGGGTTCTATAAATGGTTTAGAGTTTAGGGTTCAGAGTTTCCAAAAATTAGGGGTGCCTTATTTTGGGGGTCCTTAAAATAAGGATCCTACTATTTAGGGTACTGTATATTAGGGTCCCATTTTTTCGGAAACCCCCATATGCGTAAAAAATCCGCATGCTTAGGAATAGTCACAGCAGAACTAGTAGTACTATATCCTGAACTGAAATCGCTCACAGTGCCGAGGGGTTTTGCACATCTGGAGGTCGAGACATAGGAGGGAGGGTTTATTGTTGGATCTGTATCATTTTCAGCTGCTGGGGATACCCTGATGGGGGTGTAAGACACAGAGTTTAGGTCTGCGTCGTTCAGTGCTTGCTATTGCTTGGGTTTCGCGTTTTACCGGCAGAGCATCGAAGTTTCTTGTCAGCACATGCCCATGGAGCGGTTGTCGGCGCCGCCCCGGTCGTCGAATCAATGACCTAAAATATGGGAGTTTCCGAAAATAGGGGACCCTAATATGGTACCCTAAATAGTAGGATCCTTATTTTAAGGACCCCCAAAATAAGGCACCCCTAATTTTTGGAAACTCTGAACCCTAAACTCTAAACCATTTATAGAACCCTTATAGATCCCCTAAAGGAACCCTTGCAGGATCCCTTTAAAGGTACCCTAATTTTCGGAAGCTCACGTATCACGCTTCTTCGAGTGGCAGACATCGGGAGAGAGGGCGGGCTCCCGATCGACTGAGCAGTCGGCTACCTTGCTTGGAGGGGCTTTAGGGGACTTAGTAAGGGCTCCTTAAAGGGATCTGTAGGGTTCCTTAAAAGGGATCTGTGGGGTTTAGGGTTCAGGGTTTACTTGGAGGGGGGGCTTTAGGGGACTTAGTAAGTAGGTAGTAAGTAGACTTATAAGTACCCTAGAAGGGACCCTCATTGGGGTTATGGTACTTACAAGTCCTTAAAGTAACCAGTTATTAAGTCCCGAGAAACTGCAAGTGGCCCCACTGGGACGACAGCGACTCACTCATGCCGTGGTTCATGACTTTGGGTTCTCCGTTGACGGAGCTGGTTTCCGAACGAGAAGACGCAATTCCCCGTCTTCCCTCCAATCCAAGTGCCTAGACATAACCATGATAAGTCCAAAGACCCTACAAGCAGATTCAAGAAAACTGTAGTTGCAAGGTTGTTCTGCGCTCGTTTGAACCCATACTAGAAAAAGCTACCCTACCCTACCCTGCCCTACCCTACACTACTACTACCCTACCCTACCCTACCACTACCCTACCCTACCCACCCACCACATCACCCTACCCTACTACTGAGGATTTGAAGAGGCAATTCGACATCCTGCAGGCAAGAACGGGACTGCTTCGAGGAGCCAGGGGCAGAGATTCAAACATTAAACCCGAATCCCTAAACCCTTCAACCGTAATCTGTGGGTCTAAGATGGACTTATTCGCAAACTTAATACCGCTTATAAGCTATCCCTACTTATATTACAGTTTCCTTAGGCATTTGCTTTTGTTCATATAAAACCCCAGAGAATTTTGGAAGTGTTGTGTAAACCTCGAAACCCTAAACCCCTAAACCCTAAATCCTGAACCCCTATAAACCCTAACGGCAGCAGTACTTAGAGGATCATGGGACTTAGTAAGTAGGTTATAATTGGGGTTATAAGTCCCCTAAGTGGGGTCATCCTAATTATAACCTACTTATAACCTTACTTACTAAGTCCCATGAGCCTTCAAGTAGACCCTAAATCCTAAACCTCTAAAAACCCTAACAGCAGCAGTAACGTTTCTGGAAACGGTTTAAGGGTATAGGGTTTAGGGGTTTAGAGGGGTTTAGGATTAAGGGTTTAGGAGTTTAGGGGTTAGGAGTTTAGGGGTTTAGGGGTTTAGGGTATATCTAAGCCATCTACAGGTGGGTAGTTTTAAGGTGGGTAGTCTCCCTTAAGCCTTCCATACCACTCCTATAAGGTAAAGGGGTCTTATGGGAGTACTATGGAAGAGGAACTACCCACCTGAAATGGGCTTCTAGTATAGGGTTTAGGGTTCAGGGGTTTAGAGGGGTTTAGGGTTAAGGGCTGAGGCAGGGGATGGATTGCAGGATGTGGAGACCCGGCCAAGTACCTCCCGTAAGCCACCATTGAGTTCTCCAGTACGGAGATTGCAGGCCTCGACTATAGCACGAACCCTACAGTCGGAACCCTACCCTAAACAGCGAGCCAGAAACCCTCAGCCGTATGCTAAACCCCACGCCCTGCTAGATCCTAACTGTGTCATAGTTGGGTAACATTTTACATTTTTATAGGTACTTGAACCCAAATGATGAGGAAAAAGGATGTAAATTTTTAATCCTATCCCAGCAATGAACTGCTGAGCTCAAACCGTTTTTGGCCCAAACCCCTAAAGATGGAGTCCAAATCACCAAGACAGTCTTCAAAACCATATGGGTGGCTGTCAAAATTAGGGTCCCTTTCTAGGTCCTTATTCTAGTACGGCGAATTATATTTAGTGTGCCCCAAAAAGGTGCCCTAAATTTGGCAACCACCCATATAAAGCTCATAAAGAAAAGCTCCGCGACATCTGCTTACATCACCAGAAAACCCTAGAGACACATTCTCCCTAACCCTAAACCCTAAACCCTATCCCCCTAAACCCTAAACTCTACACCCCTATAAACCCCAACCCCTCCCTAAACCCTAGAAACACCTTCGCTGCTTGGCTCCAGGGAGAAACTTTGCTGAGCTTCCACCAGCTTCAGCAAGCGGCCGCCAAACAGCAACGGTTTCAGCAAAGTTTCCTGGTGGGATCTACAGGTTTTTTAAAGGGTTCCTGCAAGAGCTCCTTTAAGGTTTTCCACAAGCATACCTTAAGGGTTTCCTTCTGGGTTCCTATAAGGTTCGTTTGGGGGTTCTTCTTCAAGGGTGTCTACATTCATAAGGGTGCCTTTAAGGCTTTCTAAAAGACTTTCTGAGTAGCCCCTACCTCGATGCCCTGAAACCTATAACCCTCACCCCGTTCTTTCTTCGCCGCCGAGAACACCATATCAAGCGCGGATACAACCCTAGAAAGCCTGTAAAACCTCCGAATTCTAAACCTTCTACGCCTTCTTCACGCCCTAAACCCTAAACCCCTAAACCCCAAAACCCCTAAACCCTAAACCGAACAACCCTTATGATATAGGATTTCGAGCCTCGAAAGCTACAGAGCTTTTCCCTGCCACCCCAAACCCTGAAAGCCACAAGCCTGATGCCCTTGAGCCCCAAAGCCCTACTTAGAGGATCATGGGACTTAGTAAGTAGGTTATAGTTGGGGTTATAAGTCCCCTAAGTGGGGTTATCCTAATTATAACCTACTTATAACCTTACTTGCTAAGTCCCAAGAGCCTTCTAGTAGACCCTAAACCCTAAACCCCATAGATCCTTTTTAAGGAACCCTATAGATCCCCTTAAGGAGCCCTTTAAGAACCCTTACTAAGTCCCATGAGTCTTCAACTAAGCCTAAGAACTCGAATCTCCCGAGTAATTACTGCTTGAACGGAACCCGTTCAGGAGCCCCAACAACTAGGATGCCCAGTAGTACCCTTATTCCTTTTTTGTAGTCCTAGGTTCCTAAAAAGAGAGGCCTTTTTGTTCTTAGGTTACTGGGTATCCTAGACAAGCCGCCCCATGTAAAATCTAGTAGAGAAGCCTGAAGAATACCAATGTTATTCCTTAGGTTTCTTTCCCTACGGAACAAAATAGCCCAAAAGCCTTATATAGTATGGTCTTTGCGCCCAAAAGCCTTAATATATGAGTCCTTAGATGCCTAGGGTTTACTGTCTGTATATTTTGAAGCAGCCCGAAACTATTCCATTTATCAAGGCCCCTACATTAAAGCCTAAACCCGAAGCCCTAAACCCCTAAACCCCTAAACCCCTAAACCCTAAACCCTACACTAAAGTCGATGAGGTCGCCGACCTGAACTGCAGCTCTGCCACGAAACCGCCATCAGAGGACTGGTTCCTGGTGGTTGCCGTCGAGCCCTTCTGGTACCCTTTAGTAGCCCTTTGAAGGAGCCCTTCTAATACCCTTGTAGAAGCCCTTTATAGGAGCCCTTATAGTAGCCTTTAGTAGCCCTTTGCAGGAACCCTTATAGTACCGTTGTAGTAGCCCTTTAAAGGAGCCCTTATAGTACCCTTGTAGTAGCCCTTTAAAGGAACCTTAAGGTACCCCCTAATTGTCGGAAACTCCGAAACTCAGACCCCCGGGAGGATCCAAAAAGTAGATCCCTTTATGGGGGTTCCTCAAAAGTACCCTAGGAGTATAGGGCCCCAAATTAGGGGATCTACTCTCTGGATTTTCCTAGGGGTCCTGCGTAACAACCAACACTAGCTTAGGGTTCCTTATTATTGTTATAGTACATTATATTTCTTCTACTTGTAGCCCTCCGAGAGGAGTTTTTGGTACGGTCTGGATGCAGTCTTGCATGCGGGTTGAGAAACAGACTTCATGGTTGTGGTGATCGTGTTGTCGTGAGTTTCGGATGGTGCCAGGGCTTCGTCGAATGTTTGGTGTAAAGGCGTGGGTAATGGTAGGGGCCTTCAAAATTATCTACACTATTTCGGTAGTTTTAAATCCTAAAACCCGAGATTCAATTCCAACAGCCCCACCTTCAATGCCTCTTTCAACCTCTAAACCCCAGTTCCGAAACCGTCAAACCTGAAGCCATCCACATACCAAATCCGAAGCTCTAAACCGGAAGTGGCTCCTCCCTAAACCCCCGAAACCCTGCTCCCTAAATCATAACCTTACACCCCTGGCAGTCCTTCCCCAAAACCCTCAACCCTGCTCCCTAAATCCGAAACCCCCCGTTAAATCCGAAAACTCTGACCACAATCTTGCACAGCGAAACCCCCCAAACCCTACTAAAGCCCTAGCAGGTCCTAGCCCTAAGTCCTAGACTCCTCGACTCCTACACCCCAATCCTTAACCCTTAAACCCCAAACCCTAGCAGCCCAACAGCACGACCAGAAAGGACGGCTCTGCCAAAGATTGCCGAGCTGAACTCGAATCTGCACCCACAGGTGGGTACCCTTTAAGGGATCTTTTAGGGGTTCTATACGGGTTCTATAAAAATGGTTATTGGGTTTGCGTTTTGAGATTCCAGTTCTCGACATCATAGCGCAGTGCAGCATAACATGATCATCCGAAGTTTGTGGGCGCGGAGCCAGCACCTCAGGGGGCACTTAAAGGATCATGAGACGTAGCAGGTGGGGTGATCAGTAAGGTAAATACAGTTATAATTAGTTGTAACCCTAATTACAGTACTTACAACCCTACGTACTAAGTCCCATGATCCTCCATTTACGGAACCCTTGTAGATCCCTTTAAGGAACCCTGTAAGGATCCTAATAAGGAACCCTACTTACTAAGTCCCATGATCCTCCAAGCATGTCTTCCCATCCTGGACCCGACAGAATCGGCAGATGCTGCAGGGGCAGCTTCATATAGCATATCGGGATTCCTTAGAAGGGGCCCCCACCCTGTAATAGTGGTATAATAGGAATATAATAGGGCCCGAATATAATCCTTATAGTCACTATTACTGGGTGGCGGCAGCTTCTAAGGGATTCCATAGTACACGGGGGTAAAGCCCCTACCCTGAACCCTGAACCCTACCCTAAGCCGTATAAGGGTGTGAGGCCCCCTACTTTTGAGAGTGATTTGGTCTTTCAGTCAAAGGTGAAAAGGAGGGACCCTACATTATCCGAACACCCAGGCTCCTGATGCCAGAAGCCTCACCATGTCAGGCTTCGCTGACCCCAGATGTACCGAGCTTGCCACACGGATGCACACAGTAGAGTTGCAATCGTGTGTTCATCGGTCATGCTTCCTACACTCGAAGGCTAATGTAAAAGCCTAAATAATAACCCATACAGTTTGGGGTGTTCCTTTGTTGTAAGTGTACTATAATATACCCCCAAACCCGAGTCTAATTATTTTGGCCCCGGAATAACATCCTTATATAGCCCTTATAGCTTACGGTCCATTTTGAGAGGGAACCCTATTCCAATCATTGAGGCTCCTACCTTATACCATAGGGACGCTTAGGGCCCGAGGCATGACCTGGCGTCCTAAAGCCAGAGGACTGAGCCCCACCCCTTATTTTAAGAGACCTTTGGCCAAAAACCACCCCTACTTGGAGGGGCTTTAGGAGACTTAGTAAGTAGGTTATAAGTAGAGTTATAAGTACCCTAAATGGAGTTACCCCAATTATAACCCTACTTGTAACCTAACTAAGTCCCCGGCCACTCCAAGTAGACCCTAAACCCTAAACCCCGTAGATCCCTTTTAAGGAACCCTATAGATACCTTTAAGGAGCCCTTTAAGAGCCCTTGCTAAGTCCCCGAAAGCCCCTCCAAGTAAGGGTCCCCGACCCTAAAACCCTAAACCCTAAAATCTAAACCCCTAAAACCCTAAACCCTAAACCCCTAAACCCCAAACCCCTAAACCCCTCAACCCTAAACCCCTACCCCCTAAACCCCTAAACCCCCTATAGACCTTAAACCCCCCAATAGGGGTCCCAATGACTATCCCAAAGGCTCCATATACCGGCATAGTAGATACTTAGGCCTTAAAGTACCTATAGAGGGACCCCTTTAAGACTTAAGTATCTACTATAAAGGTACATGGAGCCTTGGGTTAAGTTAGGGATATACCTTAAATTATAGAAGCCTTAGTATTATGGTTTAAGGCATATTCCTTAATTAAGGGGGCATTGGGTCTGGGTAACCTTACATGGAGCCTTTGGGTATACCGGCTAGGCTAGATTTCGAGGCGGTCCTCGAAGGTTCACTGAAGGTTTAGGGTTTAGATCCTTCAAGAAACCCTCATATATAGTAACCCTTCTACAGGGAACTCCAGAAAGTTGGAAAATGGTTTCATGGTAGGATACCCTATAATTTACCATAGAAGGGTTAGGATAATCATATTAAAACTTTCTGGCTTTTACCTTACCCTAAGGGTCCAAGGCAGGGTTTAGGGTTCCTTTGAGGGATTTTAAGTTTAGGACTTAGGGTTTAGGGTTTTAGGGTTTAGGGTTCCTTTAAGGGATTTTGAGTTTAGGGTTCAGGGTTTTAGGGTTTAGGGTTTTTAGGGTTTTGGGGGTTTAGGGGTTTAGGGTTCCCGTAAAGGGGTCTATAAGGGGCTACTGTAAGGGTTCTATAATATAGGGGCCTAGTAATCAGGTACTCGGGTTTGGGATAATGGTTGTGTAGGGAACTACGTAGTTCGGAGAGTATATGATAATTGGGTACTGGGACCCTTCGAGCTATGGACATCACGACGACTCTGTGATCATCGCGCCTCGGCCCAAGAAAGCGGTGGACCGATCGCACAGTATGAGCTTGCCAGTACACCCTGGACGGATGAAGCTTGCTCCATGGTGGGAGACATTCGTGGTCCGTTTGGTGAGCTGATTCGAGCTGACTCACCAGATGACCTCATTGAAATCGTCGCGGTTGACACGAAAGGCTACCTGAATGCGGCAAGGAAGATGTTGCAGCAGTCGCTTCTTGAGGAATCATCAAGCTTGGCAACAAAGGTTTCAGCGCTTACTGAGCCTGCGATTGATTACCTGTTGCTTGCTGTCCCTGTCATTGAGAATGTCTGCGGACGCAAATTTTGGGCTTTGGCAGCTCGATCCAAAGAGTGTGAAACAGCTCACAGGGGTTGAGGCTGGAGCATCCAACTTGGTGCCTGCATGCATCTTGAGTCTGGCGAGAACATATTGCAGTCCTTGCGTTGTGCGATACGCCGATAGGACTGTACGTCAGATTAAGATCTGCTTGGTGGATCAAACCATTGGCCCAAATAAGGGCATGGTGAATACAAACGTTGCTTTCAAACAGCAGCACCTTGGAAATGCAAGGCAAACAAAAGTACTGAGGGTTGTTTTAACTGCCTTTTGCTTGGACAGGTACATGGTGCATTCGAGGTTTTCCCCACAGGGTAGGTTGTGGTTCGATGAGCACTTCAGATTTGATTTGGTGAATGATACAATGGTGATCCCACTTGGGATAGCGCTCACACGATAAGACTCCTACGGCTGATGATATAAATCCTTACGGTTCCTTCAAAGGGATCTATAAGGCTACCTTCTAAGGGGTTCCTTTAATGGATCTATAGGGTTTTGGGTTGAGAGTTTAGGATACAAATCCTGCATTACCATAAGGACCTTAAACTATGGGAATTATGGTATATTCCTTATCATGGCTTATGCAGGCGTGGACATGAGATTCTTGGTGTGTGTATATATATATATATGTATACATATACCTTTAGATAATAACAATAACAATAAAAATAATCATAGCAATATTCAACCGTAGGGGTGTTGACGTCGCAGGTTTCAGCCTTGCAAATTCGGAGTTTCCGACAAGATGGGACCCTAATGTAGTACCCTAAATAGCAGCATCCTTATCATAAAGACCCCCCAAAAAATTGTACCCCCCCCCCCCCCCAATTTTCGCAAAATCGCAGTTCAAGGGAGCTGATGCGGGTGCCGCAGCAGTGTACGGACTCGAGCCTGCTGTAGTTCAATGGGAGCGTGCAGGCATGGGCGACCGCTGAAATGGACCCTGAACTAGTAGTGGTAGTAGTAGAAGTAGTAGTAGTAGTAGCAGTAGTAGAAGAAGTAGAAGTAGTAGTAGTAGTAGTAGTAGTAGTAGTAGTAGTAGTAGTAGTAGTAGGAGCAGTAGGTGGATCCTTGTCTTAACCGGATCCCCAACCACTGATTTCTAATTACCGGAAAACCCGTTCCAGTTGAAGATCGTTGTCTTCGTTTGGGATGTTTAGATCTTTCACTGAGGGTGGTTTATCCATCCTAGAAGGGATTTTCTCCCGCCCAAACCCGACAACGGCAGCCACGAACTTCCGATTCCGCCCGTACTAAGTGGTAGGTAGGGTAGGTACCCGTTTGATGATAAATATATAATCTCAAAGGTTAATCTTTTGCTCCCGTAGGTACTGGACAAGTACGCTCCTCGATGCTGAACCCTAAGCCCCAAACCCTCAACCCTAAATCCTAAGCCTTAAACCCTAAACCCTCAACCCCAAACCCTACACCCTGAACCCTAAGCTCTAAGCCGGATTCCTCCTCCTTTCCCGAGGCTGAAAGACTCAGCGCTGTAACTGCAAAGCTGGAAGGACTGGAGGCCGGCAACGGGCCGGGCAAACAGGGTTTGGGGTATTTAGGCTTCGAGGTTTGGGGTTTAGGGTTTGGGGGTTAGGGTTTGAGGCTTGGGGCTTTGGGTTTCGGGTTGAGGGTTTGGGGTTTGGGGTTGAGGGTTTTGGGTTTGAGGTCTCGGGTTTTGGGTTCAGGGTTTGGGGTTGAGGGTTTGGGGTTTAGGCTACGGGGTGTAGCGTTTAGGGCTTTGTCCTTGAGAGGGTTCTTTACGGCCCTACAAGAGTTTAGGAGTGTTTAGGTTGGATATGCGCGTCGGATCCGTTGGTAACATTGTTCCTTAGGCTTGTTCTGTCGTTTGTTACTACAGTCTTTCCCAAAGCCATGTTGCGATTGGCAAGGCGACTATATCGGGTTGAGAGTTTAGGGTCTAGGGGTTGGGTCAAATTTAGGGCCTAGGGCGTATACAAGGGCTTTAGGGGGTGTTGGTGCCCAGCTTGAAGGCTCATGGGACTTAGTAAGTAAGGTTATAATTAGGGTGTCATTAGGGTAACCCTACTTAGGGGACTTATGACCCTAATTATAACCTAAGTCCCATGATCCTCTAAGAGCCGTTTTGGGCTTCAGGCCAGGGCTTCATGCTTCGTGTAAGGTGCAGCGATGGACCGTTTGGTGTGGGAGGACTCAAGAGTTTTTTTGGGGTATGGGACTCTGGCTTGAGACTTACTTGCAGGGGCTTTAGGGGACTTAGTAAGTAGGTTCTAAGTAGGGCTATAGTTGGGGGGTAACTCCATTTAGGGTACTTGTAACTCTACTTATATATACCCTACTTACTAAGTCCTTTGGCCCTCCAAGTAGGGTGTCGGACTTCAATCCATCAGGCGTTGGTGCCTTAGGGGTTGCAGGTTGAGGATTATGCCTTGGCCGATCAAGTTGCAGCCAGAGTGACGTGTGGAAAAATCACCCTTAGCAAGGAAACACTTGTGCTACGGTTGATGGTATAAATCCTGCACTACCCACAATAAGGAGTATACCATAGTTCCCATAGTTTAGCGTCCTTAAGGTAACACCGGATCTTATATCATTTACCGTAGGACCACGTATGCAGCCTGGAAGCTGGCGACCGGGTCGAAGAACTGTTGCGATGTGCGCTTCTCGCTGTTGGAAGCGGCACTTCAGGCTGACATCGCCAGCCTTATTCCGTGAATCATAGGAGGCCAAAAGGGGTTTTAGCCTATGGGGGTTTAGTAGGGGATGCCAATCAAAAAAAACTTTTTTTCAATCAAAAAAAAAATCAATCAAAAAAAAAAACTTAAGGAAGGAAGGAAGGAAGGAGGGAAGGCAGGAAGAAAGGCAGCAAGGAAGGATGGCAGGAGGGAAGGCAGGAATGAAGGAAGGAAGGAAGGAAGGCAGGAAGCAAGGAAGGAAGCAAGGCAGCAAGGAAGGCAGGCAGGCAGACAGAAAGGAAGGCAGGAAGGAAGGAAGCAAGAAAGGAAGGAATGAAGGCAGGAAGCAAGGAAGGAAGCAAGGCAGCAAGGAAGGAAGGCAGGCAGGCAGACAGGAAGGAAGGCAGGAAGGAAGGTACAACAACAACAACAACTACTACTACTACTACTACGGCTGATAGACAAAAGGAAGGAAGGAAGGAAGGCAGGAAGCAAGGAAGGAAGCAAGGCAGCAAGGAAGGAAGGCAGGCAGGCAGGCAGACAGAAAGGAAGGCAGGAAGGAAGGAAGCAAGAAAGGAAGGAATGAAGGCAGGAAGCAAGGAAGGAAGCAAGGCAGCAAGGAAGGAAGGCAGGCAGGCAGGCAGACAGGAAGGAAGGCAGGAAGGAAGGTACAACAACAACTACTACTACTACGACTACTACTACTACGACTACTACTACTACTACTACTACTACTACTACTACTACTACTACTACTACTACGGCTGATAGACAAAATCCTGCATTACCCTAAGGACCCTACACTATGGGAATTATGGTATATTCCTTATTATGGGTAATGCAGGATTTTGTCCATCCACCGTAGTATCACTACTACTACTACTACTACTACTACTACTACTACTACTACTACTCCTACTACTCCTACTACTCCTACTACTACTACTACTACTACTACTCCTACTACTCCTTCTACTACTACTACTACTATTACTACTACTACTGCTACTACTGCTACTGCTACTACTACTACTATTACTATTATTATTGCTATTACTGTTACTATTACTATTACTGTTACTATTACTAATACTATTACTATTACTATTACTATTACTATTACTATTACTATTACTGTTACTATTACTAATACTATTACTATTACTATTACTATTACTATTACTATTACTATTACTATTACTATTACTATTACTATTACTATTACTATTACTATTTCTATTTCTATTACTATTACTACTACTATTTCTACTACTACTGCTACTGCTACTGCTACTACTACTACTACTACTACTATTACTATTACTACTACTACTACTACTACTACTACTACTACTACTACTACTACTACTACTACTACGACTACTACACGTGAGAAAGAGAAAGTTTTTTTTGATTGGAAAAAAGGTTTTTTTGATTGGCGAAAAAGTTTTTTTGATTCGCTGAAAGTTTCTTTTTGATTGAAGAAAAATTGATGGGTTTCCCGTTTAGTAGGAGTAAGGCTTCCCATAATAAGGTTCATATTAAGGGACCCCTACCCCCAAGAATCTTAAACCTCCCTTTTGGCCTCCCATCAGTGAAGCATCAGAGTTTGACTTTTTCCGTGGAGAACCAAGTCGCCTAGACCGCCCTGACACTGACATCCATGACGACGGCCGTCTTGGACGAGCCCATGCGCAAGATGAAGGGCCCAAACCTTCCAAAATCTCTTAATTAAGGAATATACCTTAAATTCCAATTAGTAGGATCCCTATCATGATTCAAGGTATATTCCTTGATAAAGGGATTTTGGAAGTTCTGGGGGCTTTACAGATGTGGGTTGCACAATGCTCACAGAGGAGCGTTGGGGCGCCGCCGAATTCCTCAAGGGCCAGCTGCGGGTCCTTGTTTGCAGTGACTACGGCCACACTGAACGAGTCGAAAAGCACCAAGACGTCATCCTTCACGATGAGTTTCTCAAGATCATCACACCCGTCTTCCCTAGCAACACCACGATATCGCCCAAAGCTGGTCCCTGCCTGTCGCCCAACTTGATCGCTCATGTACCAACAGGTCCCTGGCTCATCGAAAATCCCCACAGTTCAACTAGGATGCCCAGTAGTGCCCTTATTCCCTTTTTGTAGTTCTAGGTTCCTCATAAGTTACCCAATACCAAAAAGGGAGCCCTTTTTATTCCTAGGTTACTGGGCATCCTAGTCAATGCTAACCTAGAACCCGCGCTGAACCAAAACCCTTAAGCACGGACTCTGTGTAGAACACTCATATAATGAAGTCCATTTCAACAACGTTCTAAACTACCGTTTATACAACGCTTTCATAATACAATATAATAATGAAGTCTATTTCAAAACTGCTCTAAAACATCTTGAACCTTCAGCCCTAAACCCTATTCCTCAATCCTTAAACCGTAAACCCTATTCCGTAATCCTTCAGCCTTCAACCCTAATCCTTACCCTATAATCCTAACGTCCGCACTGAGGCCGACACTCTCAGCGCTCTTACGGCAAAGCTGGAGCACCTGGAGGCAACCTGCGCTCTGCGGAGCAGCTTGTGGAGAATCGAAAACCCCGAAAGCCTCACAAGGGAGTCCCTGAATATGAGGGGTTTCGGGTTTAGAGTTTGAGGGTTTAGGGGTTTAGGGTTTAGGCATTTAGGGTTTAGAGTTTAGGGGTTTAGGGGGTTTGTGTTTAGGGTTTAGGGGTCGGGATGGTCCGTAATAGACACTATTTACTGAGGGCTTCTGCTCAGTTTTCCAGTATAATTTCCGACAATCTGTCGGAAGTTCGTTTCACGTGCACGGAGACGCCCTAGCCGCTGCATAGTTTAAGGTGGATTAATATCCTCACTTAATCAAGGAGTACAGATGGGGTTCTTCGGGACTCTGGCCTTTTGATGTGATTCAATGGAAGTTTTTGGATCTCGAAAGATGGCACCTCGTGGCCTTCAAGCTTTCATGTGCTCTTGTTCAAGAGTTGGGTTTAAGCTACATCTCGAGTAGCTGTGTGTAATATTCTACATGTACACACATACATACACATATACATTGATACACAAATGTGATCTATCTCATTTCACCGTATGTTCGAGAAGCTCTTGAGCAAGAACCGAGTTTAGGAAGTCCTTGTGGGGAATTCGCGAGTTAAAAGTCGTTCGGTTGCGGGAGGGCTCAGGGTTTCAGGTGCCTCAGCTTGAGGATTTGTCGTTACTCTACTTAGAGGATCATGGGACTTAGTAAGTAGGTTATAATTGGAGTTATAAGTCCCCCAAGTGGGGTTATCCTAAGTAGAACCTACTTATAACCTTACTTACTAAGTCCCATGAGCCTTCAAGTAGGGGTCTTGATAATTACATATTATGCTTTTTTTTTTGGGGGGGGGGTCCGTATTAGAAGTACAGTATAACGGCCCCATCATTAAGGCCCCTACATTAAGGCTTCACGGTTGGGGTTCAGAGTTATCGGTCCGCAGAAAGTTGAAACCGAGCCTCCAGGCACCCAGAACTTCCCAATATCCCTTAATTACGGAATATACCTTAAATCATGATAGGGATCCTACTATAATTTAAAGTACATATTATTTCTTAATTATGGGATTTTGGAAGGTTTGGGCACTGTGAAGAATCTGCGTGCTCTGGACTCGAAGGAAGAACGGGGTTTGTTCAAGATTTAGGCTTTCTCCTAAAAGAGCAAGCGAAAAATCTCTACACAATCAGGAACAACTCGGTGAGATGTGTGATGTTACGTGTTTTTTCGTGAGACATGCAATCTTATGATCGGGTGTCCAGGCTGCCACACCCACATCTGCACGGTGCGATTGTCATGGCCCGTCGCAGCGACAGACTACGACGAAGTGCCGCTGCATCCGGTGCAATTCACCTGTCTTGGCTGCTCATCTGGATCTTCGGCAACTCACAGGGCTTTGGCATGCAAAGGCAAGAGTCTCTGTGGAGACTCCGTGAGCGCGATGGGAATGCCCTGAAAGCTTCGGCACGATTGCTGCAGCAGCCCCTGAGCGCTGCTGGGCAACAAGTGCTTTCGGAGATCACAGAGGCGGGAGATGATTGGTTTACAGTTCGACGGCTCTACGATGCATATACAGGAGAGGAGGTCCAGATCTTCAATGCCGTCATGCATCTTGCAATCAGTTGGCCAGTTCAAAGAAGGTGCCAGGATCTACAAGCGATTGTGTGCTTTGAATATCACGAAAACGGCCCCGACTTTCACATCTGCCCTCAAGGTGTTCGCTCAACTGGGTCAAAATGATACCGTTCGGAAGTTGTGGAGGGAAGCTACCGAAAACATTCCGCTGGATCAGCCTCTGGCCCTAGCACGCATTGATGCAGCTGCAGCAGAAGGTGATGTTGGAACCGCTGCTGCAGTGCTTGATACGATGCAGAAGGCAAGTGTTGCAGTCAACATCGCCCACGTGACATCCGCGATTCGTGCCTGCTGGGAGGCCAACGGCACCAACTGGCGCGCAGCCCAGTACCTTTTCAATCTGTCGCTGGCGCTTGATCTACAGCCTGCGGTCCCAACTTTCTCGTGTTTGGTTGGAGCTTACGCAACCGCACCCATCACGGAAGCGCTCACCGCATACAGGATGATGCAAGAACTCGGAGTCGAAGCTGACAAGGCATTTGTAGAAATATACTTGGGTACCCTTTTGGATCTCAAGAACTATGATAAACGATCCGTGTCTCAGATGGCATCTCATCTCCTCGGGTGCTCCGCAGAGAGGTTATGCGCAGCTCGAGCTGCGCTGCGTGATTTTCAGGATGCTGGAGTGGAGCTTACAACCTTAAGCGACCATGTCAAACGTGCCCTCAGGATGCTGGAGGCTCAGAGCGAGCAGTAGGGCTTGGATGACGTTGCTGCGTCATCACCTGAATCTCAGCAACTCCACGTGCATGGTCTCGAGACATGACTCTGTAAATCTGAGGCATGCTGCTGCTGACCGACCAAAATTGTATTGCAGCGCTGGCCACACTGAGCCTGTTGCGTCGATTACTGCATGCTGCATTTGTGCCTACATGGATTTCGCCGTTATAGCCATCCAACCAATAAGGCCCTAAGCCAAACCTGGGCTCCCAAACTCCAACTCTGAAATCTCTTTTGCTGTGCAGGCGGCGGCTTTTCCAGACCTCGCGAGCAGAGTGGAGCAACTGCAGGCATTGATTTCCGAAGTTGAAGGAGGTCTCCCAGTAGTGACCTCTTGACCTTTTCTTTCGGAGACGCTTTCTTATACCTTATACAACAGGAAGAGTCGGCGCTTAGCGTGTGCTTATTTGTTCAGTTGGTACTGGGGAACCTTGTGAAGGAGCGCCAGGATTGTTATTAAGAGTTCTGCGAGGGTTCCCAGAAGCTCGAAGCCGAAGCCCCCATTTAAGGCATGTTGTTTCCACCCTTGAGTGAAATCGTCTTCCGGCAACAAGGAATCCAAGGGTAAAAGGAGGGACCCTTGATAAGGACCCCTAGGTATATACCCTTAATATAGCTATTATATACCCATTATATAGCCCATTATAGGGTAGGGGTCCCCATTAAGGGTCCCTCCTTTTCCCCTTTGAAGGAATCCTTAAAGGAATTGATAGTGGAGTCTGCGAGGGTTCCGCCCAGAGAGATCGAGATCTGAAATGGATGTGTCGGTGAAGTTTCGGCGAACGCGGGGCTCTAGTCTAAGTGACAGATTGCGCGTTGGAGCCTCTTAGACGAAGTACTCATATGACGTTTATGTACATTTATAAATATACGCAACATAGACATAAGTATTTTTATATATATATAGAGATTTATTTATTTATTTACTTATTTAATTTTGAACATATAGCCGTTCGTGTGCCTGGAACCCAGTTCCCATCCACGAATGCTGCAGATCCTGCTGGGGACCATTTATTGGCAGAACTGCCAAGCTTTCCCAAGCAGAGCAGTAGACCAGGTTAGGGTCGCAGGATCAATTGCCATTGAGTCGTCAAGGTGGTACGAGGCACTGGTGTTCAGATTTTTGCCATTCCTCTGTACTTGAAATGGCATACTAGGATGCCCTGTAGTTCCCTTATTCCTTTTTGGTAGTCCCAGGTTCCTGATCAAGTTACCCAATACCAAAAGGGAGCCCTTTTTGTTCCTAGGTTACTGGGCATCCTAGCATAAGTTCCTGTATAAATAGGGTAGCTATACTTATAACTACTTATAACCCCAATTAGGGTACTTATAACCTTACTTACTAAGTCCCCTGATCCTCCAAGTAGCCACCCTAATTTTGACGGGGTTGTCTTTGAAGGAACTTAATATTGGAGAACCTTTACAGTAAGCCTTAGTATTGAACCCAGAAGGGGAAGCCGAACTTCTGAGCCGTTGTTGAGGAACCTAAGCTACGTTGCAGTAGTAGGCATCTATAGCAAGTAATTGGATTTCGGTATTATCATAAACTAACTTAACCAGAACCGGGCGAGGTCCGCATAAGTCCTAGCAACATCTCCGTCGGGTGCCAAGCCCTATTTCTATTTGCCAAGGCCCTGCTTTCCTCCCTCTTACAGCCGAAAACCCTGAACAACGTCATTTTAAAACTTACAGAACTCTTCCAAGGCCCGGTATCCCCCCCTTGAGTCCTGCGAACCCCCTATTCCCAGACCTTCCAAAATCCCTGACTTAAGGAATATACCTTAAATCATGATAGGGATCCTACTAAGATTGAAGGTATATTCCTTGATTAAGGGATTTTGGAGTCCCCTTAAGCCCTAAACCCTATAGATCCCTTGAAGGAACCCTTAGGGATCCCTTAAAGGAACCCTAGGTGTTCCTTGATTAAAAGATTTTGAAAGGTTTGAGTTCCCACCTTTCAGGGGCCTATACTTGGAGGGGCTTTAGGGGACTTAGTAAGGGCTCTTAAAGGGCTCCTTCAGGAGATCTATGGGGTTCCTTAAAAGGGATCTATTGGGTTTAGGGTTTAGGGTCTACTTGGAGTGGCCGGGGATTTAGTTACGTTACAAGTACGGTTGTAATTGGGGTAACTCCATGTAGGGTAGTTATAACTCTACTTATAACCTACTTACTAAGTCCCATGCCCCTCCAAGTAATGATGTTCAGAGGTGGCGCTGCAGCAACATCCCGAAAGGGCTCCTTCGACGGCAGCAGAGGCATGTCCAACGCGAGATGTTCTACGGTTGATGGTAGAAATCCTGCAGTACCCATAATAAGGAATATATGGGAATTATGGGTATATTCCTTATTATGGGTCATGCATGATTTAGATCATCAACCGTAGATGGGGGTTGTGAGGGTTTGCCTTGGTGTTTGAGGTTCAGGCTTGGGCTGTTAATGGAGGTTCTACTCAACCGGACCTAAACCGTAAACCCCTTAAGCTTAAATCCCAAGACCATCCACAAAATCCAAGCTCCCGAATCCCGGCGTCCCAAAGCCTAGAGCCTAGACCCTCAAATCTTAACCTCCCTTGTCCGAAAGTTGCCTCCTTCTGTTGTTGATATAGATCCTGCATGACCCATAATAAAGAATATACCATAATTCCCATATATTCCTTATCATGGGTAATGCAGGATTTCTATCATCAACCGTTCCACGCAGCTCATGCAGAGGCCGAGGGTCTCAGTGTTCTCACGGCCAAGCTCGAACGGCTGGAGGTGGGAGTTTAGCTGCAACTCTTGGAATTTCGGGATGTGGGGGTCGAGGGTTACAAGGTCTACGGCTTTGGGGCTATGGGGTTCTTTTGGTAACAGCTTGTCCCTCCTGCAATCCGCAACGCTTAATTATTGCTCGTTTATGTGGAACAAAGACTTTGGGCTCCATGATGTAGATCAGGACATTGACCTAATTACTTCTCTCCCGTTTTCTGGCTGTCATCCTTCGCGTGAGACCTGGAAGCGTCATGCGAACTCTCAGCCTCACTCTACGACAACATGCAACCGAATGCCGAGCTTTTCAGCTGATCTTGTTGCTTGTCTGGGTGTTGTGCAGTCCGATTTGTTTTGGCATACAGAGACAAGAATCTTTGAGACGCCTTCGCGAGCGTGATGGGAATGCGCTCACCTCCTCGGCACGAGTGCTGCAAGACCCTTTGAGCCCAGCCGGGCAGAGAGTCCTTTCAAAGATTACAGATTCCGGAGATGACTGGTTTGCTGTGCGGCGTCTCTACTCTTCGTATACGGGGACAGAGATTCAGATCTTCAATTCTGTCATGCATGCTGCTGTCCGGTGTAACCAGCTCAAAGAAGGGGCCCAGGTTTACGAGAAGCTTTGCGACTTGAACATCACGAAAACATATCCCACCTTCACAGCTGCTCTGAAGATTTTCGCGGAGCTCGGCGAGACAGTCACCGTTCGGAAGCTGTGGAAAGAAGCCAGCCGGAGTCTCGAATTGACTCCACCATTGGCTTTAGCACGCATTGATGCAGCTGCAATAAACGGAGATGTTGAAACAGCCGCTGCAGTGCTCGACTCGCTAGACCAATCTGACATCAACATTGCGCATGTAACATCTGCAATTCGAGCATGTTGGGAAGCAAACGGAACCAACTGGCGTGCAGCCGAGTACCTATTCAATCTTGCGTTGAAACTCGATTTGCAACCGGATATCCCCACTTTTTCTTGCTTGGTTGGATCCTATGCAACTGCGCCTTTGCACAACATCGAGAGCACGTACCGGACAATGCAAGAGATTGGAGTGAAACCCAACAGGGTCTTCTCAGAGATATACTTGACTTCTGTGTTAGCTATCAAGAAAGCCGAGGCCTACGACAAACGGACTGTCCGTCAGCTGACATCCTATCTCCGGAGTTGCCCACAAAGCAGGTTGCAAGCAGCCCGAGCAGCTTTGGATGATTTTCAGAACGCCAGACTGGAAACGACAACTTTGTGCAGCAAAATTGATGCAGCCCTCCGACTGCTTGAAGAAGACTGAGGAAGCCGGCATTGCCATGAGGCCCTGCGACTGCTTGCGAAGCTTGCCGGAGCTTGATTCTCGATAGCTTCATTAGCCTGATCCAAAAAACTAGAAGACAATTGGCCCGAAAGCATCATCAGCGAAGAGTGTGGGGCTATGTGATAGATCCAGTGTATAGGATCGTAAAGTCACAGAATCAAGAGTCATAGAGTCCATGATTCATGAGTCATAAAGTCATAGAGTTGCAGTGACATAGCGTCATAGAGTCGTAGTGAGATAGAGTCAGTGTATAGGATCGTAAAGTCACAGAGTCAAGAGTCATAGAGTCCATGGGTCATGAGTCATAAAGTCATAGAGTTGTAGTGAGATAGAGTCACGGAGTCGTGGAGTCATCTTTGTACCATACACTTGACTCGATGTAGTTCACTCTATGCCCTGTGTGTGGGAACGCTTAATCAAGATCCGCCTAGCGTGAGGGCTCAGAGCCTGACTCAACAGGTCAAGTGGCAACTTGTCAGAGGGATACTGCAACGCGTTTTCCCTTTCTTCCCCTTCTTCTGCCTTTCGAGCCAAACGAGGCAGGCAAACGTGCAAGGAGAAAGCCTTTACAGAGCAGCAAGAAACTCCGAGCCTGCAGAAGTCATCGGCCAGGCAGCCTGCGAGTCGAACGTGTGCAAGGAGAAAGCCTCTACAAAGCAGGAGGAAGCTCCGAGCCTGCAGGTCATCGACCAGGCAGCCTGAGAGTCAAACGTGTGCAAGGAGAAAGCCTCTACAAAGCAGGAAGAAGCTCCGAGCCTGCAGGTCATCGACCAGGCAGCCTGCGAGTCAAACGTGTGCAAGGAGAAAGCCTCTACAAAGCAGGAAGAAGCCCCGAGCCTGCAGGTCATCGGCCAGGCAGCGGCGCGTTGCGCCGTCGCAAGACAGCGTACGCGCCGTACAGGCGCATGAATATATGTCTATCTATCTATCTATCTATATATCTATTATCTATCTATCTATATATATATGGATAGATAGAAAGATAGAGATATATATATATATATATATGTGCGTATATTATCGATATATGCATCTGCCAATCCCTCTGAAGGGTTGCCAATTGCACCTCGCAGAGATGCAAGTTCCTGCAATCGACGCACATATATATATATATATATATATATGTGCGTATATTATCGATATATGCATCTGCCAATCCCTCTGAAGGGTTGCCAATTGCACCTCGCAGAGATGCAAGTTCCTGCAATCGACCACATATATATATATATATGTGCGTATATTATCGATATATGCATCTGCCAATCCCTCTGAAGTGTTGCCAATTGCACCTCGCAGAGATGCAAGTTCCTGCAATCGACCACGCCACTCCCTGTGGAGAGTTGCACGGCGGAAAGCATACAAGTAGTAGTTTGCACACACGTTTCAACCCTGGACCACGCCAATCCATGCAGAGGGTTACACGCAGCGCCCAAAGACCATGCAACAGTACCTGCACACCTCCCGATTAGAACATTCGAGGAAGCTAATCCCTCTCAATGAAGGATTGCGCGGGGCACCGCAAAATGTGTAACTTTACCTTGCGTTCGACCACTCGACCACGCCAATCCCTGTGAGGGGTTGCAAAATTCATTTCAATGCTCATCCAAAAATTGCAACTTTACCTCGCGTTCGAACACTCCACTACGCCAATCCCTGTGAAGGGTTGCAAAATTCATCTCAATGCTCATCAAAAATTGCAACTTTACCTCGCGTTCAACCACTCGACCACGCCAATCCCTGTGAGGGGTTGCAAAATTCATCTCAATGCTCATCAAAAATTGTAACTTTACCTCGCGTTCGAACACTCCACCACGCCAATCCTTGTGAAGGGTTGCAAAATTCATCTCAATGCTCATCAAAAATTGCAACTTTACCTCGCGTTCGAACACTCCACCACTCCAATCCTTGTGAAGGGTTGCAAAATTCATTTCAATGCAAATCAAAAAATGCAACTTTACCTCGCGTTCGAACACCCGACCACGCCAATCCCTGTGAAGGGTTGCAAAATGCAAATCCCTGTGAAGGGTTGCAAAAAAATTGAACTGCACCCAAACCCTGTGAAGGGTTGCGCGGCGCCCGCAAGAAGTGTAACTTTACCTCGCGTTTGAACACCCGAGGAGGCGAATCCCTGTGAAGGGTTGCGCGGCGCCCGCAAGAAGTGTAACTTTACCTCGCGTTTGAACACCCGAGGAGGCGAATCCCTGTGAATGGTTGCGCGGGAACCGCAAAATGTGTAACTTTACCTCGCGTTTGAACGCCCGAGAGTTCCAATCCCTGTGAAGGGTTGCGCCGGGCGCCTAAAATGTGTAACTTTACCTAGCGTTTGAACGCCCGAGGCAGCGAATCCCTGGGAAGGGTTGCGCCGGCCGCCTAAAATGTGTCACTTTACCTAGCGTTTGAACGCCCGAGGCAGCGAATCCATGGGAAGGGTTCACCCGCGCGCCTAAAATGTGTAACTTTACCTCGCGTTTGAACGCCCGAGGCAGCGAATCCATGGGAAGGGTTCACCCGCGCGCCTAAAATGTGTAACTTTACCTCGCGTTTGAACGCCCGAGGCAGCGAATCCCTGGGAAGGGTTGCATTCCCGATGGACCCCGACGGTGCCACCCCCGCCCTTAAAAAGAAACTAGAAGACAATTGGCCCGAAAGCATCATCAGCGAAGAGTGTTACGCTACGTCATAGAATCCAGTGTATAGGGTCATAGAGTCACCGAGTCAAAAGCACGGAGTCACAGAGTCGGAGTGTCACATACAGTCAAGAGTAGTACAAGTCATAGTTCATAGAGTCATCGAGAAATAGAGTCGAGTACATGTCAAGCACAAGTCATAGTTCAAAGAGTCATAGAGTCATATAGAGTCATAGAGTCACAGTGAGACAGAATCATAGAGTCATAGTGTTATAGAGTCATAGCGCCAGAGTGAGAAAGAGTCATAGAGTCATGGAGTCATCTATGTACCACGCACTTGACTTGATGTAGTTCACTCTATGAACACTAATGTTCAGGTTTAGCGGGTTTAGAGTATAGTCAAACATGACGCAGAAGTCTTCCTTTCCTAGCTCCGGAACCTCACTATATAGACATCCCTGATTACTGTGGTTTCAACGTGACTCTATGACTCTATGCATGGTCACTTTATGTCGCAGCAGTAGTAGTAGTAGTAGTAGCAGTAGCAGTAGTACTACTAGCAGTACCAGTACTAGTAGTAGTGATAGTAGTGGTAGTCGTAGTAGTTGTAGTAGTAGTCGTCGTCGCGTAGTCGCAGTCGTGGTCGTAGTAGTAGTAGTAGTAGTTGTTGTTGTAGTTGTAGTTGTTGTTGTGGTACTAGTAGTAGTAGTAGTAGTAGTAGTAGTAGCAGTAGTAGCAGTAGCAGTAGTAGTGGTAGTAGTAGTGGTAGTAGTAGTAGTAGTAGTAGTACTACTACTAGTAGTAATAGCAGTAGTAGTAGTAGTAGCAATATTCTTTTGTAGTAGTGGTAGTAGTAGCAGTAGTAGTAGTAATAATAGTTGTAGTAGTGGTAGTGGTAGTAGTAGTACTAGTACTAGTTCGAACACTCGACAACGCCAATTTCTGTGAAGGGTTGCAAGTTTCACCTCAATGCACATCAAAAGTAATAACGTTACCTCGCGTTCGAACACTCGACAACGCCAATCTGTGTGAAGGGTTGCAAAATTCATCTCAATGCACATCAAAAATTGCAACTTTACCTCGCGTTCGAACACTCGACCACGCCAATCCCTGTGAAGGGTTGCAAAATTCATCTCAATGCTCATCAAAAATTGCAACTTTACCTCGCGTTCGAACACTCCACCACGCCAATCCTTGTGAAGGGTTGCAAAATTCATCTCAATGCTCATCAAAAATTGCAACTTTACCTCGCGTTCGAACACCCGACCACGCCAATCCCTGTGAAGGGTTGCAAAATTCATTTCAATGCAAATCAAAAAATGCAACTTTACCTCGCGTTCGAACACCCGACCACGCCAATCCCTGTGAAGGGTTGCAAAATGCAAATCCCTGTGAAGGGTTGCAAAAAAAAATGAACTGCACCCAAACCCTGTGAAGGGTTGCGCGGCGCCCGCAAGAAGTGTAACTTTACCTCGCGTTTGAACGCCCGAGGAGGCGAATCCCTGTGAAGGGTTGCGCGGCGCCCGCAAGAAGTGTAACTTTACCTCGCGTTTGAACGCCCGAGGAGGCGAATCCCTGGGAAGGGTTGCGCGGGAACCCTAAAATGTGTAACTTTACCTCGCGTTTGAACGCCCGAGAGTTCCAATCCCTGGGAAGGGTTGCGCCGGGCGCCTAAAATGTGTCACTTTACCTAGCGTTTGAACGCCCGAGGCAGCGAATCCCTGGGAAGGGTTGCGCGGTGCGCCTAAAATGTGTCACTTTACCTAGCGTTTGAACGCCCGAGGCAGCGAATCCCTGGGAAGGGTTGCGCGGTGCGCCTAAAATGTGTCACTTTACCTAGCGTTTGAACGCCCGAGGCAGCGAATCCCTGGGAAGGGTTCACCCGCGCGCCTAAAATGTGTAACTTTACCTAGCGTTTGGGCGCTCGAGGAGGCGAATCCTTGGGAAGGGTTGCATTCCCGATGGACGACGACGGTGCCACCCCTGGCTTTAGAAGAGAGATTTAGATACCGAGATGTAGAGAGTATGTAGAGAGGTAGAGAGTAAGTCAGAGAGTAAGTCAGAGAGTAAGTCAGAGAGTAAGTCACAGAGTAAATCACAGAGTAAGTCAAGAGTAAGTCACGAGATGTAGAGAGTATGTAGAGAGTATGTAGAGAGGTACAGAGTAAGTCAGAGAGTAAGTCAGAGAGTAAGTAAGTCAGAGAGTAAGTCACAGAGTAAGTCACAGAGTAAGTCAAGAGTAAGTCACAGAGTAAGTCACAGAGTAAGTCACAGAGTAAGTCAAGAGTAAGTCACAGCGTAAGTCACAGAGTAAGTCACAGAGTAAGTCACAAGTAAGTAAGTAAGTATCAAGTGTAGAGTCAAGTATCAAGTGTAGAGTAAAGTATGGAGTCAAGTAAGTTGATTCTATGTCTGTCATCTATGTACTCAACTGCGGCGTTCCACACGGAAGAACCCTTCGCGAAGCTTTCGGGAATATTAAGATACCGAGATTTGTAGATAGTATGTAGAGAGTAAGTCATAAGTCATCATAAGTCATAGTAAGTCATAGATGCATAGAGAGACAGTCATAAGTATAAGTAAGTAATCATAAGTATAATCATAAGTAATAAGTAAGTAAGTAGAGTCAGTAAGTAGAGTCAGTAAGTAAGTCAGTAAGTAGTAAGTATAGTAAGTATAGCAAGTATAAGTAAGCAAGTCAAGTAAGTATAAGTAAGTATAGAGATAGCATAACATAGAGTCCAGTGTCAAGTGTCAAGTAAGTTAATAAGTAGATTGAAGTAAGTAAGTAAGTAAGTAAGTCGTATATCAAGTGTAGAGTCAAGTATCATAGAGTCAAGTGTCAAGTGTAGAGAGTCAGTCATAGGGGTCAAGTAAGTAAGTAAGTATCAAGTGTAGAGTCAAGTATCAAGTGTAGAGTGTAGAGTAAGGAGTCAAGTAAGTTGATTCTATGTCTGTCATCTATGCACTCAGCTGCGGCGTTCCACACGGAAGAACCCTTCGCGATGCTTTCGGGAATTAAGAATCTGCAGCATTACGCCCTGCCAAAAGGCTCCTGTTCCAGGCGGATGCTTTACCAGAACGCGTGAAGAGATTGGAGCAGGTGCAGGCACTCGACTACGACTGAGAGACGGGGGGCAGGGGGGTACGGGTTGGGCATAGGGTTCCATCATGTGGAATGCTAGTTATACTGAGAGTAGGAGTGCAAGGTAAACTTCACCCGCAAAGGTGCATGCAGGGTTACTGCGTCTCGACAGCCCGCTCACGCTTCGGCATTTCACAAGTAGCCCCCGATGCAACTCTTCTTGGAAGGGAGTGAACAGATTTGTGCATCTTACAACAAGCCCTCAAGTACTACAGGGGCCTAAATAGTTCTCTATACTATTTTGGGAGTTATCGATCATTTTCCCCAAAACCCTATTCTTAGTATTAAGGCTCCTGGCCCCTATATCATAGAACACTACTATCTATCCCTTATAGGACCCTTTGAAAGGAACCCCTTTAAAGGGAACCCTAGTCTAATTATTAAGGCCCCTATATTCTGGAACCCTGAAAGCAGTCCTTACAGTGCCCTTCAAAGGAACATTATAGACCCTTTTCAGGAACCCTATGGGCACTATCGTAAGTTTTATGGTGACGAGGTCCTGGGCCCGCAACTCTAAGCTCCAGACTCGCAAGCCCTGTTCTTAGAAGTAGAAGGTAACCTCATAGGGACGGTTAGGGGGGTAGGGCCGGGGTAGGGGGAGGGGGGTAGGGACTATACTTCGTTAGACAGGCCTTATAAGGTCCTGATTACAGGTATTCAAATTAATGCCCCCCACCCCCCTCCCCCTACCCCCCTAAATGTCCCTATGGTAACCGGGAACCGTTTTCAGCTTTTCGGTAATCCTTATATAGTCATTTCTTGGAGGGTCATGGGACTAAGTACGTAAGGTTATCAGTAGTTACATTAACTGGGGCTATACGTCATTATAAGTATAGCCACCTTATACATGGTTGTCAAAATTATGGTCCCTTTTTGGGTCCCTATTATGATACGGCACCTAATATTTAGGGTACCCCAAAAGGGGCTACTACAGAAACCTTTAGTTTGCTTAGGTGCCGGACAAGTTCGTGTAAGCCCCAGACTCGCGCGCCCTCTTGGAGGGTCAGGGGACTTAGTAGGTAGGTTATAATATGTAGGGTTATAGTTGGTGTAACTCCATTTAGTAAGAGTACTTAAAGCTCTACTTATAACCTACTTACTAAGTCCCCTGCCCCTCCAAGTAGACCCTATAAACCCTAAACCCCGTAGATCCCTTGAAGGAGCCTTCTAGATCCCCCTAAGGAGCCCTTTAAGAGCCCTTACTAAGTCCCCTAAAGCCCCTCCAAGCTGTTCCATCGCCCGCTTTGCTTTCGAAGGCGCTGCAGCAGCAGCCCGAAGAGGGGCTGCCATTGGGTCTGCAGGAGCGCCCCTACTGTTGATGGACAAAATCCTGCATGACCCTAAGGACTCTAAACTATGGGATCTATGGTATATTCCTTATAATGGGTAATGCAGGATTTTGTCCATCAACGTACCTACTTTGGGGTTTAAAGTCTATAAACACTACCTACTTTGGGCAGTTTGGAGCCAAGGCATAGAGTTTAGGATTCTGGGGTTTGGGGTTTAGGGTAAAATTTGCTTATACTATTTTGGGGGTTGCCTCGTTGGGCTTAAAGTATAATATACCCCCAACCCTATCAGAAACTATTGCGGCCGCTACATTATGCCGTCCTGCCTGCTTGCTGAGCACCTCTTCGAAAGAGCTACCTCCACCATAACATGACACCAACAGTAAGGCACATAGTCCTCAATTACAAACCTTAAACCCTAATAGTGCCTGATTGCCGATCCGATTCTGCCTTCAAACCGGTTTGAATCGGGGAGGAGTATTTACGGTATCGTGCTGTAAGAAGTAATAGAATAAGAAAACTACGAGTGGAGTTTGAGAGATCTACATGAATTGAGTTGAGGGTCTATGGTACTTCAAGAATGCATGTACCCTCAGCTGGGGTACTCACAGCGCAGCAGTACTACGAGCCCCAGATACTCCAAATAAGAGCTGAAAATCGAAAGCCGAAGCCCCAGACCCTAGACCGTAGATTGTACCACCCGGAGTACGGATAAACACTGTTCTCATTCCGCAGGCCCTCTGCCAGACATTCGTAGAAACCCTCAAAACGATCCTTTAATGCAACCTTTTGAAAGAAACCCCGGATATTGTAACAGTTGAATAATGTTTGCATTATAGATGTACAAGGCGTTTTGTAGTGGCCCCCATTTTGGGCTGTTACTGTATGGTGCACCCAAAGGAAGCCCTAAACCCCTGAACCCGTAAGCCCCTCAAGCCCTAAACCCTAGACCCTTGAACCCTAAAGGAAACCTTGGACCCTTAAACTCTAGACCCCTGAACCCTAAAGGAAACGCGAAGCCCTAGACCCCCTAAACCTTAAAGGCCCCAGAGGAAACCCTAAACCCTAGACCCCTAAACCCTAGAGGAAACGGTAAATCCTTGACCCTTAAACCTTTAAAGGAAGCGCCCCGAAACCCTAAAGCAAACGCTACACCCCTAAACCCCAAAAGGAACCAGTCAAAAAACCATAAATTATACCAGGATCCTTAATATGATTTAAGGAATATTCCTTAATTAAGGGATATTGGAGTCTCTGGGAAACCCTAAACTCATAAACCCTACAGATCCCCTTAAGGAACCCTCAAAGGAACCCTTAAAGGAACCCTTTAAGGGATCCTTCAAGGACGGCAGCAATCCCAGTGCTCTCTCGGCGACGCTGGAGCAGCTGCAGGCCTGAGATGGGGGAATGGAGGTCTCACGGTTTGGCCCAGTACTTGGAGGGTCGGGGGACTTAGTAACTGGTTAGGGGCCCTAGGGTGCCTTTTAAAGGGCTCCTTCTAAAGGGGTCTATAGGGGCTACTATAAGGGATCTATAAGGGTACTATAATGTCGGGGAACTTAGTAACTGGTTATTCTAAGGACTTATAAGTTCCATAACCCCAATTAGGGTCCCTTTTGGGGTACTTATAAGTCTACTTACTACCTACTTACTAAGTCCCCCGACCCTCCAAGTACGGTTGATGATATCATCCTAGGGTTCCTTTAAACGGATCTATAAGAGGGTACCTTCAAGGGGTTCCTTTGAGGGATCTATAGGGTTTTAGGGTTTAGGGCTTATGGTATAAATGCTGCAATACCTTAATGACCCTAAACCATGGGAATTATGGTGTATTCCCTATTGTGGGGAATGCAAGGTGTATATCATCAACCGTAGTACCCTTTTCCCCTTTGTATGTTGGGTCCCCTTGTTGCAACCGAAGAGTTGGGTTGCTTGTTTTTGTATTGTAGAGTTATACGGTTTAGGGTTTAGGGTTTATACCTCGAGAAGTGGATTCCATGATGATTTGAACCCAAGGTGCTGCTCAACATATGCTTTTCGTCTGGGTCCAAGGTGCCTGTAGACAAGATTGAACCCTAAACCCTAAACCCAAAAGCCCCGCAACCGGGCCCTTGCGTCATAGGGACCCGTCCTTAAGTATGCCTTACTAGGTCCTTACTTTGGGCATTAAGGCCCCCTATATACCCCGCTCTCCCCCTCCCCGCCGCCCTAGGGGTCCCTATGATTACGTGTTTGGACCGCATGAGGATTCAAGATCATCAAACCCTTGGCCTCTTCGTTACAACCCCCGATTGCTGATTTGCTTTCCGGGTATCGTAGCCGTTAATACAGGGGCCTTAATAATTACCTACACTGTTTTGGGGTTTGCTTATTATAATTATTATGGTATAATGGGCCCCAAAACCCTATTCTAATTATGACGGCCCTCATATTGTATTACCCCACTATAGATCCCTTGTCTAATTATAAGGCCCCTATATTTTGGTGTGTCGTAGGCTTTTGACTGATTGTGGGCCTTTGCAGCCTCAGCTTCTTACACGGCCTAGGCTTTTGATGGTTTAGAGCTTGAACTTGAAGAGTTTAGGTGTTATCATAGGGATCCTTAGGGGTGTAGGGGGGAGGGGTGTAGGGGACTATATTTCCTTAAATAGGCCTTATTAGTCCTTATTATGGGCCTTAAGGCCCCCTACCCCCCCCTCCCCCTACACCCCTAAGGATCCCTATGAGGTTAGGGAAGTTTAGGGTTCCTGAACCCTCGCAGTGAGATCCCAAACCTTAGCCCCCAAAGCCCGAACCCTTCCCCCAGAAAGCCCATGACCCCTTTGGGAGCCTTAGGGCAGGGTTCAGGAAGTTTAGATTTTTGCATTATGGGCTTGGGATTGTTCAGTTACAGTAGAAGCCAGAAAGTTGGAATATCATTATCATAACCCCTTTAAGGTAAATGATAGGGGATCCTACCATTAATCCATATTCCAACTTTCTGGAGTTCCCTTTAAAGGTTTAAGGAACCCCTAAAGATCCCCTTATAGAACCCCTTATAGATCCCTTTAAAGGAGCCCAACTTTCTGGAGTTCCCTTTAAGGTTTAGAGGTTTACAGTTTCAGGCTTTCGGGTATTGGGTTTGATTTTAAGTGTCAGCTCATCTTGACTATGGCAATACCTGTGTTGTTAAGGTGCCCTAAGGGTCCAAGTGCCCAAATAGTAGTTTTCAGGTCCAAAAAGCATTCGGAGTATGGATTTTGGGACCGAAAACCCTACTATTTGGGTACTTGGACCCTCTGGGGTGGTAGTTGCAAGCCTGATAAAGTAAGCGCTGTCTCATTGTTCAAAGCCGAAACCACTAAATACTACTGACTATAGGCTCTTTCTTACAATTATAGTCTAATGGGAAGCAAAACCCTATTCTAAATCTAAGCGCAAAGCTTTTCGGGCTGTGTTTCTGCTTTGCACGCGATCAGCAGCAGCATGAGGAGGCCCATCACGCCAAACAGAAGTCCGGTCCTTGAGCATTTTCGCCTTTCAGTCCGGATGTTTCCATGAGCAGGTTTCATGTGGGATTCAAGGTTGAGGAGAGTTTAGGGGCCAAGCTCTGTAGTCTCCACAGGGCACTACCTTCTGTCAGAGTTGGGTTCCGTGTAGTTGGAGAGGTACGTGGTGTGATTTGCAAATGATGTGTATGGATCGTGAGATGGCATGGAAAAAAAGACAAGGCAAGACTTCTTTTGCAGGCAATGTCGATTTGCAGAGTCGCTCTAGGACTCTAGGGCTCGCCATACTGTCCCGGTCATCCTGGATTGCCGCGGACGTTTTAGTTCTGTCCAGGCAGCATGTCCGGAAGCCGACCCGCAGCAAACGAGCGCTCGTGGAGGGCGACAAATCTGGAGCTTCCATCATCAACAGGCAGAGTGGTGCAGTAAGACCAGATTCTCAGTTGATCTGCTTTGGGCTGAACCAAAACAAACAGCAGGCTTTGCCGATGCATTCAGAAGCTGTGGCAGTCTCAACCGGCACACTTTACACGTGTGCAGTGAAATCAAGCGGTCAGCTGGTGTGCTTTGGAGGTAACAACTGCGGACAATGCGATGTTCCGACGGATTTAGGAGCAGTTGTGGCAGTCTCAACAGGCGATGACAACACTTGCGCAGTGAAATCAAGCGGTCAGCTGGTGTGCTTTGGAGATAATGTGCCGGCGGATTTGGGAGCAGTTGTGGCAGTCTCAGCAGGCAAGTATCACACTTGCGCAGTGAAATCAAGCGGTCAGCTGGTGTGCTTTGGAAATAACAACTGCGGACAATGCGATGTGCCGACGGATTTGGGAGCAGTTGTGGCAGTCTCAGCAGGCCAGCATCACACTTGCGCAGTGAAATCAAGCGGTCAGCTGGTGTGCTTTGGATATAACAAGTGCGGACAATGCGATGTGCCGACGGATTTTGGAGCAGTTGTGGCAGTCTCAGCAGGCATGTATCACACTTGCGCAGTGAAATCAAGCGGTCAGCTGGTGTGCTTTGGAGATAACAACTGCGGACGATGCGATGTGCCGACGGATTTGGGAGCAGTTGTGGCAGTCTCAGCAGGCATGTATCACACTTGCGCAGTGAAATCAAGCGGTCAGCTGGTGTGCTTTGGAGATAACGAGTGCGGACAATGCGATGTGCCGACGGATTTGGGAGCGGTTGTGGCAGTCTCAGCAGGCATGTATCACACTTGCGCAGTGAAATCAAGCGGTCAGCTGGTGTGCTTTGGAGATAACGACTGCGGACAATGCGATGTGGCGACGGATTTGGAGCTCTCGGATAATCCCAAGAAGTTGCGCTTCTCCCTTCTAGGTTGCGGCGCGTCGGGGTTTAAGATAGGGGCCTTAATAGTTAGAATAGGTTTTTGGTGTATATAATATTATAACTATAATAATGAACCACCAAAACCCTATTCTAATTGTTCAGGCACCTATAGCAGAACTGTCGGAGTTTAGGGCTTCGGTCTCTTGGGCTTTATCGCGATGAAGAAAACGGAGTTTGCCCTTTGGGGCGGCCAGAAATCATCGTTTTGTCTCGGGCTTCGGGGATTCACGGTTTTTAAGCCTCTCTAAACTTTTTCAGCGGATAAGCAGCAGTCGGCAACTTGATGTGCAGGGCTTAGTTTTGGGAAGGTTGGAGATTGAGGGTTGGTGTTTTTTCAGAGAGGGCTATCAAGTTTAGAGCTTAGGACTTTGGGGTTTTGGGGCTCAGCTGGGTTTGGGATGGCCTTAAAGGTTCAGGCTGCAAGGGTATGAGTCCAGCAAGTGACCTACCAGGGACCTTTTCGCTTCTTCTCGCGTTAAACCAACCTATCGATCCTACCACAATGGGTTCTGAGCAGTAGCGAGAACGCCTGAAGCACTTTCAGTATCTGGGGACCCACACCCTAAACCGCAACCTCTAACTCGATCACCGTAAATCCTAGGGTCTGGACAGGGCTAGGTCTTCAGTCGGGCAGCAAGCAACAAGCGGTGCTCGTTCGCGAAGCAAAGGGATAGCACCTGAGGCCACAAGGTGCGCACACTTTTGCTTGGGTGATTGGGCTTGCTGTTGGATCCTAGCATTTGGTAAACTGTTTCGAGGGTATGAAGATGGATGGTTTTGCGTTTTGGAGTCTATGCGTTAGGTTTTGGGTTCCGCGCGGTTTGTTCTCCCGCTAGCATCAGTACAGCTGCCCCCACTCACATTACTACCACTGTACGGATGGCAAACGGTAAGTATAGCCGTGCCTGAATCCATCACAATTGTTGCTATTACCACCGAGGCCCAAGCCTGGAACACAGTGACAAACACGACTATCGGTGAGGCTCCCTTACGAGAAAATCGCGAACAAGATGCGAGGAACCAACACCTGCCAATGAACTCCGAAGCCTTGAACCCCTGTTTAGGGTTTAGGGTTTAGGGGTTTAGGGGTTTAGGGTTTAGGGTTTTAGGGTTTAGGGGTTTAGGGTTTAGGGTTTAGGGGTTTAGGGTTTAGGGTTTAGGGCTGAAAACCGCAACCCTAACCCTAAAACGAAATCCAAAACTCGGAAACCAACCCTTCCAAAGCCAGACGTGTCATCTCCCACTCCGAACTTCGTCGGATCCGATGCTACCCTAAAACCCCAAACTCGGAACCCTAAGGGCTGAGTAGGTACCCTTTAACCCTTTGGGGCTCATATCATCCTACTATCTTAGTAGCTGAGTGGATACACTTTACACTTTTGGCGATCATACTACCCAGTATAACACAGAAAGTGTACACTTTTTGGGGCTTATGAACTCAGCAACTAAGCTATAATTCAAGAGGTTAACTTTTGGGCTACCCTAAACCCTAAGAACCTAAGCAGGAGAAGGCCGCGCCGGTGGATATGCAAGCGCTCTCCTTGGAAGATAGGGAGCGGCGCTCGCCCAATAAAATAAGGGGCCCTTTAAGGGTTTAGGTTCTAGGGTTCCTTTAACGGGGTCTCTAAGGATTACTATAAGGGGTATTATGTGGGTTTAGTATAGGGTCTTGAATTCTAGTTACCTATGCTGTTTTGGGGTTCCTGATTATAACTATGGTATGATGGGCCCCAAAATCCTATTCTAATTGTCACGGTACTATCTTAGCTTAAGCGATGTAGGTTTCCCTTAGGTTTTCCAATTATAGTATTCAACATCCCTTACTTGAGGATTGCACATTGAATCATAGTCCGGTCCCTAGATATGAGTTGAAGCATATTCCTTAATGAAGAAGTTGTTTCGAAGATCTGGTTTTGTTTTCATAGCGTTGCACGGCTTTGTAGTAGAGGCTCTTGGACTTGGGGCTTTTGCGAAAAGGCTGATTGGGGTTGGGGTCAAAGCATTCAAGCAGGAATGATGCCCCGAAGTCTCTACCCAGCCAATTACGGCGGTATAAATCCTGCATTACCTGAATGAGACTATGGGAATTATGGTATACGGTATAGTCCTTGTTATAGGTAAAGCATGTTTTATATCATCAACCGTATTGACATGTACCTGCTTTACGTCTGGGGACTTACGACCCCGAGGAGGATCCCACCGTACATCTTCCCTAGTATAGCAGTAGAGAAGGCAACCTTTAACCTTGGGGGGAGGTACTATAAATTACGTAGTTCCCCAATACCCAACCTTTAACTTTTTTGGGCTCTTATAGTTTGGTAGTAACCGGAAAGTTTATCATTTTAATGTTTGTTGCTGATTCGGGAAGTAAGTGAACCTTGAGTTACCTTAGGTATTTGACAAGTAGCTAGGTTCCTGCGTAGTGCCCTTGTGCCCTTTTTGTTTTGGGAGTTCCCTTATAAAAACCAAATAATAGGAAACAGGGTGCCCTTATTATGAAGGGGGCTAAACTCAGGAACATATAGGTAGGCCTCTGAAGTGTTGTTTTGGGAGTTCCCTTAAACCGAATAGTAGGAAACAGGGTGCCCTTGTTATAAAGGGGCGCGGCTACTCACTTGGAGGGTCGGGGGACTTAGTAAGTAGGTAGGAAGTAGACTTATAAGTACCCTAAAGGTACCCTAATTGGGGTTATGGTACTTTTATGTCCTTAAGATAACCTGTTACTAAGTCCCCCAACATTCTAGTACCCTTATAGTAGCCTCTATAGACCCCTTTAAAAGGAGCCCTTTAAAGGGAACCCTAGGACCCTCCAAGCAGGAATCTAGGTAGGCCTCAGAAGCCTCCGATCCCTACTTTGTGTGCTCTGTCAAGCCGGAGACCCGGAACTTGACGCTCTTGATGAAAGGAAGGTTTCGGGTTTAGGGTTTCGAGTTCAGGGTTTAGGATTTCGAGTTCAGGGTTTAGGGTTCAGGGTTTAGGGTTCAGGGTTTAGGGTCCAGGGTTCAGGGTTTAGGGTTCAGGGTTTACCTGTAGGTTCCTTACTATGGTTTCTAGATATAGCTCCTGAAGGTCTTTTTTTCTGCTACGGATAGGGTTTAGGATGGAGCTTCGAAGGAGGGGCCGAAATTCTTGCTATAGATTATCGGAACAGGATTTGGGGGAGCGTATACGATGGAATCCTAGGGAAGAATCTTGGATCTACTTGGAGGGGCAGATAGCTCCATTTAGGGTACTTAGAACTCTACTTATAACCTACTTACTAAGTCCCCTGCCCCTCCAAGTAGGCTTCGATACTGCACCAGCGCAAAGCAGAAACCTTGGATCCCACACCTTAACGGCTCCAGGGGCTGAAAGACTGGGGTTATCATTTGGGTTATAATATAAGGGCCGAAATAATTACCAATATCATAAAGAGAGCTCCTTATTGTATTTGTCGTACAACAGGCCCTATTCTACTTATTAAGGCCCCTATATTAGGGAAATACTTTGGGCAATAAGTTCCACCTGGAAGTCGCTGATATTCATGCGGTCATCCAGGCGCTGCCACGTCGGGTTACACTGACTGTAGCCTCTTATTTCCCAAAGGCTCCATGTACCCATATAGTAGGTACTTAGGCCTTAAAGTGCCCATATAGTGACCCCTTTAAGGCCTAAGTACCTACTATATGGGCACATGGAGCCTTAGGGTTTTCTATCCTTACTTACTACGTCCCGTGCGCCTTCCAGCAGACCCCGGAAACCCTGGACCTCCCAACCTCCCAGACCTTCCAAAATCCTTTAATTAAGGAATATACCTTAAATCATATTAGGGATCCTACTATAATTTATGGTATATTCCTTAATTAAGGGATTTTGGAAGGTCTGGGCTTCTTGAGCCCTCAACCCTCCCCTTTAAACACTGCCTTAAGGCTCCTGGACCCTCGTAGTGAGATCCCGGACCCTAGCCCTCAAAGCCCAAACCCTCCCCCGGAAAGCGCAAGACCCTCTTTGGAGCCTTAGGGTAATCCCTAAACCCCTAAACCCCATATATACCCTAAACCCTATATAAACCCTAAACCCTTATAGATCCCTTTAAAGGAACCCTTAACCCCTTAAATGGAGCCTTAGGGTAAAGCCTAAACTCCCTTCTTTCCTAGCCTAAACCCTCCAGTCGAGCCCAGAGTTTCGGGTCTCGGACTTTCTTTGGGGCTTAGAGCTTTGGGCTTACTTTAGAGTTCAGGGTGTTTAGGGTTTTGAATTTTAGGATTTAGGGTTTAGCAGTTTAGGGTTTTGTGTTTTGGGCTTTAGGGTTTAGGGCTTTAGGGTTTAGGGTTTGGGGTCTTGGGGTTTTTGGGGTTTGGTGGAGAGGTTTCAGGGTTTCAGGGTTTGGGGTTCTCAGGTTCGGGGCGTAGGCAAGCACAACACACAGCTGCTGCAAGAGCACCGTTCTTCATTTGCGCTCTTTACATATGAACACCAGAAAGCAGTGGTCCCAGTCCTATCTTAGTTCTCCAATACCCAACCTTCAATAAACCAAGGCCCAGTCGTAAGAGTGACCTAGCAAAAGAGTATATTTGTAATCCTTAGCCTTTAGTTTACCGCGAGTATAACCCAAAAGAGTAAACCTTCAGTTCTTCAGGATACAAGTAGCATGACCTGCAACTCCCCTAACCCCCAAGCCCCTAAACCCTCAACCCCTCAACCCGTAAACCCCAATCCCCTAAACCCTGAACCCCTAAGCCCCTAAACCCCTAAACCCGAAACCAAGACCCGATCGTAAGAATGACTTTCAACTCCTTCTCGCACCCAGCAACTCCGAGCCGGGTCGCACCTGACATCCCCTTGGCCGGGGAAGGACACATAAGCAGCTGAACATTTTTGTGTATACATGCATACATATATATATATATATATATATGTATATATGTACACATGTGGATACGAAAGTACATATACATATACATATATATATATATACAGATATATATTCTTTTTATTTGCATACACATTCAACCGAGGCACTGAGTGCTTTCTCTGCGAAGCTGGATCGACTCGAGACGCAGGTTCAGGGACCGCCTTGTCCTTTTTCATGGTTCCCCCAAAAGAATAAGGTTCTTTTTAAGGGCTCCTTTAAGGGGGTCTCTATAAGGGTTACTATAAGGGTACTTTAATGTAATGGCTCCCCCAAAAGAATAAACAGACCGGCTAGTAGACCTTCTTGAATAATTCCTACTAAGGCACTAAGGGATATACGTATAGGGCTCTGTCTATTTTTTCTAAAAGGACAAGGGTGCCGGGACCCGGGAACCCTTGGGTTCGTTTCTGGGGGTTCCTTTGCCCAGACCCCCGTGGAGGATCCAGAAAGTAGGGTTTAGGGTTTAGGGGTTTAGGGTTTAGGGGTTTAAGGGTTTAGGGTTTAGGGTTTAGGATCTAGAAAGTAGATCCCCTAATTTGGGGCCCTATACTACTGAGGGTAGTTTATAGGAACCCCCATTAAGGGATCTACTTTTTGGATTCTCCCGGGATTCCTTTGGAGGGTTCCATAAGGGGTTTAGGGTTTACCCAGAGGGTCCAAGTACCCAAATAGTAGGGTTTCAGGTCCCAAAATCCATACTCTGAATGGTTTTTGGACCTGGAAACCCTACTATTTGGGTACTTGGACCCTAAGGGTTAGGTCCGCTTAGACTTCAAGGTTAAGGCTCTTAGACTCTTGGGTTTGGGGTTTAGGGGTGTAGGGTTTAGGGTTTTTTATGGGTTTAAGGACTTATATGTTTTGCTTGAGGGTTCGGTCGTTTAGGGATTTATAGTTCCTTTCGGAGCTTTCGGAGCTTGGTATGTAGAAGTCGAAGTTCCATCCCTACTTGGACGGGCAGGGGACGTAGTAAGTAGGTTATAGGCAGAGTTATAAGTACCTTAAATGGAGTTACCCCAATTATAACCCTACTTATAACCTACTTACTAAGTCCCCTGCCCCTCCAAGTCGTGATCCTTACTGCGACTCTTGTGTGAAATCAACACAGAATCCTATTCCTTTCGCTCAGGCCACTATATCAGGGGTTTAACGTTTAAGGTTTGGGTTTAAGGCTTTACGGATTTACTCCCCTATTTCGCTTTAGGTATCCTTTAAACGTTTAAGGGTAGTAGAATCCCAATATCATCTTAAAGCCCACAGGCTAGCCTTTAGTTCACCTAGGATGCCCAGACCTTCCAAAACCGCTTAAGTAAGGCAGTTTCTTCAACTATAGTAGGATCCCTATTATGATTCAAAGTCTATTCCTTAATTAAGGGGTTTTGGAAGGTCTGGGTACTTACTGGACAGCGAAGGCTGCTTGGAGAAGCACAAGCCCTTCAACCCAGAGCGCCCAGAGCCCCTAAAATCTAAGCCCCCCAGCCCTAAGCCAGAAACCAATCCGCAGTGTTGATGATATAGATCTTGCATTACTTTGAGGACCCTAGGCTATGGGAATTATGGTATATTCATTATCACGGGTAATGCAGGGTTCATATCATCAACCACAGGTGGAGGCATTGCCAGATCTAGTAGGCAAAGTGGAGATGCAGGAGAAGGCACCGGGTTTGAGGGTTTAGGGGCTTGGGGTTTAGGGTTAGAGAAGGGTCTAGGTTGGAGGGTTTGGAGTTTAGGGTTTGGGTTCTAGAAGGGTCTAGGTTTGAGGGTTTAGGGTCTAGGACTTTAAGCTCCTAGGTTCTATAACCTCCCAGGAGAGTAGGTAAAGGGAGTATAACCCCTATAGACCTCGAAAGGATAACCTTTGGTACCCCGATAGCATTCGACATCTATAACACGAGTTTAGGTTTTAGGTTTCTGAGTATTACATGTGCCCATTTCATATTGGAATCCATTTATTGAAGTTGAACAATACGATACAGGGAACTGTCGATGCTGGGGAGCGTAGAGGCAACTCATACTATTCAGTTCTCCAACCTGTCCCAGCTGGTAGCAATCGGGAGCCTACGGCGAATTCAGTTGGGTCCTCTCGCAAGGGTCATCCCGTACGTTTCCTGAGAGTGTTCACGACTCGGCCGGCCACCCTAGCTGTCTCCATCATCAATATCGTCATCATTGCCATCATGAACTACCATCGGCATCCCCTGCAACCTCTTTTCATTTACGTCATACTGGAACATGCCTCATAAACCTGTTCTGAGGTTTGAAAGGCCCTGCTGTATACCCTAAAGCAGGCCTTAATCCACTACGGTTGTAAGAGCCCTCCTCTGATCTTTCAAGGCCTGATATCGGAATCATCAGCATCATTGTCATAATCTGTCTGCTGCTTGGTAGGGAACGGGGGAATGGATTCCTATGGTAGTCCCTATCGAATCCCCAATATTAGTCTCCATAACCCATTCCCCTATTCCTTACTAAGAACCAGGGAGTAATGGACTGTGTGTTAATGTCGACGCACACCGGTTCTCTGTTCAGGGCTATGGGTTGCTGAGGTTTCTTCAAACACTCTGCGACCTGAGGGCTCCTTTTCGGTCGAAGTTATTGTATGTGTGTAAGTAAGTGTAAGTGTGTGTGTGTGTGTGTGTAAGTGTGCGTGTAAGTGTGTGTGCGCGTGCGTACGCGAGTGTCTGTGCGTGCGTACGCGAGTGTCTGTGCGTGCGTACGCGAGTGTCTGTGCGTGCGTACGCGAGTGTCTGTGCGTGCGTGTGTGTGCGTGCGTGTGTGTGCGTGCGCGTGTGTGCGTGCGTGTGTGGGTGTGCGTGCATGTGGGTGTGCGTGTTCGTGGGCGTGGGCGTGTGCGTGTGCGTGTGCGTGTGCGTGCGGGTGCGCGTGCGCGTGCGCGTGCGCGTGCGCGTGCGCGTGCGCGTGCGCGTGCGCGTGCGCGTGCGCGTGCGCGTGTGCGTGTGCGTGTGCGTGTGCGTGTGCGTGTGCGTGTGTGTGTGTGTTCGGGTTCAGGTTTTCCGGCTTAGTTTTAGGTTTCGGGTAAAAAGCGTGATTGAGGTTCCTTGCAGAGAAGGTTGCTCGGCGAACCTTCTCCGAAACATTAGCTCTGAACTGATCCCATCATTCCGCACGGTTACATTACTAGCTGCCTGCATGCAGCAGGTGAGGTGCACGTGACGTTTGGACGTAATTAGGTTAATTGGGTCTACATGTGCAGTCTGGGCGCATCTTTCGTAGCCCTATGCAGTCTAACAAGTTTGGCGCGTGATTCCAACGACGTGGATTGTCTTGACACATTCTCATTTGCAGACACTCACCAAAACTAAAAGAGAAGCACTACGACCGTGCTGCTTGCGCTGTGGTTGCCGCTGCTTGAAAACGTTGTCAAGGCTATGTTTCGCAGCTTCACTTATGGGTTTTCTGGCCTATGGATTTCAGCTCTGAAATTCGCATGTTGGCCCCGTTCGGCTGATTTGAACATTCTGTGTCGGACGTCCCGAGTCACTGACTCGTTCAATCTAAACAATCACTGCTTTTGCCAAATGGCCATTGCAAGTCCGTACATACAAGATGGGAACGCTAAGGGTGTGCAATTGCATGTTGTCCCAATGTGTGACGTGGGATATGGATATTCCAATAAGTTCTTTCTCAACACACGCAGACGTTTGCCCTCGACAGAAGAGCCGGCATGGACAGACAGCACAACAAACCTGAGGAAATTGCAGCGCTTCTGCACATGCACAGACCCTTGCACGAACGAATGTACGTGTCTATGCCTTTACATGTATATATATATATAATTACAACTGTGCATGTACATGCGTATACGTAACATCGTCTGCATGCACTTTTTGATGCTTGTTACAGTTGCTGATAGTCTGCTGGTGGCAAGTATTGTCAGCAGAGCGGAGCTACATGTCGCAGAGCAGAAACAGTGCCGATTGTTGACACGCAGCGTTGATGCCAACAATGCCAACACCCTTTGGCGGCACGGTTTCAGTGGCTCTTGGACTCAGCGACTTTGTTTTCAACGCTTGAAACCTCTCGCAGGATACCCCGCTTCCTTTCGACACCCTGGTGTTGTCACGTTTGGCTGAAACTGTGCATCAGCCGCACCGCGGACTTGGCTGCTCGGACAGACCCAAAGACTCTTTTGTTGCTTGCTTTTACAGACCGAGCCCCCTGATCGTACGATGGAAACCCACAACCCTCGATGCTACCGCCCCTTTCAACCATCCTTAGTGTGTGCTATGAACAGCCCAATGGCACCATATAGAAGCACAGCAAGACCCGGTTAACATCGTCCTGCATGTCCAGCTTCGGTTTCACAGGTGCGGCAACAACCCAATGAGGCGACAGTTTTGCAGGCACATTTACCCATTTATGTATGTCCCGCAGGAGCTTTTTTTGTGGTCAGCTATAGAACAAACACAAATTGTTATTTCAGCTTGTTTTTTTAGGCTCCAATGGGCATTCCGATGGCAAGTGAAGGTCTGGCATACTTGTCCATTCCAGACATATAGACTGTTTGGCTTGTTGCGAATTCCGACCATTCCGAAAGTTTCAACACGCGTTTGCTGATTAGCTTCGGTGTCGAAGGACGTTCGTTCAGGATCCTGGTGTATACCGTGGGAAAAGTTTCCTTCGACGCGAACTCTAATCTTTTGTGTTCAGGACGCGGGCAGTTTTAGCTTGCCAAACCCAAAAGTGCGCTGCGGGGCTCTGCCTGCTTGCGTCGTTCTGTACTTTACCACTTAAAGTTTCCATGTTGGAGTGGCGCACGACTGGTTACATGACAGATGATAGTACATGTATGTAATATATACGTCTGTATGTGTATACATATGTGGACAGTGTAGAGACAGAGGGAGGGAGACAGAATGTGCATAGACATATATGTGTATAAATGCAAGTGTATATATACACTCGCTCTCTTTATCTCTCTCTCTCTCTCTCTCTCTTTCTCGCTCTTTCTCTCTCTCTCTCTCTCTCTGGCTCTCTCTCTCTCTCTCTCTCTCTCTTTCATATATATATATATATATGTATGTATGTATGTATGTATTTATACATGGGTAACGCTATAGCCCTAAGCCGCCCGAAATCCTACACCCACAAATTGCATACGTCTCTGTAACTAAGTACATGAACAAATCTCTCTCTCTCTCTCTCTATCTATATATATATATATGTATCATGTGTATACAAACATACATATATATATATGTGTGTACATATACATATTATATGTGTATATATATATACATATTACATATGCTTCGGTACGAAAGCCAGGTCGAGGCTCTGAGTGCTCTCACTGCGAAAGTGGAGCGACTCGAGACGCAGGTTCCGGGGGACCTAGTTGGATCGTCATTGGCATCCAAATTAGGCTTTTATGGTAGCTATACAGCTGTTCCGGATTCCTTTAACGCGCCTGGGGTCAGGGCTCTATAATCTCTATAAGGAGTTTAAGTTTAGAGATTCAGGGTGTGGGGATTCAGGGATTTCGGAGGTTAAGGGGGTTCTATGTGTTCGACGGTTGAGTGTTTTGGGGTTTGGTTTTAGTGTCGGGGCTAGGCCTCTATGTGTGTAAGGCCTTCGGGTTCCGGTTTAAGGGTTTCGGGTTTTGATTTCAGTGTGTTGACAAGCGTAGTTTAGGGGTTAGGTTTAGGCTTAGGGTTGTGGGTTTCTACACATTTTGGGCTGTGGGGTTTCGGCTTCTTTCTGTTCAAAGTTTACGAACCCTGAGGCCCCAATGCGTAAACCAATCCACAGGTGGAGGCATTGCCAGATCTAGTGGGCAAAGAGGAGATGCTCCAGGCGCAGGAGAAGGCTCCGCCGGTCGTCATGCCCTAATTTGTGTCTCCGACGCGTCGAACAGCTTTGTAGGGTTCGGAGCATAGCGAGTTCTTGCGGATCTCATGCCGTGCGCTTTTCCAACATGTTCAACATAAGTATGGCCGGCTACTCTTTGCAAACCCTGGAAAGGCCAAGGAAGCAGAGCACGTCGACCAAAGTTGCGAGACTATGGTCTGTCATCTCCATCATCAGTATCGTCGTCATCATCGTCAGCATCTTCTTCACCATCATCATTAAAATTAGCATCATCATTAACAACAACGTTTTAAGTGTCATCACAGCCCTTAAACTCAAAACTGCCGTCGAAGACCGGGGATAATAAAGGCTCCTACATACCCTGAATTCTGGAAGGAGAGCGTTGCCGGGTTGTTGATCTCAGGTTAAGGTTTCCGTCTTGTTTTGGGGCAGGGGTTCCTATTTTTCGGTTTGTACGATGCAGTGTGACTTACAGGCATGTTTGGGGTTGGCGAAGACGGCTTCCCGTCATGTTTCCGACAGCAAAACCCTTCTCGGTTAGCAGCGCACGCTTTGCTTCACAGCTGCTAAGAAAGCCTGAAAGTTGGACCGTCTGCAGCTAGCTGGCATCACGGAACCACACATACTGATCCCATCACCCTGCACCATTGTCACTGCCTTCAGACCATAGTTACTGCGAAGTCTTTGCATCAAGCAGGTCAGAGACATGGCTTGTGAACGTCATAAAGTTGCCTTTGAACCCCAGTCTGAAAAGCCTGCGCGTGAAGCAGGTCAGGGACACATGGCGTTTTGGCATTTGGCATGGCAAGAATCAGGTCTACATACGGGGTGCGGGGGCGTTTCTGTCGTAGTTCCGTTCAATGTAACACGTTTCATTGCGATTTCAAGGACGTGCCGGTTCCTTGATTTTGTCTTTCTGGCTTGAAGCCGCTTCAAAATCTTGTTTCCATAGTCAAATACATGAGTCATCACAGCCGAGCGGGCGTCGCCAACGCATTGAAAAAGAACGGCCTATACGTTGAAAAGCATGCTGCTTGCGCTTTGGTTGCAGCTTTTTGAAAATATTGTCAATGTTACTGCATGTATCGCATCTAATTATTCATTTCTCAGAAGTCAAGGAGAAGGCATTTCTCACGTACAGGTTGCAAGCGGTGCTCACTTGTGGTTATGGTGCTCCTTTGCATTTGCCCAATTTCGGGTTTGGGGGTATCCAGGTCGGCTCGTTCTCAACATGGGCAGACACTTGTCCTTAAACAAGAGGCATGTTCAAAAAAGCAGAGGCAACACATCTTCGGCAATTGTGGCACTTCTGTACACGAGCGCAGCTGTCTTTCTTATGTTTCTATAAGCATGATTCGCACATGTATGTATGTATATATACATACATACATATATATATATATACATACATACATATGGTGACGCATCGCCGCGCCGCAGGCCCCCCTCTCAACAAGCAGGCACGCGTCGTGCGCGTAACGGTATGCCCCCGCCGAGGGCCTCTCGCCGTAGCAAACGGGGTGGGACCTGGGACGGGGGGGGGAGGGATAACCCACAACAACTGGAACACAAGACAGGGAACCACAGGGGCGCGGTGGGGAAGGCTAGCCCACAACACAGGGAACCACAGGGCCCCTTGCCCTTCCCTTCGACACACAGATGAGAATGATGGCGATGATGTTGTGCGCACTGACATTGATGTGCTATTCCCACTGTGGCTGTTGGTGGTACCTGTGCTCTTGTGTTGCTCGGGGCTTCGGCACCGCATGTTCAGTGCTTTATTTAATTGAAAAACGTGCTTGGCTAGTGATGTTCTTGCGCGAATTCTATCGACCGTTGTCATTCCAAGCCAAGTTTCGGTAGGTTCGTTCAACGCAAGATTGAGCACGTGTTTGAATGATTTTCATTCGGGACTTTTGAGCAAGGGACCGGAGAAGAACGCGGATCATGACCACCATCTTCGTCATCATCATCATCATCATCGCCATAATATTCGTCACCATCATTGGCTTTGGAGCTCACGGCAGGTCGGAGTTCGGTGGATCTGTGTCACATCCTAAGGTCCAAACCTTAGCAACCAGACGCCCAGCCAGCAATAGCCATGGAAACCGACCGCAATCACAGGGGGGAGGCGCAGGGGGGGAACCCACACCACAGGGAACCACAGGCGGGGATTGGGGTATACCATGGGGGGGGAGGGGGTGCCTAGCAGCGCTGCACCGTATTTTTGTATATATATATATATGTAGACATGCGTACATACATACGTACAATGTAACCGTTTGTCTCTTCATTCTTGTTACGGTTCTTCATGCTCTGACTGTGCCAGGCTTTGGTTGCCTGTTTCAGTTGTATACCCAGACAGCAAAAGTCACAGGGTAGAGCCCCACATCGCAGGGCACATACCGGGTATATCGTTGATGATAAACGTAGTACTGACGTCTGGCATAGTGTTTGGCGGCACTTTTGTTTTGGCGCTTGGACACCCACGGGTTCGGTTTCAACACATGAACCTGTTGGATCATACTGATGATCATACCCAACCTCTTTTCAGCAACCTGGTCTTGTCATTTTTGGCCGCGAACGTGCATCAACCTTGCCGTGGACTGGGCTGCTTGAGCAGGGCCCACGGATTCCATATATGTTGCATACGAAAAGTCCCTCGAAACGTCTGTGAGCGTTCAGCAAAAAGCTAGTGATTGGAGAAGTTGGAGTCGCCACGCCGGAATCAATGTAACGTGGAACACCAAAGCTTTCTCAAACTGGTGAACCTTGGACCCCTGAGTCCTACAGCCCTAATCAGCATTCCTCCATATATACGGCCCCATGACATTAATATAGAACGACAACAAGACCAGACTAAGACCTCATAGGTGCAGCAGCAACCCGAAGGGGCGACGGCTCTGCAGGCGTGCCCATGTTGTGGGGCTTCCTTTGGAAGCTTAGCATGATGGTTTGTATAGTACAAGCCCAAACTCTTACTTCAGTTCCGCAGGATTTTCTCCTTGCTTCGAGTCCAAATATTGGCTGTACATATATTATGTTCCCAAGCCTTATTAAAACTGATTCGAACTACAAGGCCCTTATCTTGTAGATACCTCATGCTACCCGGAAAGGAAGCCTTCAAAGGAACCCTGTTCAAATGATTAATGAGCCCTTAATATTAGGTTTGGGATTCTTGTTTGCAAACAGGGGAACAGGCTGGCCTTCGATGCGAGCGTTCCAATCCTTATTCTATATCTTTGTGGCGTCGCGTTTCCATAAATTCTTCTCCCTTTCCGGGTGTTGGTTTTTAAAACGACATTTCGCGATGTTGACCCGACACTGGACACCAATGTAGTGAACTCCCCCCAGGCTGCTTCTGAAGGTTTAGGGCTTACTGTTAACCAACCTAGACAACAGCGCAGCAACCCGAAGTCTAGATCATCGGTCTTTTGAGGCGACCATCAGCAACCGCCATATCGACGTCTGACAGCATACCAAGCACCCTACAGATCCTCCCCTGTCTCGGCCACCCTGCGATCCCCAAAATTCGGTCGAAAAACAGCTATATGTTACGGAAGTCGTCGTCCCCTCTCTTTGCTGCACTAAGCACTATGAAACGGTTCGATACATACAGAATCGCGGACGAATCTTGCCAAAGCCTTTAAAAGCATTCTGAGCACAAGATCCGAAGCCCTATTTCGAGGCCCTAGACCCTAAAACCCCAAAACCCCTAAACCCCTAAACCTTTAAACCCTTGAACCCTAAACCCTCAAACCGGAATCCTGGAAGACAGGTCGAAAGGCTGAGCGTCCTCGCGGCGAAGTTGGAGCAGCTCCAGGTGGCGTCCCTACGGGCCAGTGCGGTTGATGACATAATCCTAGGGTTCCCTTAAAAGGATCCATAAGCTTCCCTTTAAGGGGGTTCCTTTAAGGGATCTATAGGGTTTTAGGTTTTAGGGCTTATGGTATAAATCCTGCATTACCTCAAGGACCCTAAACTGTGGGAATTATGGTATATTCCTTATTATAGGTAATGCGGGATTTATAACATCAACTTATTCCCTTTCTTTTAGGGTTTAGGGCCCCTTATAACCCCCTTTTAACCCAAACAGGGCACCCTTTTTATTCCTAGGTTACTCCTGGGTCTAGTTTTTCATAGCAGTAGAATAGGTCGTTGGTAACCTTGTTAATTTCTAGGGGTAGTATAATCCCCGAAAGATTGAGGTTCACTTCGGATACTGGACAACTAAGCTTCCTATCGTTGTGTAATCAAAACCAATCGGTTTAGGGTCGGGGTTTAGATTGCAGGCTTCTCGAGTTTGTGCAAACGGCCGGGGTGTATCTGGTCCAACGTCAGGCTATCAGGTTTGTGTAGTTTCGTTAGGGTGTAAAGGCTTGTCAGGAGCTTTGTGCAGCGTGTCTAGAGACTCTATAGTGTATGGCTCCATGAGGCTATTCGGGTGCAGCAGTTATGTTCGCCTTACGGGATTTTGTGTGGGCTTTAGCCGTTTAGTTTACGCTTTCGGGTTTGTCAGGATGTTACGGTTGAGTAGGCGTTAGAGCTTTGTCGTGGAGATGGCGTGATTATCATGGTTTCCGGGAGTAACCCTAGGGATCTAAGGACCCATATATTAAGGCTTTTGGGCCCAAAGACCCTACTATATAAGGCCTTTGGGCTATTTTGATCCCTAGGGTAAGAGGATAAAAATAGACCCAATAGAGTTTCGAAAGGTTTCGCGACCCAAGAACGACCCAAGGACGTACATTGTTCCGTTTCAGTTTCGGGGTTCGGTGTTTCAGGCGTTCTAGTAGTCGACTAGGAAACCATAGGTAACTGTTAATTGCTTTGGGGGGGTACTACAACGCCTATATAATCCCAATCTACAAGTTTTTCTTGAAGCTCATGTTGCTTGACAGAGGTTGGAGTGTCGACTATGGGTCGGTCGGGTACTGCACCGTCACTTCAATAAATGCTTCAAAATCGTTCAGAATCACACTGTCATATCGAAAAGTCTCATAGAATAGAATGCCGTAGCATCACAGGCCTGATCTTCGACAGATATGTGTTTCGCAATGTTAGATTAGGTCAGACGATGTGTATATATATATATATATGTATACATACATCATTGCCTACTTGTGGGAGCCTCTGTGTTTCTCACTCTGCGTTTTACGACGTTGAGTTTGAGAGTAGGTCCGGGAAATCCTAAAGAGGCTCTTATTAAGCACTGATGCACGAATCTGTACTAGTGAACCCTAAACCATAAACCCTAAACCCGGAACCCTATACCGTAAACCATAAACCCTATACCCGGAACCCTAAACCATAAACCCTAAACCATAAAACCCTAGACCCTGAACGTCCGCGATCTTTATCGGCGTTTGGACCAGATGCCTCTTTCAGCCAAGGCTAGGACCAGTAAATGGGCTTCAGAGACTTTACATGAGAGTTTCCGGAAGTAAGGTATCCTAATCTATTACCCTAAATAGTAGGATCCTTAATTATTCTAAGGACCGCAAAATAAGGTAACCCCCCTATTTTTGGAAACTCCCACATGAGACTGCATCTTCTCAGGAGTCTGGGTAAAAGCCGACTTCCGGAAGCTTGAAGCAGCTCAACAAAGACAATGCCCCGATTCAGGAATATACCCCAAACCATATTCAGCTCGACTAAGGGGTTTAGGGTGTCGGGGAAGAAATCAGGTCGAGAATCAGACCGCTCTCACAGCGAAGATGGACCGGCAAGAGGCACAAGCTCTGCTTTTCAAAGGTCCTATAAAGAGACGCTTAAAGCAGACTGTATTCATATAAGATCTGAATATAGGTAGTGGGGATGCTGAAAGGGGAAGAAGATGGGAACAGCAGGTCCTACCACGGTGCTCATTGGGGTTTCCCAAGAGTTTATATACGCATGCTGTTGGTGCTGACTCCCCAGAGACTCCAATATCCCTTAATTAAGGAATATACCTTAAATCATATAAGCGATTCAACCATAATTAAAGGAATATTCCTGAGTTAAGGAATATTGGAGTCTCTGCGTCGCTTGTTTCGCTGCAGTTTAGGACTCGCGGAGACCTCAACCCTAAAGCCTAAAGCTAAGATCCCTTTTTGGGTACCCTAAGCATTAGGTGCGGTAGTATAATAAGGACCCAAAAAGTAATAATAATAATAATAACAATAATAATATGAATAATGATAAGGACCCAAAAAGGGACCCTAACAGGGGCCCCTAAACCCTAACCCTAAACCCTCCTGAATCCCGGTCCTGCGGGAGGATCTGACAAGTAGATCTCCTTATCCGGAAATCCCTGTCTGCTAAATTGTACTTGGAGGGTCGGGGGACTTAGTAACATTTTTTCAGGACTTATATGTACCATAACCCCAATTAGCCCAATTAGGGTCCTTTTTAGGGTACTTATAAGTCTACTTACTACCTACTTACTAAGTCCCCCGACCCTCCAAGTAAAGGGTACTGGCACTTTATAGGGTTTAGTGTTCAGGGTTTAAGGTACTGGTAATTTTTAGGGTTTAGGGTCTAGAAGTTTAGGGTTTAGGGCCTAGGGTACTGGTACTTTATAGTAGGTAAAGGTGAACCTTTGCGAGTAAGTTGGAATTCTTACATAGGGAATATAGTACCCCAAAATGGTTGAAGGTTTCCTACTCTGCTTGTAGGAACCCCCTTCTACTTTGGATCTTTCTAGGGGTCTGGGATTGAGTTTCATTCAAGAATGAGGACTTGACAATCAGGACTTTTGCAGAGCCCTTTGTGTAGTAGCGAGTGCGCGAAGTAGCACAGCAGAAACACGGATAGATAACAAACATCAAACACCAACATTCTGGTCGTCAAAATGCGCATCAAGTTTTGCCGACAAGAGATCAATAAGAATGACTCGAAATCAACAGGTATAGCGCTTACGGTTCTGTTTCGAGGTCATCGGGGTGCGATGTCTCAGGGTTTACGATCGCGCAGCCTGGAAAATGCTTGGCGATTTGAGATTGCAGTTGTTGGGTTCAAACGTCTCTCCGCCACTGACACATCTTTTCGCGCTAATCCTGATTCCCGTATCAAGCGCGGCAGGGTTTCACCGCAGTTTTGGCATGCTTATTCAGCTACTTTGGTTTTCTGGAATGGTTTTTTCGAGCAGGATTTTCCGGAATGTAGGTTTCCTTACCCGTGAAGTGGTGTGACACTAGGGCTTAAGCTGGACAAAGACCGCATAGCTGGAACACGAAGGTCCTAAAAGGAAGAAGTTCTTGCCACAAGCCCGTTGACTTGTCGCCCCGAGAAAGTAAAGACCGCAAAGAGCCCCTGGTCCGAGTCGTGGCAGGTTACCCATAGGCTCCACAGTAGTTCCTTTTTGGGATTACCTTGTAGGATTCTAACTATGAGCCCCAAACTGAAGGAACTACTGTGGAGCCTATGGTGAACCTTCAGTTTCCCTAGGTACTGGAGAAGTAATATAAGAGCCTGATTAAGAGACTATGGGCCTTTATTAGGGTTCCATGTTTGAATCCTACTATTTTGGGGTTACAGTCCCAGGGTTTCTTAATCAGGTTCCTACATTAGTAGGTTAACCTTCAGTTTCCCCAGCTACTGGACAAGGACCACTATGGGCTATTAGACCTTATGGGTACCTTAATCTACCCTTAATAGGGTCCTAATAGGGATCTTTAGGGTCTAATACCCCATAGTGGGAAGGAGGAGATGATGGTGTAGATGTTGGCGCGCGGCTTCCGTTTCCCTTGACACCTTTCCCCGGCGCAGTCAGGGTGGAGGAGATCCCAACGCCCCAGGTTCCACATCTACGAGCCTGTACACCCCCATAGTAACTTAAGAAAATTCATACCGTGTAAGATGTAAGACTTCATAGTTATAAGTTCTATGTAAGATAATATACCAAAACAAAGTGGAACCGAAGGGATCCAACGCCATATCCACGTGGATTTCACGCGCCTCTTCCGGGGGGCAGCTGTTCGACTTGGTGACAGGAACTGCAGCGGACGTGGTACCACCCAGATCGACTTTCCCAAATCCCCAAAAAAGGAATATCCTTGCAATAACACTATGGCACTATGGATGCCCGACATGACTTAAGGTGTATTCCTTAATTATAACCACCAGTACTATTTTATTTTTTGGGGGGTGCCATAACTATAGTACAGAATAATTACCACCAAGCCCGATTATAATTCACAGGCCCCTATAGTACGTGCCCCAACCTTTAAAGCTTAAAGCCTATAAGCCCTGAGCGAGCGAGCTGGCAAGGGAAAGAGAGAGCCTTTGGCGCTGGCCACGACCCTAAACCTGTCCAGAGATCCCAGTATCCCTTAATTAGGGACTATGCCTTAAATGATAGGGGCCTTATTCTTATGGCTTACCTGTATCCGAAAAGACCTTCTTTTTTAAGGAACTATATATAGAAACCATAATAAGGGATCCTAAAAAGGTAGGTCTTTCCGGCTACAGGTAAGGTATATGCCTCAATTAAGGGGTTTTGGGATCTCTGAGTGTCGACGCGACCCTAAACCACAACCATGAGCCGCAAACTCCTCCACCCTTACTTAGGGGCACTTGGAAATAGTTTTTAGTCTTTGCTTCCTTTAATCCCTGAGAAACAGCTTAAATTTTAATTTCTGCTAGTGGTCTAAGTTCAGTAGAGCTTACCCAAAGCCAAAGAATACCCTTTACAACACTAGAAGCCCCTGATGGCTTCAGGAACCCTTCTAGAAACCCTTAACCCTAGCAGAGCCTTATTCCGGTTGAACACCACCTAGAGATCCCAATACCCCTTAATTGAGGAATATACCTTAAACCATAATGTGAAATGTGAAGGCCTCTATAATTTAAGGTATCTTCCTTAATTAAGGGATATTGGGCTCTCTGGGTATGCAGAACCGCAGCGCCTGTCGCATTTGCAGGAGTTAGCTGACGCTTCTGCAGCGTCCGCCGCGCAGGTACAAGACCGAATGCAGCTGAGTAATACCTTAGGGTTCTAAGGGTTCCCTTAAAGGGATCTATAAGGGGTCCGTTGAAGGGATCTATAGGGTTTAGGGATCTATGGACTCATGTATTAGGGCTTTTGGGCCCAAAGACCATACTACATAAGGCCTTCCTTCACCCTGAAGAACCTACCTTTTCAAGAACTTATATAAGGAAATCATCACAGAGAGCCCTAAAAAGGTAGGTTATTCAGGGCTAAGGCTTTTGGGGCTATTTTGATTTTCAGGGATATAGGGGGGCGGAAATGTGCACCATTGTTCAGGTCTCAGGTCCCTTCTAAGCCCCTTAAAGCCAACAAGGGCGCCCTTTTTAGACCTAGGTTACTCTTGGGTCTAGAATATGGGGTGCCGAAATATTTGCCAATCGTATTCCTTAGGGCTCCCTATTACTTAGATCTCCAATACCCAACCTTGCAGGGGAAGCAAGGTTATCATTAGCATACAATATAAACCCTATTCCAATCATTAAGGTCCCTGCAATAGATCGTCGAGTCAAGTTGATAGAACTCTCAACAGGTACCTACCACTATGGGCTATTAGACCCTAAAGATCCCTATTAGGACCCTATTAAGGGTAGATTCAGGTACCCATAAGGTCTAATAGCCCATAGTGGTATTCAATTTTTGATGAGGAAGGCCGCTACGGTTGATGATATAAATCCTGCATGACCCATAATAAGGAATATACCATAATTCCCATATATTCCTTATTATGGGTAATGCAGGTTTTATATCATCAACCGTATGTCACTTCGATTGGGAGGTATTTGAGACTTCGGGCTCAGGGTCCCCAAAGCTCTTCTGGTTAGGAGGTTTTATCGGATCCGAAAAAAGAGGGTTCTTTTGGGGCTTCGGGGTTTAGGAGTTTGGGGTTTAGGGTTTAGGATTTAAGTGCTTTGGGTTTTAGGGTTTAGGGTTTAGGATTCAGGTGCTTAGGTTTTTAGGGTTGAGGCTGGTCGGCCTTTCGCCATCGACGGCGAAGAGCATAAGCATCGCCCACCCAGGGTAGGGCTCTTTGGTTTAGGGTTCGGGGTGGGGCTCGCCCTAAGGCTCCTGGACCCTCGTAGTGAGATCCCAAACCTTAGCCCCCAAAGCCCAAACCCTCCCCAAGAAAGCCCATGACCCCTTTCGGAGCCTTAGGGCGGGGTCGAGGGGGTTTCTGTTTTATAGGGTTTCGGAGTTAAGGTTTTAGAAAGCGTTTGCAGTGCCACCTCCCCTCTCAATGGCTCTTGCGTCTTGCCAGACCTTGTTGCATTGAAGGGCCTTCGAGTCGTTATGATGTTGGTAGGCTTCATTGTGGTTCCCTTTGCTTAGTTCTCCAATACCAAACCTTTAAATTTTTTGGGTCTATATATAGATTTTTTTCTCGCAGCAATCTGAAACTTTTACCTTCTATTTCCCCGACTTATTGGGGAAATAACTTTGTGTCGTGTATATATTCAGGACACTATAAAGTAATCCCAAAAAAGGAATTACAGTGGAGCCTACCTAAACCCTACAATGAAACCCCTATAAACCCTAAACTGGCGGGTGGCAGGACTGTCTGTTCTGGGTAGGGATGGGTGATGGGGACTATGAGTTGGGATTATACAGGGGCTCCATTCCGCCATTCCCTACTACAGTAAACCCCATAAAGTTGGAAACCGGATTCAGGCCAAGTAGTGCTGGGATTCGCTTTACATTACATACTCTTAAGGATTGAGGCTATTGGGTTCCCAACTGTCAACCCTAAACCCTAAACCTAAATCCCTAAAACCTTAAACCCTAATCCTAAGCTCAAATCCCAAAAAGATAAACCCTAAAACCTTCTCGAAAGGTCTGTAAGCACCAGACACAAGGTTGCTTATTGTAACTATAGTATACTATACCCCAAAAACCCTATTCTAATTATTAAGGCCCCTATAATTTAAGGTATATTCCTTAAGTAAGGGATCTTGGGGTCTCTGGGTAGTAAGTAGGTTAAGAAGCCTGGCCCGCCCCATTTTTGCAGCACCAAGCTGAGCTTCGGAGCCCCTGGTGCGAGGCTTCTGGCTTTCTTGGAGCATCAGGGGACTTAGTAAGGTTCCTTAAAGGGATCTATAGGGTTTAGGGTTTAGGGTCTACTTGGGAGGATCCGGGGACTTGGTAAGTAAGGTTATAAGAGCCCTAATTGGGGTATAAGTAGTTATAAGTATAGTTACCTGATTTATAACCCTAGTTACTAAGCCCCATGAGCCTTCAAGTTGACTCCGATGATATCCCACACCGAGATTATAATTTGAATTAGAATAGGGTTTGAAAAGGTTCCTTTCAAAGGGGTCTCTACGGGAGGTATAGTAGAGTAGTATAATATCCCCTACCGAAGTTCCGAAACTCTTTGGAACCTGTTTTCATGTAGGGGCCGTTCAAAGGTAACCCGTGAAGTGCAACGAGTGCTGAGCTTTTGGCAGCCCCTGAGTACTTACCTCCGGCTCGTGCCGTATGGAAGAGCCCGTATAGAACCCTTTAAGGAACCCTAAGCCCCTATAGATCCCTCAGTAAGCCAACAACTGTCTGGTTCTTGGTAGGGGATAGGGGAATGTTGTAACTACCATTGGGGATGATATAGGGACTATCACACGGATCCATTCCCCGATTCCGTACCAAAAACCAGACTGTAGACCCGAAGCCCTAAACCCTATAGATCCCTTATAGGATCCCATTCAAGGAAACCCCAAGGCTATTCCCCCATTCCCTACTAAGAGCCAGACAGACTTAAGGAATAAAGCATAAATCATAATATGAAGCCCCTTACACTTGAAGGTATATTCCTGAATGAAGCCCCCGATACTTTAGGGTATATTCCTTAATGAAGCCCCTGATACTTTAGGGCATATTCCGTAATGAAGGAGCATCTAAGCCCTAAACCCTAAACCCTAAACCCTAAAGATCCCTTTAAGGATCCCTGTAAAACCCTAACGATCCCTTTAAGGATCCCTTTAAAAGCCTTAGAGTTCCCTCTAAGGATCCCGTTAAAGAACCCTAGAGATCCCTTTAAGGATCCCTTTAAAGAACCCTAGAGATGCCTTTAAGGATCCCTTTAAGGATCCATTTAAGGACCCCTTTAAACACCCTAAAGATCCCTTTGAGGATCCATTTAAGGATCGCTTCAAATATCCCTTTTGGGAAGCTCCCTGGGAACAGCCCCCAAGCGCAGGCGGAGCTGCTGTCGGCCCTGGCGGAGCGAGTCGCCATCCTCGAGGCTCCAACTGGTTATTTTAGGGACTTATAAGTTCCATAACTCCAATTAGGGTCCCTTTTAGGGTACTTATAAGTCTACTTCCTACCTACTTACTAAGTCCCCTGTCCCTCCAAGTAGGGTCGTTTAAAGGGATCCTTAAATGGATCTATGATCTCTAGGGGATCCTCAAAGGGCGAAAGGGGATCCATAGGGGATCCTGAAAGGGATCCTTAAAGGGATCTATAGTGGATTTATAGGGGATCCTTAAAGGGATCTATCAGGGTTCTATAGGGGATCTAATATAAGGGATCAAAAGGGGATCCATGATAAGGGATCTATAATTCGGGATCGAGAGGGTTTAGGGTTCTTGTTAAGGAATGAAAGGAATGAGGGTATATTGGTTTTTTAAAGGGGTGCTTGAAGGGAACTATAAGGGTTCTATAAGGGATTTGTGGGGCGACCTCTCCGCATCTGGCATGTGTCGATCGATTCTCCATGGGCCTTGCTGCCTAGCAGGGTTTAGGGTTTAGGAGGTTGACCTTGCGGAAGCTTGTAGCGCTTTTTTGCCAGGCGAAATCTTGACCACTAATGAAAAAGCTCCCTTTCTGTTAGGGCCTTGATTGATAGTAGAAGCCTTCTTATAGTACCGTTTTCAGGAGGGGGGGCCTATTCGCCTGAGGTCTACATGATGGGCTTTGTGTGGGATCCGATACTGACGATCCAGGGGATCGCATAATGGTGGTGCTATCGGCTAGAAGCGTTACTCTCAGGTCTGGCGGTTTAGGGTCCAGGGGTTAGCGTCAATCTAGAAGCTTGAGTCAGCTTGAGTAATGGCCAATCTCGGAGTTCCGGGGAATATCTCTATACTATGATAGGTCCCAAAACCCTTTTGTAACGAATAAGGCCCCCACAGCACCTTCATGTGTTACCATTGAGTACTTACTAAGTCCCCTGCTACAAGGGCTTCAAGGCGTAAGGGCTCAATGTGTGAATCTCTGTGCAGAAACCTTGTAGTAACTCTAAACCCCCAACCCCAAACCCTGAAACCCAAAAGCTTAAAGCCCAAATTCATCCCTGAAGCCCTAAACCCCAAAACCCTAAAAACCCCAAAGCCCAAAGCCCCTATAGATCCCTTATAGAGCCCTCAAAGCAACCCCAAAGCCCTAAGCCCCTATAGATCCCTTATAGAGCCCTCAAAGCAACCCCAAAGTCCTAAACCATGAAGCCCCAGACCCCCATCACGATAAGGAAGCCTCATAAAGCCCTTCTAGAAGCCAGGAAGCCCCTACGGCTGATGATATAAATCCTGCATTACCCTTAATCAGGAATATACCATGGGTTCTTTTAAGGGATCTATAGGGTTCTAGGTTTTAGGGTTTAGGTTGATGATATAAATCCTGCATTACCCATAATAAGGAATATACCATAATTCCCAGTGTTCAGGGTCCTTAAGGCAATGCAGGGTTTTACCCATAGTAAGGAATATACCATAATTCCCATAGTTCAGGGTCCTTAAGGCAATGCAGGGTTTTACCCATAGTAAGGAAGTAAGGAATATACCATAATTCCCATAGTTCAGGGTCCTTGGGGCAATGCAGGACTTATATCATCAACAGTATCCAAATCCTACCTTGGAGGGGCAGGGGACTGAGTAAGTAGGTTATAAGTAGGGTGATAATTCGGGGTAACTCCATTTAGGGTACTTACATCTCTACTTATAGCCTACTTGTACTTACTAAGTCCCCTGCCCCTCCAAGTAGACCCTAAACCCTGAACCCCATAGATCCCTTTAAGGAACCCTATAGATCCCGCCCTTTAAGAGCCCTTAGTAAGTCCCCTAAAGCCCCTCCAAGTAAACCCTGTGTCCGGGAGGATTTCAGCGAGAAGCCAGCTGTAGAATTGGGCATTGAAGCGCAGGTCGCCGTAGCCAGGCTGCAAGCAGGTAGGGGTTCCCTTTGAAGGCATCCTATTAGGGGGCGTTTCGTGTTTAGGGTTTAAGGGTTTAGGGGTTCAGGGTTTGGGGTTTTTGATGGCCTTAGGGTCCCTGTATAGGGATCCTTAAACTTACCTTTGGTTAGTAGGGAATTAGGGGTACCTTATTCTTGGGGCCTTATAATAAGGATCCTACTACTGAGGGTATCATATTGGGTTCCCGTATTTTCAGAAACCTTCATATTAGTGCGCAATCCTTACCTTTGGTTACTAGGGAATGGAAGAATGGTAGTAAGAGTAGTTATAATTGTACCCCATCCCGCCATTCCCTACTAATCAAAGCTAAGGGTAACCAGAGAGCCTAATATAGGGGCCTGAGTTATGACCAATACTATTTTGGGAGTTCTTTGTTATAAACATAGTATCAAGGGCCCCAAAACCTTATTGTACTCATCAAGGCCCCTAGATTACGGGTCTTAGGAGTCTGTGCAGAATGGATTTAAGTCCAATCCGACATTAGTCTTGATGGCTCTTTCAAATATTTTTTAATATGTATCATCTAGATTTTCAGCTGAGGGGAGATAGCCTTGGTCAAGGGTTTGGGCCCGGGGCAACCCTCCACCCTAAATCCTTAAGCCCCAAACCCTCCCTCAGCCCAAATCCTGCATCCTGAACCCTTGACCCCAAGTAAATCGCCAAAAAATAGCCTCGAAGCACCTTGGAAGGTCCAAAAGCTGAAGGACCCTCTCTAAAGAAAACTAGGTAGGCCTTTGGGACATTTTATATGTTCCCTCTTTGGGCTTAGGAGGATACTATTTACGAACATTTTTCAGAGGCTTTGGAGGGCCAACCTGGTAAAGCTTTTCTAACATCGAGACCCCGAAGTTCAAAGGCACTTCTCTCGTGCTTTGTAGCGTGGTGTTCCTCTGTCTCTTGGGTCTTTTACCATTGTTTAGGGCTCCCTTTTTCTAGGACCTAGAGTGGGCCCTTATTCCCTTGTTTTGGGGTTCAGGTCCCTTCTAAGCCCCTTAACACCAAAAACAGCACCCTTTTTATTACTAGGTTAGTCTTGGGTCTAGAATATGGGGTGCCGAAATGTTTCTTAATGGTATTCCTTAGGGCTCCCTATTACTTAGATCTCCAACACCAAACCTGTAACCTTCTTGGGTTTATATATTTTGGTAGGAAAGGTTAACCTCTTACTTCCCTGGCGTATTGCAGTTCCTTTGCTTAGTTCTCCAATACCTAACCTTTAGACTTCTTGGGTTTATATATATATAGATATATATATATATATATATTGGTAGTAATCTGAAAGCTTTACCTCTTACTTCCCTGGCTCATGGGGGAGCAAGTTACGGAATCCGTAAAGGAGCCCTGTGAGCCCCTGACCTAGAAGCCCTGAATATGTACTAGGTTTATTCCCTTTCGGGGTTTAGTTTAGGGTTTAGGGTTAGGGTTTAGGGTTTAGGGTTTAGGGTTTTTAGGGGTTTTGGGTTTAGGAGTTTGGGGCCCATAACTGCAGTATGAACTCCCAAAGCCTTATCCTAGTTATGAAGGCCTCGATATCGGATCTCAACCTGGCAGTGAGCATTTGAAGTGGGTTTTCTAGGGTGGAAGACGGATCTTGAATGGTTTATAAGGGAGTTTGCCCAAACCCCACATGGAGATTACCGCAATTCTGTACTTTAGGAGGGTTATCTGGCAAGGATCTGTCTCTTCAGGGCTTCTATAGGAGTACCACATTTTGTAAAATGCCCAAGGTTGCCAAACTGTCAGCCCCTTCCCCTGAGTTACGGAGCCCAGCAGAGCCCCAATACCCGAATTTTTCAACATGCAACAATACGAAGAAGCACAGACTTTATGCCCGAAGTGGACAATAAGCCCGATAGGCCGTGCAGCCCTAAGACCAGAATCCTAAACCCTAAACCCTAAACCCCTAAACCCCTAAAACCCTAAACCCTTGCACCCCTTGAGCCCTAAAGCTCAAAGCCCGATAGGTCGCGCGGCCCTAAACCCTAAGCCCCCAAACCCCAAAACTTTAAAACCCCTAAACCCTGAGGCCCTAGAAGCCTGAAACCACCCTAGACTAAAGCCCGGAGCCTTAAGCCCTAAACCCCAAAGCCCTCAAAGCCTCAAGCCCTAAAGCCCTATAAGCCCCTGAAGCCTTTCAAGCCCCAAAAGCCCTCAGGAGCTTACCTTCGAAGCTTTCAAAGGCCCCGAGGATCCTGCAACCCCAAGCCCTAAACCCTATGAAGCCCTAAAGATACTTGGAGGGTTCTCAAAGGGCTCCTTAAAGGGATCCATAGGGTTCCTTAAGGGGATATATGGGGTTTAGGGTTTAGGGTCTACTTGGAGGGGCAGGGGGCTTAGTAAGTAGATTACAAGTCGAGTTATAATTGGGGTAACTCCATTTAGGGTACTTATAACCCAATAAGGCCCTAAACTGTCTGGTGCTTAGTATGGAATGGGGAAATGGATTATGGAGACGATTATTGGAGATTATATAGTACTACAGCGATCCATTCCCCCATTCCTCACTAAGCACCAGACACTAAGAAAAGCAGTAAGCTCCAAGAGCCCTCAAAGCCCCATTCGCCCTAAGACCTTGCCTTTGAAGCCACCAAGGATCTGAGTGATAAGTGCCCTAAATGGGATCCTCATTATCATTGGGGATATATGGTACTTATAAAACCTCTTTAGAATAATTCCTTACCAAATCCTCGGACCCTAAATTATAGACATAGATCCCTTTAAGGAGCCCTACTTTACTAAGTCTTCCGACCCTCCGCGCAAGGATCTGAGGAAGAGCTTGGAAGCCTTGGACGACCAGACGCACCAGCTCACGGCGCCTGGGCTTCGAGGGCTTCGGTGGGTTTCGTCTGGTATAGGGGTCCTTTTGATTAGTCTGGGGTTTGGGGGGGCACTATGCTGTAACTATAACGAAAATGAGGAAAACCCAAAATAGTATAGGTAATTCTTGAGGCCCCCCTGTATTATATAGGGTTATTTGGTGTTCGGGGTTTGGGGGATAGTAAGGTTCGCCAGCGCAGCTTGGCACCCAGACAAGCTCATCACATCGCCGAAACAGTGCTTGGAATTTAAAAAAGGTCGACCCTGACCATCTACGAAGTTCCGAAGAAAGCCAGACTTTCACAGTTATGAGTTGGCGTCAAAACTGGAGTAAGACTCGTTGCCATTTTTTCAAAAGTCATTCAAAAAGCTACCCCAGACCTCCGCACCGTAAACAGACGGTAACAAATTCTGAAAATATCAACCTCGTAAAGTCGTAAACCCCCGATCGAACTCTAAACAGTGTTCTATAAATCCATAGAAGCAACACATCTAAAGAAGCATGCAACGTCCTATATAACCTCATAGCACATCTGTATAAACCTTGTGAGACCCCATAAACCCCGTGTTTGATTTTGGCTGCCGCAAAGGTCAGCTACAGCCAGCTGAGAGAAATGATTGGGGACAATCCAGAGGCCGGTAGCGTCTTCAGAACCAAACAAAAGGTCTGGGATTAGGGCGTAGGGCCTAAAGTTCGGTTTAGGGTGTCGGGTTTTCAGAATCAAAAAGCGGTCTCGGATTAGTGTGTAGGGCCTAAGGTTCGGCAATCCCTCGAGTAAAGGATCCTAAGAGGCTTCAGCAGGGTGATAAAGACCTGTATAAGGTTTAGGTTTTTAGGGTTGAGGGTTTTAGTGTTTAGGGTTTTAGGGTTTAGGGTTATAGGGCTACAGGGTTCCAAAGATACCTTGAGAGTCTTCGTTTCTGCAGCTCCTACTTGCCCCGTTGTCTCCGACATAGGGATTGTGGCAACACACTTCCGGGGCGCCTTAGAGTGCATCTGGGGTGTTATGTGGGTTCGTGCTTCACATGGGAATTTCCAGGAACTGGCAGCTTTTTGCATTGTGTTTGTTTGAAGTCCGCTGTATAGCTTTTGCCCAAAACCGTCGGGTGGTTGTCGAAGTCTTTGGGCGCAGGGGAGTGCTGGGGAGTGGGCTTCAGTTTTGCAGTGTTCGGAAGCATCTAGCGATTTCGCTGGGGAGCCCTTGGGCACCTGCCCAAGCCAAAACGCAGAACCCCAAACCCCTTGAGTATCGAGTTCGTGCGCAGGGGTGATTGAAGACTTCAGGGTTGTATGAGTGAACTAACGACGTGAGGTTTCCGCAACAAGAGACGTCCAAGCGAGAAGCACAACCATGGAACCCATGATCTCACTCGCCGGTCCTTTGAGCCTGAGCCCGAAATCCTGAAGCCAGCTGGTCAGCATCGAACACACTGCATTCCATATCAGAGCATCATGTGTCAGGGATTGGGATTTAGGGGTTATGAGTCCACGACGGGGCCTTGAGGGTTAACGGGCTATAACAACTAATGAATAAACAGAACGCCTGTCGGTGTATAATCGGAGCCCAAAGGAAGGGTATGGGTAATCATTACTCTTTTATGTTCCGCAAATTGGATGTCGATAGTGAAGCTGTCAAGGCGTGTCGGAGCTTCAGGCGTCTTGAACTCCAGACCCCATGTTTCGGCACTTCTAAGTTATGTTCCTAGCAAGCCCAAGATCAATTAATTGAGACATATATAAACCTTGAATCATAATGAAGCGCTTTATTCATCGGCGGTTGGGTTCTTGAGATACTGCAAGCTTCGAAACTATGGTTTGTGCCTTTAAACCTGCAAGATGCCACGCAACCCTGAAGCCTCAAAACCAGGCCCTCAGGGGTTTGGGGTTTCCTTTCTTTTAAAGTGTACTAAAGGGTTCTTGGGAAGTCCCTTGAGAGCTACAAAGTTCCCTTTAAATGGTACTATAGCCGTCTGGATACTTAGAAGAGGGCTGTGGGCTGAATATCGTCAGGGCATATACCTGCGAGTTATTCCGACATCTGGGAGTTTCCGAAAACAGGGGACCCTAATATAGCACCCTAAATAGTAGGACCCCAAAATTGGGTACCCCTACTTTTCGGAAACTCCCACATCTGAGTTGTGAACCCTGAAGCTCAGACCACAGAAACCCGACAATCCCGACACGCCAAGCCGCACTCCATACTTGGAGGGGCGGGGGACGTAGCAAGGAGGTTATAAGTAGGGTTATAATTGTGGTAACATTCAGGGTACTTATATCTATACATATAACCTACTTACTAAGTCCCTTAAAGCCCCTCCAAGTACCGGAGGATTCGACCGCCAGCATGTCCAAAGAACTCCAGAGCCTTCGCGCTGCGCCCCTCGGGCACATTCGAAGGAGTTACTTGGAGGATCATGGGACTTAGTAAGGGTTCTTAAAGGGGCTCCTTAAAAGGATCTATAGGGTTCCTTAAAAAAGGGATCTATAGGGTTTAGGGTTTAGGGGTTACTTGGAGGATCAGGGGACTTAGTAAGTAGGGTTATAAGTACCTTAATTGGGGGTTATAAGTAGTTATAAGTATAGTTGCCGTATGTATAACCCTAGTTACCAAGTCCCATGATCCTTTAAGTAGGTTTCTGGAGGCTTCTGGGAGGGGGTCGTAGATAGTAACGGCATACTCGTACCCTGAACCCTAGTAGTAATTAGCGAAACCCTAAACCCTCTAGAAGTTCTGACTTCCGGATGTTGAGAACTTCCCGTCACACCGTTCTCTTCCTGAAAACGCCTGGTATTTCGATACTGACATAAGCGAAACGTCTTTGCGTCGAACGAAAGGGTCCGAGAGATAACGGGTCAACGTCTGAGCCGAAAGAAGCAAGAACTAGCCGCGTGCTGGCGGTATGCAAGCAATCTCGATTTTGAGAACTACTCCCTATTCCTTTGTCTCTAAGTCCCAATCCCGAAACAGCCGTTGCCGGCTTTGTGCCAGGTGTTTTTTTTGGATGCTCTCAATCATCTTGAGGATTCGACCTACCAGTTGGGAGGTATGTTAAGCTTTTTCTGGTCAGTAGTCACATACCTATCTGGCCCCAGAGATCCCGAAACCCCATAAATAAGGAATATACCTTAAACCATAATATGAAGGCCCCCATAATTCAAGGTATATTCCTTAATTAAGGGATACTTGTATTGGGATCTCTGGAACGTTGCCTCTGCAGTCCGAATCAGCCTGAGACTGAATCACACGCAAGCGTCGACCACCGCGCAGTCTTCGTGGACTTGCTCGCGGACTCGACCTACGGTTGATGATATAGATCCTGCATTACCTTAAGGACCCTCAGCTATGGGAATATGGTATAGTCTTGATTATGGGTAAGGCAGGATTTATATCATCAACCGTAGCACAAAGCACTCAAAAAGGAAGGCCCGATACCATGTCCTTGCAAACAGGTCTGGGGAGATTAGTACACCCAAATCACAGAGGTTGTGTGCAATATAGCAAACTGAATCCTACCAATAGTACTCCTTAGACTTCCGAACTAAAACTATGTTATAATGCCGATTCCAGTTGTTAAGGCCCATGTATTGAACCTTTGGATTCTCAACTGTCCTTCATCGGACCGAGCAAAGGAGAAGTGATGAGTAGCTTTCTAGGCTTGTAAAGGTTGTTATAAGGTCTTGGGTGTTGTTATGAGAGTTACATCTACAGGTTTAGACACTGTGCAAGAATATCCCTTTGTAGTCGCGTTATGATGGTATGACAGTAGACCCAAAATGCTCCTCTTATCATCCTCCATTAAATCCAGCAACAGCACTACAAGCCCTTGTACTACTTCTGACGGCCCCTCAAACCTACAGCTACTTAGTTCTCCAATACCCAACCTTGAAACTTTTTGGGTTTATAGGTTTGAGTAGTAATCTGAAAGTTTAAGCTTTTATTTCCCTGGCTTAGGGAAGTGAGACTGTAACTAACAGCCCAGAAAAAAACAATCTTCAGAAGCCCTGTAGACACTGGTCGAGTTACCCAGGCCCTCGTATTATAGGAATAGTAATAATAATAATAATAACAATAATAACAATAATAATAATAATAATAGTAACAATAGAAACATCGCAGGATTAAACCCCCAAAAAGGGGAAATCGCAAAACCCTGGTAAGCTCCTTTAAAGGCCCTCGTACTCGGAGTAATTAAAGCCCCTAATCCCCAGGGTTTAGGGTTTAGGGTTTAGGGAGGGTTTAGGGTTTAGGGTTTAGGGCAGACACCCAAACCGTACATGAAGGATTGATGTGCTGTCGGCCGAAAGCGAGATAGAGTCGACTTTCAAAGACACGGTGGAAAGAATTGAAACTCGTCAACTAAGGCTTCCCTGAAGCGGTTCTACGCGGCTTCTTTTGAGGGCTCCTTTAAGGCTTCCTTTAAGGGCTTCCATCAGGGCTCCTGTTAAGAGATTCTACATGTTCAGGGGTGTTGGTGGTTTGAGAAGGGTTTCTTTGAGGAGTTTTGCAGTTGTAGGGTGTTGGGGTTGCGGCGTTTCAAGCGTCCAAGCAAGCAGGGGTATTTTGGGTGCCCACAAAACGCGTGTTGGGTTTGGCAAGGGTTTGAAAAGCGCTTTACGAGGTCGTGTTCAAGTTCCTACAAGTAGAGTAGATAACCTTTTCCCATTTTGGCGTACTATATTCCCTATGTAGTCATCCCAATAGACTCCCAAAGGTTCACCTTTAGCTGCCCAGGATACTTGGCAAGTAGGTGTAGTATACTTCTAATCCCTAAACCGTAAACCTAGCACACTTCTATTCCCTAAGCCCCTAACCCCTAAACCCTGAACCCTGTGGTTTTGACTGTTTTTTTCTTGTGTTGAGGGTGTCCGTCTTCAACGTCTGTACGGAGAGCTTCAAGAAGTAAGGATGGCGATGTGGCCCCCTAGAAGAAACCCCATAGAAGCCGCTATAGCATCCCATGAAACCGCAAAATGAAGCTAAACAGTAAGGACTATAACATCCAGACAAGTACAAAGAATAACAACAGTAGTAATAGCAATACTAGTCATAACAATAACGCAAAACATGATACTGAACACAATATGTTTGCTGTTATTGTTATGACTAGTATTGCTATTACTACTGTTGTACGACAAAAATACCCACAACTTTAAGACTAAGGTAATAGCAATGCCATTCATAACAACAACAGCAACAGTGCTGCTAAACGCCATGGCAACAATACTCATAGCTGTAAGACTAAGGATGGCGATGTGGCTCGTCTCTTTGCTCGATTGGAAGATGCTGAGTCTTCGCTCGTCCAAGGTGCCCCATCACGGCTCCTTATGTGTTCCGCGGGGGGGGGGGGGGGCTTAGCAATCAGGGAATTTGGTGTAAGTTACGACAATACTAATATTACAAAGTTAGTTACAGTAATCAGGGTTCTTCTTAAGGAGTTTAGTTTCAGTTGCCATCATGAGGACACGATATAATCTTGTTTGCTGTAGATCCATAGTCCGAAGCTCTTTAAACACAAACCCGCAATTAGAAAACCGGTTTTGGGTATACCATATGCTGGTATAATTTGCCCAAAGCGGAGGTACCCCTTCCTTACTTAGGCCTTCAGATCCATATTGGGGTACCATCGTTGTAAGGGTTTGGTGGGGGCGGGACGGGGTAGATTTTGGGGTGTAGGTTGTAGGGTCTAGATTGCCGAAAGAGCCCACAGCCCACAGCACACCGAGTTCTATCCTGAATCATAATGACAAGTCTTGCGTTTGTCAAGCTGTAGTCCTTAAGTGAGTGCTTGCTGGGTTCAAGGTTGTTCCCATGCTGCAACGGGGTTTTCAAAAATGAGTTTCAGAAGCCAAGCGACCCCTAACCCACTCAGTTAAAGGCTCTGGGTTTTCATAGAACTTCGCAAAGGTTCTGTGATGGCTTTATGCAGGATTGGCCAGATCTTTCTAAAGGTTTTTGGGGTGTAGGCTTGAGCATAATATGAAGGTTGTTCGACACCGGGGCTTGGTTCGTAACTCAAAGGCAACCCGAATGTATTACACTGATCGAAGAGAATTCGTGGTCTTGGGGCTTGAGGGGTTTGGGGCTAGGGGTTCTGAAATTCTTGACCTTACAGTGTTTCGGCTGCCGGCACTCACAACAACTCGGACCCGTCCACAAGCACAGGCAAGTTCAGATTGCACTGGAAATCCTGAGTATCTGGCTTTGAGTAATCACTATAGGTGATACTACCCCCTTCTACCCCAAGGCTCTTGTAATTGTATAGTATAGTTATGATAAGGAACTATAGGTACTTATTTAGGCTCTACAATGCACGCCTTAGAACACCGCCTAGCGAGGCCCTGGAAAGGAAGGAGCATCCTGAGTACCCACTTCCAAACAACTAAACGCTGTTTCCAATCTCATACTTGGTTAATATACGGGCCTTAATAATTAGAAAAGCGTTTGGGGGTATAAGATGCTATAATTATAGTTAGGAGCCTCCACCGTAGTATTTAATTATTCAAGCCTCGATAGTAATGGGGTTCCTGAACCCCAGAAAGGACAGGAGGGCTTAGGGTTCTTCAAAGGATCTATATGGGTGGTTGTCAAAATTATGGTCCCTTTTTGGGTCCCTAATATAGTACGGCGCCTAATATTCAGGGTAAGGGACCCTAATTTTGACAACTATCCATATATACAGTGCCGTTGCACCGTAGCTGGATTCAATACTATCTTTGTTCCAAAACAAGCAAAGAAGCAAGCAAACAAACGTACAGACGTACATGTACAGGCACCTACATACCTGCATACATAGCTACGAACCTACGTGCCTACATACATTCCTACGCTCGTACATAAATACATAACTACATACGTTCTTGCACATCACGTATAGTTGCTTCTAGGGTTCTAACTTCTAACAATAAAGCTAGTTAGTAGTAGTAACAGTATTTACTAAAAATCCCTATTATTGGGCCTTGTAATCTTTAAAACCTAACCCACCAAAAAAACTCCAAACCCTCAACCCAAAAGCTTTACACCCCAAAACCTAAACCCTAGAGCCTAAACCCTAGAACCCAAACCCTCCCCACAAAAAATAAACCCTAAAGGTGACACCGACGACCTGGTGGCCCGGACCGTCAGCGACGTCGCCACCTTGCAAGAGGCCTCGGCGCCCATTGAGGGGCTTACTACAGGGCCTTAATAATTACAATAGGGTTCCTTTAAGGGATCTTGAAAGGGTTCTATAGTTTATAGGGGCCTTAACAATTTCAGTAGGGTTTTGGGTTTAGGGTTTCGGGTCTAGGGTCTGGTCCTTTAAAGGTTCAAAGGGATCCAACAAAGGGGTCTATATGGGATCTATGAGGCTTCTATGGTATAGGAAGTTCCTTATTACAAGTATTGCAAAGTGTACCCCAAAACCCAAGTCTAATTACTGAGGCCCCTACAGTATAGAGTTCGATCCCCCTGAACCCTATAAACCCTGAAGCAGGGCTTAAATCTTATAAGCCCTAAAAGTTATGAATCCGAAAACAGGCCCTTAAAGTTCATTTTAATTAAGGGTTTATGAGTCTCTGTGTAGGGAACCGACTTGTATAACTTCCATGAACCTCCAAGTATTCAACTCAGAGGCCATGGCGTCTCTGTCCCTCCGCACCACCGATATTGAGGGCACCCTCGAGAAGCTCGAAACAAGGCCACGCTACTGACAGGGGCTTAGTTTAGGAGGTTTGGGGTTTGGGAGTTAGGGTTTTTTGGGGGGTTTGGGTTTAGGGTTTCGGGGTGTAGGGGTTTAGGGTTTTTTGGGGGGTTAGAGTTTAGGGTTTCGGGGATTAGGGTTTAGGGTGTAGGGGTTTAGGCTTCCGCACGGATCGTCAGTTTGTATTGCCGGATTATGGCAAAGGAGCCGCTTGCTTCCCGGAAATAACCGTCATCCAAACCCTACTTAGAGGATCGGGACTTAGAAAGTAGGTTATAATTGGGGTTATAAGTCGCCTAAGTGGGGTTATCCTACTTATAACCTACTGTAACCTTACTTACTAAGTCCCATGAGCCTTCAAGTACTGTCCATTGAGCCCTAAGCTCCAGGGGTTCAGGGTCTAGGGAAGGATGATGTTAAGGACCTTACTTTACTGCCAAACCCAGTTAGAATCCTATACGCCCCACAAAGGAAAACCTAGCATCAAACCCTAGTTGCCTTGAAGCCCGAAAGCACCCCTATTCTCAAAGCTACCCTAAAGGCCAAGTAAAATCCCATATGGGAGTTTCCGAAAATAGGGGACACTAATATGGTACCCTAAATAGTAGGATCATTATTATAAGGCCCCCAAAATAAGGTACCCCTATTTTCGGAAACTCCCATATGCGGCGCGCGAGAGGATGAAGCGTGTATGGAATAAAGAAGGCAAAGCAAGACCCCATCAGCCCAATACCCTAGAAATTCATAAGGCAAGCTTACTACAAGCCCAATGAAGCCCTCAAGGGGAAACCTACTACGAGCCCCAGGATGGGTTTAGGGTTTAGGGACTGTGAACCCCAGGGTAATCCCTGGACCCCAGTCGTACCACCTGCGGGATTCGGAGATCCTGAAAGGATTGGTTGTCCCGTGAAGGCTTGGGTTTCGGTATCTGCGGGCCACCGCGAACACATCCTCGAGCGCGTTCGGCTGGTGCCTCGCGACTCCTAATGGGCAGGACTTGAAAATTCGTACAGCGAGGCGCCGTAACGGATTTCTTTGGTCGCCTCTCCGTCCCCATGGGCTGCCATCCCAGCAAGCGTGATTGTATTGGTGCTGGACAGAGACATGAGAATGTTAAGCAATGTCCGAGTTGCATATATCCAACTGTAAGCATGGGGGGTTCCGGCGGCGGGGAGACTCCGATCAGGGCCTCGGGACGAGGCGAGGTCGTCCACAGACCGGCGCCGCCATTTCTCGTACGAACGGCGAATTTTGAGTTCAGGGTTAAGGGTTTAGCATTTAGTGCGACATCAATGCCTTGTGCAAGGCTTCTCAGGAGTTGTGCTTGCGTTATACACATTCCTTTTTGAAGGCTATTGCAAACTGCTGTCTAAGCACCAACCCCAACCATCCAAGCCCTAAACCTCAAACCCAAACCCAAGGACCGAAACATCGACAAACAAGGCTACCTCCATTGCGACTGGTGAAGGGCGGCTTAAGCGTGAGTCACGGTGCTTGCTCAGGAATCCGGTCGTCCGCCGAACCCTATTGACATTCGTGCATACCCCACTCTACTAGCCATTCTTTGGACATCTGCAACCCTTACTGGGTTCTTCGATTTCCGCATGGGTATCCTGCACACAGCAATGAGTTCAGAAGTGAATGTGGACACCTACGGTTTTTGCTCAGCAGATCTACTAACTATACATAAGAACGGACCTAAACAATTAACAACACCATGTTAAGGTTCTTTGTTATAATGAGAGTCTCATTACCCCAAAACCTTTTTTAAATGAAGGATCCTATGGTAGGCCAGGCCAACAAACAAGGATGGGAAGCCTTTCTGTGTTCATCACAGTTTGGCCCACGGGTGCCAGCATGAATCCTGGCAGACTGAAGAGGGACTGAGAGGCTGTAGTACAGGGGCCATTATAATTATGGTAAAACATCACCCAAAACGGTTTTTTTAATTATTAAGGCCCCTATATTATAGAACCTTTATAGTAGTCCGCATAGTTAAAGGACGAACATGGCAAACTATGTTAAGTTCCAGAGGGAGAAACCGGAATCACAGGCGTCGTCGGGGTATTTGCAGATTTGAACACGAAAACACACAGACTGCTGGTGGGTGTGAGACGTAATCGTAGTCCCCGGACAAACTTCTTGGATGCACCTTTCTGTATTCTTCTGCAAAATATTTAAACCCCGAAACCCTAAAGCCCACTTACACCCAAGGAGGATTCTTAGATCCCTTCTTGATGTCAACAATATTCTTGCTACGACTCTAAAGGGGCTTACCGGCGAAACCGAATACACACCTAGACAAGCCATGGACGGGTGCTTCGCAAATTCAAACAAGGCTTAGGGTTTAGGGCTGAAGCATGTTTGCCGAGTTCATCGCAGGTGACCCAATTTCTACCCTTCAATAGAACCCTAAATACTTGCCAGGTTACGGCAAAACCCTACTCTTATCGTTAAGGCCCTGGTATTACTAGCACATGCTTACTAAGCCCCGCTCAACCCCATACCCTGGGCCCTAAAACCCTAGAACTTATTTCCCTAAACCCGAAGCCCTAACCCCTAAAACACTGAACTCTAAACCCTCAAAACTTCGTTCCCAACACCTGATCTCCTGAAGCCCAAAGCACCTGGCGCTGAATATAAGGGCCTCAATAAGGACTTATATTATTTTGCTGATAGTGTACTATACCTGAAACCTTATTTACAATTATTGAGGACCCTCTATTATTTATGCAAAGCCTTTTCAAACCCTAGAAAACTTAACCCTTAGAAACCCCGATAATACCCTAAGACCCGAAACCCTAGTACCCAAACCCTAAAGCCCGAAACCCGAAAAACCTAAAGCCTTAAAACCCGGAAACCCTTCGAAACCCTATTAGACCAACGAACCCGAAGACTGCTACACCTACCGTTGATGATGCAAGACCTGCATTACCCACAATATGCAGTACACCATAATTCCCGGAGTCTAGGGTCATTAAGAAGATGCAGGATGTATATAATCAACCCGAGTTCGGTCACAGGGTGTGGGGGTAAATAATTGCACATGGGTAGTTGTCAGAATTATGGTCCCTTATTGGTTACCCTGAATATTAGGTGCCGTACTATATTAGGGGACCCAAAAAGGTACCATAATTTTGACAACCACCCACATAAATAATTACAATTTGGAACCCCCAAAACCTTATTCTAATTATTAAGGCCCCTGTATTCCAGAAATAGATCCCCGATAATATCCCTACTTGGAGGGTCGGGGGACTTAGTAACTGGTTATTTTAAGGACTTATAAGTACCATAACCCCAATTAGGGTCCCTTTTAGGGTACTTATAAGTCTACTTCCTACCTACTTAGTAAGTCCCCCGACCCTCCAAGTAATAGACCCCTTCAAAAGGAACCTCCAAAACCCTATTCCAACCATTAACAACCACTAACAACCACAGGAACTCCGAACTCGCATGCTTCACACACGGAGGAGCCTGGCAAATGAGACGGAAAGGCTTGCAAGCCCTTTTGGCAGCAATGCTCAGGGTTTAGGGTTTAGGATTTAGCACGCAGGAGGTTTTCATCAGGCTACTAATACTAACAAGAATAACTGGTCAAAAGCTTCTAGAGTTGTTGTAAAGTTGTTTGTTTGGTCAACTTTGACGCCTGTGAGGCCTGTAAGTTTTGTGTCTCTCCAAACACACGGATGACAGCAGGGATCCTAAGATTTGTTGCCCTTGAAAGCATCGATGAATGGAAAATCTACATGACGGTTTAGATGAGGTCCTAATTACATGGTTTCAGAGCATGTTGCTAGTTACCAGGTTATCATGGCGAATTTGTTCAAGGATTGTAGAGGGGTTCTGTTCGATTTCATTACGTAGATAGCATGCCTTTGGAATATTGGCGAGTGTATACTCGGGCCAGATTTTGCGAGCTATAGCAATATAAGTCAGAAATCTTGCACACAGCTCTGACTGGACAACACCTTGTTAGGCCTGGTGCATGTTGGTACAAGAGTCGAAACGGCAGAACATCAAGACCAACCACAGAAGGTGGTGCGATGCCACGACCGGCTTCCGCACCTCCAGGCCGAAGGCGAAAGCGAAGCCGAAAGCAAGAAGCTGAGGAGGATCCTTAGCAGATGCTCACTTGCAGACTGCATGAAGAGGTGCGACGAAAAGACGGAATGGCGCAGAAGTTTGCAGCAGCAGAATGTGCAGAGCTCCCGGCTGAAATGATCCTCGGCAGCGACGCATTGGGCACGCTTCGGGCCCTGCAGCAGACAAGAGCTAGTACGGATTTCGTGACAGGACTCGTGCTGCTGGGAGTCCTTTCGCATTTTGACAGCCAGCCCCACCCCAAAGGAATCAAGAGCCTAAACCCAAGCCCTAAACCCTAGACCCAAAAACCCTGAACCGTATAACCCTGATCTAATACACTTGCATATTACGCTGCCCTTATAGAGTGTTGTAAATGACAACCCAAACCCTATAACATGTTCTGGCTCAAGACTTAGAGCCGTCCAAAACCCGAAGCCTTAATCTCAGAAGCCACGATGCCCTGATTTCGACAACCCATAACTGCTAGCTGGTAGTTTCACCATGCAATGAGCAGTATGTTACTATGCCTTTCAATCTTTTGTGTTTGACATTCAGCATTAGTTTGCATATACGTGAAATTCATCTCCCAGCCGAGAAAGGACCAAAGCTCTGTTTATCCCCTCTTCTCGGCACAAAGGCCTCAATCAGAACGTCACTGCGATGCAGGACACCGGAAGGAGGGCTTTAGGGTTTAGTCTAAACTTCCTAAACTTCCTAAACCCTAAACTTCCTAAACTTCCTAAACCCTAAACTTCCTAAACTTCCTAAACCCTAAACCCTAAACTTCCTAAACCCTAAACCCTAAAGCGCCTCAACCTAAGCCCTAAAAATGCGCAACGTCGAGCGCCTGACGGACCCGACGGACGCCGCGATCACGAGGTCATCGTGCGTGAAGTTCTTCCGGTGCTTCCTCCTACTGTTGAGGGTTTAGGGTTTAGGGGTTTAGGGTTTTGGGTTTTGGGTTTTGGGTTTTGGGTTTTGGGTTTTGGGTTTAGGGTTTAGGTTTTGGGTTTTTGGTTTTGGGTTTAGGGTTTTGGGTTTAGGGTGCTTGAAGTTCAAGGAGCTGTGCAGCAGGATGACCAGTCCATCTCTCTCGCTGATGCCATGCGACATGGCTTTGCTTTCCTGGGCAACACGGATTGGGGGCGTGGGACAACTTGACCCTCAGCACCTCCTTCAGATCTCCCGGATCTGTGATGTGTCGTTTCTGGACTATGGGCCCGTGTGCTGCATCCTCGGCGGATCCCTTTAAAGGGAACTTTAGGTATTCCTGAATTAGGTGGTATATTGGGATCTCAATATCAACCCTATAGATCCCTTGAAGAAACCCCTGAGGATCCCTTTTCTGGAAGGTATTCCCTAATCAGGTGGTCTATTGGGATCTCTGAGAGCGTAAGCGCAGTGCTACTTGGAGGATCATGGGACTTAGTAAGTAGGTTATAATTGGGGATATAAGTCCCCTAAGTGGGGTTCTCCTACTTATAACCTACTTATAACTTTACTTACTACGTCCCCTGCCCCTCCAAGTAGACCCTGAACACTAAACCCCATAGATCCCTGTAAGGAGCCCTTTAAGAGCTCTTACTAAGTCCCCTAAAGCCCCTCCAAGTAGGGGGGCCAGCAAGGCTGGGGTTGGATGCCGAGGCATTCGGTTTAGGGTTTAGGGATCCTTAAGGGTTCCTTTAAGGGGATCTATAGGGTTTATAGGGTTTAGTGTTCCAGAGATCCCAATATCCCTTAATTCAGCAATATACCTTAAACCATTATATAAACGCCCCTATAATTTAAGGTCTTTTCCTTAATTAACGGTATTGGGATCTCTGAGTAGGGGCCTAAATAAATAGCAATAGATTTTTTGGTTCCGCATTATTACATAATGATGTGCCCAACAACCGTATTCTAGCGTAAAACCCCTAAGCCCTTAATTCTGGAGGGGAGGTGGAACCCCTGACTGCTGCGGCCTTCGCGCCGACGCGAAGTAGTAGAAATGTTCCTTCAAATAGCTAGAATCCGATGGCCTGCGCCCCAGTCGGATGATTGAGTCCCCTTACAGTCCTGACTTTGGTGTAACTAGATACTTTAGAGGCCGCAACAATTGCATATACAGTTTTTTTTGGCTGGCGGGGTTCCTTAATAGACGTATCGTAAATTTTATCACCAAAACCCGCGTCTAAGTATTAAGGCACCTATATTATGCAAAGTCAATGTCATGTTTCCTTCTCACGGGATTGTTGCTGTCATGGGGGACTCACCCACTCAGAAGCCTCATCTTTTTTAAGGTATATGGGAGGTTTCGAAATTAGGGGTACCTTTTTTGGGGGTCCTTGTAATAATAATCCTACTATTTAGGATACTAGATTAGGACCCCCTCTATTTTCGGAAACTCTCGTATCCTTTTGTTGAGGCATGTTGAGCCTTCTAGGCCCCACTATGCTTAACTCCCTGGGTTCAGGTCTTCTGGCCGTTTGTGTGCTACAGTCTTACGCTAGTCCACAGGCCTGAACAACCAGACTGAGGTGTTGGCGCATATTGTGGTAAACTGCAAGAGTTAAGCTTGATGAATAAAATATCAGACTGCCAGTAAAACCTTCGCTTTTTAGGTCGTCAAGAGTCGGGGCAGGGGCGTTTAGTAGCTGAGCTTCACATGGGGTCAAAAGTAGGTTATAAGAAGATCCAAAGTGCCTGCTTAGTGCCATGACGAAGACAGAAAAGCAAGCTAAATGTGGCTAGAGATCTTCTCAACCGTCAATCCCAGACCTAAAACCCTAACTCCACACAAACACGAACACCCTGAAACCGATGCTACACAGCATCTAAACACAACACATTCCTATGAATTAGACATGGTATCACCTACAGTGCCTTTTTTTAATCACCACACCCATATAGAGCCGTAGCGGAATCAATCATCGTAGCCGTAAAACAAGCACTCGTGACAATCTACTGCAGGGGCCTTACTAGTTAGACTAGGTTTTTGGGGAATACTCTACTATTATAACTTTATTGCGGAACCCAAAATACCATAGGTGACTATTACGGCCCCTAGATCATAGTATCTCTTATAGTAAGCCTTATAGAACCCTTTGAAGAGCCCTTTATTTCGGCCCCTATACTATTACGGCCAACCCTAAACCCTAAACCCTAAACCCCTTATAGTAAATACTGGAATCCCCTGGGCTTCGATCCGACGATGCCAGGAAGAGCTCTCCACGCTGCGCCCTGAACTCCTGAAGGTGCGGTCTCCGGGGTTTCCAAAAATGGGGACCCCAATATGGTACCCTAGATAGTAGGATCCTTATTAAAAGGACCCTAAATACGGTACCCCTAATTATCAGAAACTCCCATATAGGAGCCTTAATAGTTCAAGTATGGTGCTGGGCTATGTTATAGTAGAGATGTAATTAAATAAGGAACTCTAAGGACTACTATAGGTCATTGCTCAGGCTTCTATATTAACTGAAACGAAGGTGCCGTGACTGAAGGGCTTTATCGACCTTAAACATGAGCCCCCACTTCGGTTGATGATATAGATCCTGCAGCACCCACAATGAGGAAGATACCATAATTCCCATACCTTAGGGTCCTCAGGGTACTGCAGATTTAAATTACTGGGTTCTTGTTAAGGAACTTAATTTAAGTTACCATAATAGGGATCTATCGTAAATAATAGGGTTTCCTTATTATGGTAACTTAAATTAAATTCCTTAACAAGAACCCAGATTAGCAACCAGAGGTCCCTCTGTAACGCTTCTTGAACCCCTTGCCGGGCTGGCGGGGTTGCTTTCGGATGAATTCCAGACCCAGGTCAAGAAAGCGAAGACAAACTTCGGCACCTAAATGGATTCAGGATTTGGAGTTTAGATTTTGTTTTGGGTTTGGGGTCTAAGGTTTAAATTTTTGGGTTTAAGGTTTTGGGTTTAGGGTTTAAGGTTTTGGGTTTTGGGTTTAAGGTTTTGGGTTTTGGGTATGCGAAGAGACGGCTCGTGGAAAAGTCGGTCTTGGAGGACTCAGCAGCTTCCTCCAGCTGCTATCATCCTTGCAACCCAGACATATGGGAGGATCCAAAAAGTAGATCCCTTAATGGGGTTTAGGGTTTTGGGGGTTCAGGGTTTAGGGTGTTTAGGGCTTAGGGTTTAGGGTGTTTAGGGTTTATATAGGGTGATCCCCAAAGTAGATCCCTTAATGGGGGTTCCTATACATTACCTTTAGTAGTACAGGGCCCCAAATTACGGGATCTACTGTCTAGATCCTCCTGGGGGTCTGGGAACTTGTGGCCGGAGCAGCCAGCGCCGAGGGGTGCAATCCATACCTGGCGGCTATTCAACCTTTTGCAGTACAGCTTTCCTCCGATGGCCAACTTGAGAATGAGGAGACAAATATTCAGGGCCAGATCACTGTCAGCGATATCGTTTCTTTTTTCATAGTAGCTGAGTATGTAACCTTTTACCTTTTGGGGTGTATAGCATCCTACATCATCCTACCATAACTGACAAGGTTAACCTTTTGTTCGGGCTTGGCTAGTCAGCCCCTCAGTTTACGGAGTGATCATGAACACTGACGAAAGCTACAGCACAGAGCTCGACATCGGGCGAGCATTTCTGATCACAGCTGGGATAATCCGGGGTATTGATGAACGGGGCCAGTAGAAAGATATCCCATGTAGAGTTGATAGTAAATCTGAGATACAGAGCCCTAATTTGTTAAAGGTCCGGTGGTCCTTGAATGAAGCTTTTGTAGGGTATTGTGCCAGCTAGGTCAAGTTGCCGTCCTTGAATGAAGCTTTTGTAGGGTATTGTGCCAGCTAGGTCAAGTTGCCATACATGTGCCATACATGGAGTCTCTGGCACCGTCTGTGTTGAGAATTCACATGCTTCCCACCATGGGAACCCCGCTCGGATACCCTACAAAAATCCTGAATGGACCCCTTGAGGTAAACACTCAAAAGGAACAACCTGTGAGGGTTTGTAGAGCTTTGGGGAGTGTGGGGGGGAACCCTTTTTTTTGGTGGTCCTTTTTTGTTGGCCCTCTTTTTGTTTTGCCCCCCCGTGTCCTGTTATTTATACAGGGAAGGAAGAAAGCAAGGAAACAAGGAAGGAGGAAGGAAGGAAGGAAAGAAGAAGGGAGAGAAGGAAGGAAGGAAGTAAGGAAGGAAGAAAGCAAGGAGACAAGGAAGGAATGAAGGAAGGAAGGAAGGAAGGCAAGGAAGCAAGGAAGCAAGGAAGCAAGGAAGAAGGATCGAAGGAAGAAAGGAAAGAAACAAATCAAGGAGGGAGGACAGGAAGGAAGGAAGCAAGGAAAGAAAGAAGGAAGAAAGGAAGGACGGTAGTATGTCAGTATATAAAGTAAATATGGTGTGTATGTATATATATATATATATATATATATTTGTAGTATACATAGCATATGTAGTATATATAGTATGTATATTATATATAGTATACATAGTATATATGTATATATATATCAGTTATAGTATATATATAGAGTATATATATATATATATATAGTATATGCAGTATAATATATATATATATATATATATATATATATTTCGTATATACAGTTGTATAGTTTATATAGTATATATACTATGTAGAGTATATATATATATATATATATATATATATATTATACTATATATATATATAGTATATATAGAGAGTATATATACATATATATATATATATATATATATAAGTAGTACATGTAGTATATACAGTATATGTAGTATCTATAATGTATGTATTATATAGTATGTATAGTATAGTATATATAGTATATATATATATATAGTATATAGTATATATAGTATATATAGTATATTTAGTATATATATAGTATATATATATAGTATATATATAGTATATATATATATATAGCATATATAGTATATATAGTATATATAGTATATATAGTATATATAGTATATACAGTACATATAGTATATATACATATATATATATATATATATATGGACATGTATGGAGGCCCTTTTATTTTGGATGTTGTTTCTTGTCTTTTTGATTTGGTGCTTTTTCCTTGGGCTTTCCTGAGGAAAACACTATTTTCCTTACGTTTTGGACGGATTTGGTGTGCTTTTCTTGTTTTTTCCACCGGAAACGAAAAGAACCCAGGAAGAAAGAAAGAAACACCCCAGAACAAGGACCAAAGCAAGGAAGAAGAATAGAAAATAAGAAAAGAGACGGAAGACAAACGGTTTCAAACCCCGCCCCCACTTTTAAACTAAACTCCCGGCTCTCTAGAGCCGCGAAGAAATGAACAACAACGTATTGGCCAACACACAAAAAGGAGAAAGCCAGACAACAACGCTTCAGGGTGGTTTAACGCGAAGTAAACACAGTCAGTCGTGAAGGATTTAAAAGGTTTGCAAATGGGGGGGGTTGCGCCCCCCCAACCCCCCCGCTTTTTTGTAGACTAAACTCCCCGCTCACTAAAGCCGCGAAGAGATGCGCAAAAGCATATTCGCCAACACACAAGAAGGGGAAAGCCAGACAACGCTTAAGAGGGTTTGACGCGAAGAAAACACAATCAATCGTGAAGGATTCATAAGGTTTGCAAATGGGGGGGCTGCGCCCCTCCAACCCTCCGTTTTTTTATAGATTAAACTCCCCGCTGAAGCAGCAAAGACAAAAACAGCAACACTAACCACAGCCACAACGACAACAACAACAGCAAGGTAGTGTAAGATTTCCTGACGGGAACCAAGAAAAATCACACCAAATCCGTCCAAGATGCAAGCAAAATAGTTTCTCTTGGGAAAAGCCAAGCAAAAGAAGCAAAGTCCAAAATGCATCCAAAATGTACGGCAAACGGTTTATTCCCTAGAACAAAGGTTACGTACTCTTCCCTCGTGGCGTATTGTATGTTTTTCTGAAGAAAACCAAGGACAATCACACGAAGTCCCTCCACGATGCTAAAAAAATGCGTTGTCCCGAGGAAAACCTAAGATAATGGACGTTTTACGCGAGTTAATGTAGGCTTTCCCGCGGAATCCAAGGAGAATCGCACCAAGTCCGTCCAACATGTAAGAAAAATAGTGTTTTCGCTAAGGAAAAATCAAGAAAAATAAAATGTTTTATTAAAACAAACCAAGGAAAATCACACTAAATTCGTCCAATACGCAAGGAAAATAGTGTTTTCCCTAGGAAAACCCAATGAAAAGCACAAAAAAAAGAATGCAAAAGAAAAAGGGCCCAAAAATAATCTCCACCCGTGTGGGGCCGGGCTTCAGTGCATGAGGCTGCGACGGATTTGGCGTCGCAAGGCAACCTTGTCCTTTTTCATGGTTCCCCCACAAGAATAAACAGACCGGCTAGTAGACCTTATTAAACTATTCCTACTACGGGATATAGGTATAGGGCTCTGTCTACTATTTCGAAAAGGACAAGGGTGTCGCAAGGTACAGGGCCCGTAATATTCTGAGAGCTCCTTAGGCTGCTGGCTAAAACGGAGCAAGGGCGGATATCCCACAGTCATGCAAGGACCACAAGGGAGTGCAGTGCTTTATGCGTATATGTCGTAAGAGTCTTCCTCAAGGTTCCTTGTTGAATTATAGTAGCTGCTTGTAGCTGTTTGAATTCCAGTAGCATACACCATGAGTTTAAGGCAGGCGGCAGCCTCAGAGAAATGCAGGTGGGCCGAGACAATGAGGACCAAATCAGACTAAAAAGCAGGGGCCCTATACCCTACTTGATACTTTGCACCCCTATATGCTATATAAACATTGAACCCTTCTAGGGTACATCTCGTCTTCAAGGTTCGACAGTTGGGACGAAATATGTCCGACTCTTGTGTCCAACACATCTGCGCACGTACGGGGCGATGGTGTTCAATCAAGGTAGGGACAAAGACGCTGGTGATGATAAAGTGCTGGTGCTGCTGTTGGTGACGCTCCTGGTGCTGGCGATGCTGGCGATCCCAGACATCAATACCCCTTAAATGAGGAATATACCTTAAACCATAGTATGAAGGCCCCTATAATTTAAGGTATATTCCTTAATTAAGGGATATTGGGATCTCTGGGATGATGGGGAGGGGTGCCGTGAGCCTCGACCACACTCCCTGGCCGCTCCGCAGGATTTGGGTCGTGTCGGGGAAGATGTAGCGGCGCTGCAATCAGCCTTCGACGAGGTGCGACCATCTTTCCGTGGGGATCAAAATAGCCCAAAAGCCTTAGATAGTATGGTCTTTGGGCTCAAAAGCCTTAATGTCTGAGTCCTTAGATCCTTAAACCCTAATAGATCCCTTCAAACTACCCCTTATAGATCCCCATTAAAGGAACCCTATGATCAGTCCTTAGATCCCTAGGGTTTTTTGTGCGAATTTGCCGCATGACGGACTATTCGGACAATTTATCGAAGTCACGTGTTCTTTGGGGTTTGGTGGGCTGCATTCCACTTAGGGTTTAGGGTTTAAGGTTTAAGGTTTAGGGTTTAAGGTTTAGGGTTTAGGGGTTTAGGGTTTAGGGTTTAAAGTTTAGGGTTTAGGGCCTTCCACGGGTTTTACACTTAACAGAAGGCGTTTGAGGGGTTTGGGCGATTTGTGTTGGCTGCAGCTCTTGCTGCTAAAGTCACGTGCCTCGTCGGGGCTTGTTGTGCCAGAATTGGTTGAAAGGCTAAACGAACCTTAAACCCTAAAACCCTGAACCCTAAACCCTACTACCCTAAAACCTTAAACCCTAAAAGCCTATGACCCTAAACCCTCAAACCCTAAACCCTACAACCCTAAAACCTATAAGAGCCTTTTCAGTTCTTTCCTCTTGGATCTGCCGAGCACGAGGATGCCTAAACCTAGGACGAGCAGCCATACTACTCAGACCCACAGGAGGATCCAAAAAGTAGATCCCTTAATGGGGTTTAGGGTTTTGGGCTTCAGGGTTTAGGGTGTTTAGGGTTTATGGCTTACATCCCCGGGCCGAAAGTTTTGAGATACCGGGCCTTTCATCATTATACAGACTCTAGCGGAGTAGCGGAGTGAATCAGAGTCACGAATTCCTTACGCAGGCCAGCGGAGTAATTACCACGCCGTTTTAAAAAATATGACACTTATTCATTGCGGAGGAGGCCCCAAAGCTCGCTTGTGTCAGGAGTCTAGGAGGGAGAGGGCGGGGGCGTGGGTCAACTTCATTGTTTAAGCTAGTGGGTCGAAGTATCGGCCCGGCGCAGTAGGGTGTTTAGGGTTTAGGGTGATCCAAAAAGTAGATCCCTTAATGGGGGGTTCCTATAAAGTACCCTTAGTAGTATAGGGCCCCAAATTAGTGGGTTTACTTTCTCTTTCCTCCCGGGGGTCTGGGTATAAGCGACTTAAGTAGATACCAATACTAGTTTGGGGAGGTTCTCTAAGGATTCCTGTTGAGGATCTCAAGGGGTTAGGGTATAGGGTTCTGTGGCACGGACCTTTAGGTATAATGTGTGGGTTTGTTGTTGGGTCAACCTTAGTTCTTTCCCACTCCGGAGGCTGTTTTGCGGGCACCGTCCATCAGACAGCCGTGAGTTTAACTAGCGGTTGAATCAACGATCGATCGCAGCACAGTGCGATGCTATGTTGGGTTTTCACGCTGTGACAGATCCAGGCCACAAATGCTGTGGGCAATGGTAAGACTGCTGATGACTTAAGATGTGCATCTCGTTTCCGGCATGCCAGCACAGACTGCACATGACTGTCTAACGGCGAAGCGGACCTCCGATGATACAGTTCTCAAGGCCGGTAAGGCAAGGAAGAGGTTTTGACACATTATTACAGACTGTGCCTAGACCTTGACAGCGACTCGTCGAGTAGCACATGACAACACAAGCGGTCACAACTTGCATATATCTCTGATGATAGCGTGTGCAGGAGGGTTTGGTATCGATGATACTGTATGGTGATGCTCACCTCACCGGGCGTGTTGTTGTAGTTGTGGTTCGCGTTGCTGAGCTGATAGGCAACCACTTCCACTTCGCGTCTCACTCCCTGCAGGCAAACTCGGTTCGATTGTTTTCTCGCCAAGAGATACACGGCGAGTTGTCTGTGCAAGGGGAATGGCTCGAATCCTTCGCTAGGTCGGTACAGGCTTACTAGCTTTGGCTAGTTTGGCATATTATTGAGCCAAAGTTGCGTTGGCATTACAGCATGGTCCGGGATCGGTCCCATGTGTAAGCACAAGAAAAGGTTCTGAGACAAGGTCGCAAAACGGAGCCTTGCTCTATATGTACATGGTGGTCCATGACATTCTGCTTCATAACTCAGATTGCGATACCTGCGAATTGAACTAGGCTTCGACGTCCGTTCGCAGCGTGATGGCGCAACTTTTTCATCTGCTTTCATATCGGCAGCGTGTTCTGCGATTCGGACTTCATTCGGAAGCATAATCGGGGGTCTGACATTTCTTACAGCCTACAGCAATGTCTCTTTTGGAGATCGGGAGGACCGACTGTTTCCCGGCCGGTGCTCGCAGACCGAACCTAGAGGAAATCTGAGATAACTTGGGGCTGGGTCCAAGAACCATGACCACAAGCCAAAACCATCTTCAACCGAGAACCCCCTCTGCAGGGCACAGGCTCTTGGTCATGATGAGGCCATGCCCATACAAGCGCCCGGCTTATCTCACATCCGTCAGCGAGAATTCGAATAGTCATTCTCGAAGGTGTGGATGCCGCTTCATAGCCTTAGTTACACATCAACATCAATGCCGAAAGCTCGCGCAGTGTGGACACCGTTTTCATGGTCCGTGGTCTTTGCCCTACTGGCACGCCGATCACAAGCCATCTGAAAAACCACACAGGGATTGGGACGGCTTCCGCCTGGTCCACCTGCTTCCATGGCAGTGGTGATATTCGAGCTTCTCGCAGGCCTGTCTAACGAATCTTTGTTGTTGTCACATCCAGCACAGATGCTCGTCGCTGCACCGATCTTACCAGTCTTACCCGGTATAGAAGAACTGAGCTTCCCGCTGCATTCCCTCTCACGATGCCGAGTGGGAAGCCGCAGGTGGTCGAGATTCGGCCTGCTCGTTCTGAAACACCCCAGCTGCCGCGACAAGCTACAAGCTGATTGCAGCTAGATATATTCATGATGCAACGGGTGCTAATGCATCCAGAGCCTGCAGGCTCGGACACAGACCTCCTACGATCCCACATCAGGCAGCACATGTCCAGATCACCAGTCTCTTGGCAAAGCCCTTCTCCGGAGCCGTGAACACACGCGGACTTTAGTAGGACGGCCGCTGCCTGCTTCTGTCACAACCCCCCCTGCACTCCACGAAGCACGAAGCAACAGTACCCTTGCATGCATCACTCTGCCTTTTGCTCGCGTCAGCACTGCCAGCTTCAGCCTCAATCAATCTTCGACGACTAGTAGGTGGAGGAACGCACGCCTCCTCTCCGAAGCGAATCCTTCCGCTCAAGAGTGTGAGGAGTGCGCCGTCTCTTCTTCACGACAGAAGAGTCTATGGCAGCAGGACGCTTCATTCTCACAGCCGCATCCTTCACCGCCTGTTTTTCTTGCTGTCGCTTTGCAGAAAGTGGCAGGCTCGCCTTGGACACCGCACCTTGGTCGCGCAGCTCCTTGCACCACCTCTGCCATCCCTTCTCCGACCACAGGTTGCGACGACTGGCTCGTGCCAACACGACAGAATGCGGCAGTTGCTTGGAGGTGTGCTGGTATAAAGCTGAGTTGTGCGACATGAGCTTGCCAAGCTTCAGAACGCGAAGTTTGAGCTGCAGAGTTGACTGGTGCATCTGCTGAGTCTCACGAAACCAGCAATTGATCTCGTGATGTAGCGACTCGTTACTGGTGGTGCCAACGGGGAGTAGACTGAGCCGGTGTCTCGGCATGCTGTGACGAAGTCGAATGTTGTTCATGTACCATTCACTTCGCTCTGCAGCAGCTGCTGTGTGAAGCAGCTGGTAGATTCGCCTGTTTGGACCAGGAGCGAGGCGGCTCACCTCATCCCGGAAGACTGAAACCAAGGCGGCTAAAGACCGAATCCACTCGACGCGCGTATAGAACGGTCGGCTTGGGTCCAGCTGCGCCAGGATTTGTTCCGCTGTCGTCACCCGCATCGTCCGATCTTCGATTTTCTGACGCAGCGAATTTTCCTCGACTGTAAGCCCTTTGCAACTGCGCCCGTGGAAGACGTGCCCCCAACTTGCAGCATCGTACGCGTGATCAACAGCAGAAAACTTGGACAGAATGCAGCGCAATGTTTTCGTGGCCTTGGTACGTTTCCGAGAACTTGCGTACTCACATGTCATGGCCAGATGCACCGGGTCCAAAGCCATAACCTGCAGGTTCGGGCAAATGTTTTTCAAGCTAAGCAAGTAGTGCCGGCTCGGATTGTCCACGGTGACGAATTCGACCTGAGCGAGTCCTTCAGCTGTAATGCTTTCTACCAGAGCTTGTGCTGCTCCACATGCATCATCACTGGCCACTGCGAACATGCCGACCACGGCATTTGTTCGCCCGCGTACGGTGAACACCTTGACGAGACTACAGTACTAGGGTACATATGCTGAAACGAATTAGAATCACATGGGCTGTTCCGAGAGGGTTTTGCTTGTCTGCTGGTCTTGAAGCTACACTGCTGCATCTATACTCAGACCAAATCTATATCCGCCACGACACCCTTCGCAGCATGCTGGCTTCGTCGAAGGCCGCTTGAGTCGCATCCATAGAACGTGGGCGTGGCTGTCCTAGGATGGGAAGACAGCACCTAAGCGTGGCATCGATGCTCAGCGTCTGGTACTCGTTGTGCTGTACGAGCTCATGGATGAGTTCTCGTTCCATTGCCGCAACGGCCGGAGAAGTGAGAATGTCCTCCATCAGCGGCAGCCAATCCTTGGTGTGCGACGGGAGCAAACAGGTGGACTCGTGCTCCATCATAGAATGTAGAGCTGCGATCACGCCGTGCACCTACCACAAGGCAGAAGCACAAGACCCACTTACAGACAAGTATTGTTCTCTCAAGCGCAGTTGACAATTCTAGTTGCAATTCTAATCGACATTAGCCACTCTAGCCGTTTTGCGAGAACAATGTTTACCTTTCCCTGCACCTTGGCATTGCAAAGCAACGTCTGCTGGAAAATCAACTGCCCGAAACCCTTGGTGTAGTACAGGTTTCGAACTCGCCGAACAAATGCTTCGCCTTGCACAGTGGAGACATTCCAGAACTCTGGCCCCGATTCTGTCATAACCAAGCGGATGAAGCGGTCAATACAGTTGATGGCACCGGGGAGAGGCGGTACGATGGTTTGTCGCATGATGGATGCAGATCGGGACAGCAGGTCGCATTTCTCTGCTCTTTTCAAGAGGCGGTCACCGTCGTGCAGGGCAATCACAAGCTTCATTTGCTTTGTGCCGCTAGGGCAGTACTGTTTCGACGCACAATGGTACTTCTGAATGTGATGCAAAACTCTACCCTTGTTATTTTTGTCGAAAGCTCGGAAAGGACATAGCGGACACACCAGCCGATTGTCTGGGTTCCTGTGAACCTTTTTCTTGGAGAGCAAGTCATCAACTTCCTTTTCCATCAATGCCAAGATGTGATCGCCGACTTTGGTGGTCGCCTCATCGGCCCCATCGCCTTCGTCGTCTGCTTCCTCTAACGATGTGTCTCCTGAACCTGCCTGCAGCTCCTTCAACACAGCCCACTCGGAAGGCAAAGGACCCGTTGAATCTGCCTGCTCATTGGCTACGCGGCCTTGTTCCAAGACGTCAAATATCACTAAGTACTTGTTATCAGCCGCATCGTGCCATGCGTCCTGAAAGTCTTCGGTTCTCAAAGTCCAGCAAGAAGACCCGTCTACAACCTTAACCTCGGTGTCGTCAGAAACCATGACCGCGACGCAGTGAGGCTGTCCCCGCACGTAACAGTGCAACAGGAATTGATCCTTGGCTTTCATCTGCCTGAGATCCAGTCGAGGATGAAATTCTCTTCCAGATGCAGACTCCACATGCAAATATGTTCGGTGCCCTCTACGCCTGTAATACAAACCGTACTCTGACGTTGAGTCATCGTGAATGCGGATGGCATCATCTGTAAAACCCAAATGGAACAGACCACGTAAGATACAGTTGCCAGGCTCTAGAAGTTGTTCAGCACAGTGCAAAGGAGATGAGGAGGCCTTTTGAGCAACCAGCTTCAGAAAGCAACCGTGAGTCTTTGGGCGAATGTGGACCTTGAAACCTGCCTTGGCTTCGATATGGCGACTGCAGGCTGCACAGAAATCTTGAACTGCCTCTCCAACATCATTTGAGCTGACGCGTATGCCATCGAAGTGAAGCGACAGGTGCGAAGGATGGAACGCCTGCAGGTGCTCCAGCCACGCATCCAAAACCGCATCCTCGGCAACTGTCCACATATAAAACAAGGTCGACGCCTCAGGATTGTCCCTGGCTTCATCTACAAAATGTCGGTGAAGCTCTGGAAGTGACGACGCTGCTAGCCACCTGCAAAACAGCGATGCTTGTTGCAGGCGCTTTACGAACGGGTTGTGTGACAGCTCACACGGGG